TAGCTTCCTTCTCGATCGCCTCGCGCTCTCGTCGGGTCAGAGGCTGTGCTTCGGCGTTCGGGTCGATGTCCTTGGCCTTGATCGCCTTGGTCGACGCAAAGTTGGGGTTTTGGACCTGGATGATGCCCGCCACGCCCTTGGGCTTGGGCACTTTCTTCTCCTCTATCTCGTCCTCCTTTTCTTCGACGATGCGGTCAAACACCACGCCGTCCGCGTCCTCCTCATCGTCGTCCTCGTCGTCGGACTCTCCGTCGTCCCGTCGCACGCGACGCTTCTCCTGACGGACCTCCTCCACGACATTGCGCGCTTCGAGCTCCTCGGCACTGGTGACGAACTTGCGGTTTCCGCCCTTGAGCGAGTTGCGCTTGGACGACTTAGCCTTCTTCGCTGCGGCGTCGCCTTTTCCACTCATTATCAAATTCGAATTTGGCGGAGAATGCCGAGAAAACCTCTCGCAACACATACTTTGCCCCTTTTCCACCAGTGAGAACAAGACCTGTGAGAATGCATGTCACGATTGTGCGCGGCACTTTCTGGTGCTTTCAAGTGTGAAGAATGAAGGTTAAGTACATCGATCTCAGGATAATCTAAAGTCTACTGGTGATGGCCCCTTATACTGCTGTATAGTAGTGAGCGCTGGCTAGTATTGTTGTCTTTACTACGTAACTTAGTATATTCTAAACTGGAGCGACATGGACAATGAATCGACATAACCAAATGTACGCAGAAGAATTGAGCCAATCAGAATGTAGTAAACCATATACTAGTACTATTGTAGTACCACACTTTTTTACATTCAAAATTCAGTACTAACGGTTACAAAGAATTGATCGATGGATTTGGCGATTCAGCCCAAACTGTAAAGTCCAAAATTGATAACGTGGTTATAAGTTACTACTGAGTACTACTAAGATTATACGTATAACGTTAGTATGACTTTTGAACTCTGACGATCGTTTGGGGACTTCCCCTTGTAGTAACGTTATTCAAGTCCTTCAGTTTCTTGCAATTCAGTTTCACTGTGCGTTGCAGCCAACGCTGGGCTGCTCTACAAGCCTTGGCAGTCGGGGGGACTACAGTGTGCCAAATGTAGTTACCAGTAAATACGGAAAAGTGAATCCTAGTAGACGTCGATAGCGTTAGTGATGATTAGCTCCACGAGTGAGCTATATCCTTCTACTTGGCAGCCACTACGGCGTAGCCTGGGACATAAAAGGCCAGGTCTCGGATCGTTTTGTTGGAACTTCAGGGGAAGGCAACCTTGAGCAGCGAAAAGTCCTTTTCCGGGTGCAGCATGTACGCTTCGTAATGCCATCAGGAGTGTGTCAAAGCAAAAGAGCCACGGAAGGAGGTTGACGTCGGCAGTTCTCGATGGTCCTTGGCGGGTCTCGGTAGATCATCTCCAGTTCTGACAAGAGGGCTCGAAGGCGCGCATTCCGTCCACAAACAAGTGAACAGCGTTCCCTTACGACAGTCCAAGTAAAACACTTGTAGATATGCAGCCAAGAGAAGATAAGTACCTCGTCGCGACCACCCAGGTAGCCGTAAAACGGAACGTGGGCGTAACCAAGTCCGCTAATGCTGCGACTTTGGGCGCCCCGACCAAACGTCCAAGTACTTGACGACGAGGGTAGATTCGTATACGTGGGTGCCGTCGTGAATGAGGTGGGGAACGCCCCCCTATCGGATGACGAGCTGGCTGTAGGACGGGGGGGGGGTGAACACGTTGAGCTCGACGGCGCTGAGGGGGCCTGCACTTCCAGGCCACCCATGACGCAGCTGAAAACGTTCAGTTTGCCGTCGGCTTTGATGAGTGCCACGACCTGGTTGTCCGTGAGCGCTGTGTAGTCGGTTCAAAGATCATTTGTGAATTTCGTTACTAGTACTAGTAGCACCTAAAATATGGTCTATCTTGACACGTTTGCCGTGCGCATTCGATTGCGGAGTTACCAAGTGCAAGTTGGCCTTGAACACACACAACCGCACTTTGCCGTTGTGTTCAAGGCCAACTTGCACTTGGTCGTCATTCAAAGACGTAAAGTGCGGTTGTGTGTGTTCAAGGCCAACTTGCACTTGGTCCAAAGTGCACTTGTTCACCTGCTTTGTGTCTCGTCCGTATGCCACTCGAGCCCAGTGGACCGCCGTGGAAGTCGCCGCTGCCCTGGATAACGTCACCGAAGTTCACGTCATGCACTTCCCAGCGTGCTACGAGAAGATCACGACGGCACGGCCCCCTTCTTGGTCGACGATGATTTCAACTTATACGATATGCCGTTATTGCTCAGTAAACTCTACCCCCTAGGACTTTGCCACAAAGCGTCGTTGCTGGCCTTTCCATGTTTGACACCACTTTAGTGTACTGTACATATCAGTAATAAACAAGTCGAGAATGTTGGCTTTGCTGCAGTCAATGAGTAGAACAACAAAGCCAAAGCCGTGCTGGCGCATTTGACCATCCTTGAACGCTGGCTCTACGGCGACAACGCCAGCACATACCGAATCAAGGGCCCTTACGTGCCAGGCGACGAACTCAGTGCATACGACATCCACATTTGGCCGTGTGTATTTCGCTACGAAATGTTCCTTGGTGACTTCAAGTATCATGCTGAACATCGTTTGATTTCTCCACACCGCGTGCATTGCTTAACCATCCTTTCGACCAACTGTGCGTGGACGATGCCTATTCCATTCAAGGCTACGCCGTCCCCATTGAACAAGCACGAGTGTTATCTTTCCTGCATGCAAGTACTCCTCGTGGTATCTTTGACACTAAAACCTCATTCAAATGATCAGACTGGTTTCCGCAATCTATTTGATCGATACCTCCTGTGTAATCACGTTTGTGCTCTCCCTACCTATTTCGTTGACCTAGTGTCCGATGTGGCATCGACTGTGCTCGCAGCCTTAACCGATCAACTCGACTTTGGGTCGTTCCAGCAGTGTTATCCTAGCCGGCTGTCCCGAGACCTGCATCTGCGGCGACGCCATGCAGTCGCCCGTGCGTTGGCTGGCATGCGGATACATGTTTTGCCAAGAATGCGTGGCCCAATGGTGTGTGTGATCGAGAACGATCGTGTCTGCTCTGCCGCGCCGCCCACGTTGTGATGAATCATCTCAAGTACACGGGTGATGGCACCAGCTAAGGTATAGGCGATCACTCAGAAGAAAATGTATCATCATCTTGCCTTCCGAGTTGGTGCCGCTTCGTGATTGAAATCCTTGCGATGCCATTGGGTATTGACTAGCCAATCCATCTGCGTTCCAAAGCGTCTCAAGGGTCATCCACCAATCACAGCAGAGTTGCGTCAGCTTGGGCAAATCATAATCAAAATGCCATTGGGAATCCCCGCATTTCGATCGACCAGCTCACACGATCATTTTCAATCCTTGATCAAACAACCCACCCGCTCAGCACCAAACATGGCCCAGCACTCTGACTTTGTCCCAACGTACCCTTCAGTGAACTACTCGTCCCTGTCCAACGACCAACTGGACGCGCTGCGCGCGGGATCCACCGACGGCGTCGTGCACATATTCAACAACATCGTGTGTCCATTCGGCCACCGAGCGCTGTGGATCGCCTTGGAAATCAACGCGCCATTTCAGGTCATTGAAGTGTCCTTGAGTAACCAGCCTGCCTCGTACGGCGAAAAGTTCAACCGATACGAGACAGTGCCGTTCCTGCTGGATAACGGATTCCCCGTGTACGAATCTTCGATTGTGGCGCAATATTTAGACTCAAAGTTCAACCACGGCAACTTGCACCAGTCCAGTGACCCCCAAGCAGCCTCCGTGGTGCAGCTGGCGACGGCCAAGTTCGAAGCTAGACCGTTCTACGTGTACTTGCAAGTGGGGGGGGGCAGGGCGGAGGCCGACGTGCGCGACGTGCTCACCGAGCTCGAGACCATTTACAGCCAGCATGGCAAGGAAGGTCCGTACTTGCTCGGAGGCACCCTCAGCAGCGCCGAAATCAACCTTGTGCCCTTCTTCTTCCGGTTCAACGTCCTGTTGAAGCATTACCGCAAGGTGGACCTGTTTGCTGATTACCCCCGCTTGAAGGCGGCGCTGGACGCGGCGGTCGTCCGGCCTGCATTCCAGCAAACCGCGCGTGAGCCCCAGTATTACATCGATGCGTACGCTGGCCTCGTCAGCCGTGCTGCCACCCGTTAATTCGAACATAACTATGCAGTGGTGTTCGATTCAAAACGTTAACGTTGTTTCTGTTTGACGGCAATGCCACCCACACTTCAACTCCACTTTATGATGAGTGTCAAATCGCGACGATTATTCCTATCACTGATACAGCAATTTGCCACCTCACATAGCAGTGCCATGGATATGGTCGTATCTTCCTTGGGGCGTCAAGTTGAAGTTGAACGAGATGATTACTCCATCGAGGTATCTTCCTTCTTCTGGGAATTGGTTGAGATCGTCAGCCCGTGCTTGTGATTGGTGCAGAAGTAGCCAATCAAAAATGCCCATGCCACTGCATCAAAGCGCGGCGGCTGCATCCGACTTCGAAAGACTTGCGGTCGCGAAGAGCTGTCATTTTTGCATTTGCATTCAACTCACCAAGACAACCAGCCTCATCATGACCACTGCTGCTGACCACGTTCCTACCTACCCTTCCGTGGACTACGCGTCGTTTTCGGACGACCAGTTGGATGCGTTCCACACTTCTCCCGACCTTCGGCTCTTCAGCAACATCAACTGTCCGTACGGCCAACGGGCACTTTGGACTGCCCTTGAAGTGAACGCGCCATTCCAAGTCGTCGAAGTGTCGTTGGCGAACCAGCCAGACAGCTACGGCGAAAAGTTTAACCGGTATGGCACGGTGCCGTATCTCTTGGATAACGGGTTTGCAGTATACGAGTCTGCGATCGTGGCCCAGTACTTGGACGCCAAGTTCAACCAAGGGCGGTTGCATCGAAAGGATGATGTCCAAGCCGCGACGCTGGTCCAGCTAGTGATTGCCCAGTTTGAAGCTCGTCCGTGGTACCAGTACTTGCGCACGGGCGACGAAAAGGCCAAGGAACAAGGCGTCGAGATTCTCAAGGAACTGGAAACGATCTTCACCGTCAACGCCAAAGCGTACCGCGACCAAGGCCCGTACTTACTTGGCGCAGAATTGAGCAGTGCCGAGATCAACCTGTTTCCGTTCTTCTACCGGCTTGACGTGTTGCTCGGCCATTACCGTAAACTGGACTTTTTGGCCGACTTCCCCGCCCTCAGAGCCGCGTTCGACGCTGCCAAGGCCCGCAAAACGTTCCAGCAAACCATCCGCACGCCCGAGTACCTCATCCAGCAATTCGCCCCGCACTTCAACCCTACCCCATAAATCAAGACGAATATATCATCGATGTTGGAGCGTGCTAAAGAATGGGCTGATACAGTGGGCTGCTTTGTAGTTAGTACCGTACATCAGTTGATGTGAGGAACCCTGATCAGTATTAGGACTGCCTCACCTACAGCTCATTCACATGGTCGTAAGAGGATGGCCCTACCCTTTCTTCCACTAACTCATGACCAAAAGTCTGCTTTACCCCTCTACTAGACACCCACGAACTCAACTACAGTCTATATCGAATTGACGGGATTATTCAAAGGCTTGGTGCATAGCATACGGTAATGTGAGGTTTATAGTACACTTACACACACTACGACGAAGTTTGACAGGTGCAACCGCCAGCACGAAGGTTGTTGTCCCAAAGCATTACTGTACAAGCCATACATCGTATACTGTATGAGAACGATTCTCTACATCTATTTCTACCACCATACGAACTAGAGGGCTATCTGTTTTGAAAACCCAGGTCTAGAGTTCCACATACAATGGTCTTGGTTAGATTAATAGTCCAACGTTACAACAACTCTTACCCCTAAAGGGGGCCTCGGTCGTGATAGCAGGTCGGCCAAGAGTCTAGGATGGTGGCGTTGCTCGGACCTCATGTTGGGGTCGAGTTCCACTTGGTCACGGGCTGAAAAGCCACACAGCGTAGGGGCGCTAGCCCCAAGCTTCTCGCTCCGCCGCGCGCAAACGGCCCTGCTGCTGGTCGCTCAGAGAAGGCGCTGGGGGTTCGACCCGCTAGGACTCGATTTTGGTGAAGAAAGCTGGTTCACGGCATGGCCTCAAGTTCATTTTCGTCAGATGAATGTACCAAACCCGTGTGTGTGGGTTTGGTTCCTTCACAACTGACGAAAATCAACTTTCCGTGGTATGGAATTTTTGATTGCCTACTGCTACACCAATCACAAGCATGGGCTGACGATCTCAACCAAAGGAAGAAGATACAGCACCTCGATAGAGTAATCTTGTTCAACTTCAACTTGAAGAGGCAAAGTAAGCACTACAGACCTGCGCTATATTCATGGCACTACACTTGCATTATATGAGGCGGCAATGCTGTAGACAGCAACGTGAATAACTCATGATTCGAATGGCACTCATCACACAGGGGAGTTGAAGTGTTGGTGGCATTGCCGTCAAACAGCAACAACGTTAACGTTTTGAATCGAACACCACTGCATAGTTATGTTCGAATTAACTGGTGGCAGCACGGCTGACGAGGCCAGCGTACGCATCGATGTAATACTGGGGCTCACGCGCGGTTTGCTGGAACGCAGGCCGGACGACCGCCGCGTCCAGCGCCGCCTTCAAGCGGGGGTAATCAGCAAACAGGTCCACCTTGCGGTAATGCTTCAACAGGACGTTGAACCGGAAGAAGAAGGGCACAAGGTTGATTTCGGCGCTGCTGAGGGTGCCTCCGAGCAAGTACGGACCTTCCTTGCCATGTTGGTTGTAAATGGTCTCGAGCTCGGTGAGCACGTCGCGCACGTCGGCCTCTGCCCTGGCCCCCCCCACTTGCAAGTACACGTAGAACGGTCTAGCTTCGAACTTGGCCGTCGCCAGCTGCACCACGGAGGCTGCTTGGGGGTCACTGGACTGGTGCAAGTTGCCGTGGTTGAACTTTGAGTCTAAATATTGCGCCACAATCGAAGATTCGTACACGGGGAATCCGTTATCCAGCAGGAACGGCACTGTCTCGTATCGGTTGAACTTTTCGCCGTACGAGGCAGGCTGGTTACTCAATGACACTTCAATGACCTGAAATGGCGCGTTGATTTCCAAGGCGATCCACAGCGCTCGGTGGCCGAATGGACACACGATGTTGTTGAATATGTGCACGACGCCGTCGGTGGATCCCGCGCGCAGCGCGTCCAGTTGGTCGTTGGACAGGGACGAGTAGTTCACTGAAGGGTACGTTGGGACAAATTCAGAGTGCTGGGCCATGTTTGGTGCTGAGCGGGTGGGTTGTTTGATCAAGGATTGAAAATGATCGTGTGAGCTGGTCGATCGAAATGCGGGGATTCCCAATGGCATTTTGATTATGATTTGCCCAAGCTGACGCAACTCTGCTGTGATTGGTGGATGACCCTTGAGACGCTTTGGAACGCAGATGGATTGGCTAGTCAATACCCAATGGCATCGCAAGGATTTCAATCACGAAGCGGCACCAACTCGGAAGGCAAGATGATGATACATTTTCTTCTGAGTGATCGCCTATACCTTAGCTGGTGCCATCACCCGTGTACTTGAGATGATTCATCACAACGTGGGCGGCGCGGCAGAGCAGACACGATCGTTCTCGATCACACACACCACTGGGCCACGCATTCTTGGCAAAACATGTATCCCCATGCCAGCCAACGCACGGGCGACTGCATGGCGTCACCGGAGATGCAGCTCTCGGGAAAGCCGGCTAGGATAACACTGCTGGAACGACCCAAAGTCGAGTTGATCGGTTAAGGCTGCGAGCACAGTCGATGCCACATCGGACACTAGGTCAACGAAATAGGTAGGGAGAGCACAAACGTGATTACACAGGAGGTATCGATCAAATAGATTGCGGAAACCAGTCTGATCATTTGAATGAGGTTTTAGTGTCAAAGATACCACGAGGAGTACTTGCATGCAGGAAAGATAACACTCGTGCTTGTCCAACCGGGGACGGCGTAGCCTTGAATGGAATAGGCATCGTCCACGCACAGTTGGTCGAAAGGCTGGTAAGGCAATATATGTGGCGAGGAGAAGTGGAAAGTTGGTCAACAGGATGCTTGAAGTCACCAAGGAAAACAGTTCGTAACGAAATATAAACGCTTCAGCCAATGTAATATGAACAATTCGACGCCTACCGGTACTGGTTCGTTTGACTGGGCTGGATATTGCCATTAAAAGTTGAATGTTATTATACGTACCGGTATATAGTGACTCGAATGTATTGTTTTGCCGCATGAGGGTGATATATAAATATTCCGCGTAATGACATTCGCGTAGCTTTCAGTGCACATAATAGGCTAAAGATGAAACGTTTGGAACAACCATTATTATACACTTTGTACTTAACGTCTCATGTTTGTTCATCAAAGCAATGTCTGCTTAACCGCGTGGAGGTCGTCGTTGTACTGGTGATGGTCTCCTTCGGACAATGACAACGGGCGATCCCCCGTCGAGAGCACGACAATCCCCACGAGGATGAACGCGATGCCGGCGCTGTAAACCCCCCAGTGCCAACCACTCAGGTCCTTCATGTCCCCAAAGAAGCAAATGCCAGAGATGGCCCCGCCCATGAGCAACGTGGCTTCGTAGATGTAAATGACAAACAGAGCATCGTACAGATGCAGCGCCATGTTCATCAGGTACAGCCCAGACATGGCAAACCCCAGAGCGGCCAGACCCACGACGTACACTAACGGGGTCGTAAACACTTCCTACATGAACACAAAGAAGATGGTCGAGCTGTGTGTAGAACTCCTCAGACAAGAATGATACTACTACTAGTATGGTGGGGGGGACAGAAAGAGGCAAGTGGATGACGTTACCCGAGGGTCGTTGTGTGTGAGCCTCAGCAGCGCACACATGCAATACAATTGCCCGCTGATGCTGCCCGCCATCGATGCCAAGGACACGCGGCAGCATGTGCTTTTGAAGATGACGTTTGGATCGTCTGAGATTTCGTCATCGCGGCGACGATGGTGGTATCCCCAAGCTTGGAAGAAGGCAGGTGACGCGCAGCGCAACAATATCATCAAGACAACGATGTACGTCGTGATGTACACGAGGAAGGGGGCAGATGTGAAGTGTGAGGCCAGCTCGTTGATGGGGATGTCATGCGTTTGATGGCTGCCGACTCCTCCGACAACGACACAGCCGAGAAAGATGATTGTGGCTCCAATCATGTCCTGTCGACAAGGAAACGTTGGCAACGATTGTGCAGGTTGAAGAGGCTAACGTACCCGAGTCCTGAGGGTCTCGTTGAGGATGTACGGTGAAAGCACGGTGTTCCACACCACACACAGTCCACCCATGGGCGCCAGGAGCGACTGCGGCGCAAACTTGTACGCCGAGATGCACAACGCCGGGTTCACGACCACGATCAAGGCCATGCCTCCGCCCCACCAGCACGTGGCTTCCGACGATTCCAAGGCCACGCTCGGTCGGAAGGACAGCTTGATCATGATCTTGCCCAAGACGCCGACGATGGACGCTATGAAGCTCAAGAGCAGCCCAAATGGCCAGCCTAGTAGATCTACCATGTTCGTTTGCGACTTGTTGGGTCGGTTTTCCCTTCGACACATCCGGATAAACACGAGAAATATCCGGGACATATTTTGGATTGACCGTTTCATGTTGAAACCGACCGACGGATTGGTGCTAAAAAGTGTGTTGATGCTGGTATTAATAGCGTAGATTGATAATGCAGATACTATAATTTTGTGGTAATCCAAGGTCTTGGCCGAGTTAAGTCGTTCTGCTGGAGCTCGTTGACTCACGGGAAAAGGTGCTACATACGTTCACGAAGGAGCAGGTTCAGCATTGGGGTCCATTGTGGTTATGAATACGCAACGAAATCCTTCGGCATGGCCTCATCGTACCCCGTCTGCCATCCTTGTGGTGATACGACTCAACTACGCTTGCCTAGCCGAGGGTGGCCATACAATGGTGTGGGATAGCTGATCGTTACATTTCATATACTAGTACTACGTAGTATGTTTAGTACTGTAGGATGTCAATCCAACTTCAACCTTGTTCAACCTTTTGTGACCATCCGAATTTGGACCATCCTCCAGGAGAAAGTTCAGCGGAACATTGAGCCGGGATTCTAGCGTATCAGCTAGGGTATATGTTTTACATTTACAACGGTAACTTTAGCAGCATTATTATATTCGTTAATTTTATGTATCTTCAAATTTGAATACAAACACTCGAAACAAGTGGACTATATTTTTCATCTTTTACAGCGCACCCATGTTTTTTTCCCGAGCGTCATGCCAATATCAAACCCACTCGAAAAACGCGGAATGTGATTGGTGGCATTTAACCCTAATACGCGATTGGGCATACAAAATTGGTATGGTTTAAGGAAATTATTCGACTTGAATATTCGATTTTACTGCTGAAGTTTAAATTTCGCATTCTGATTGGCTTATGTATGACGAAATAAGGAATTTGGTTTGTGCAACCACCTATTTTCGTCCACGGATATGAGATCCAGTGACACGTTTCCATTTTCACATTTCTCGTACTATGCTTGCTGCTCGACGCGCTTCCCGCATTGCCACCGCGAGCCCTTCGCTCCGCCGAGGCCTCTCTTCCTCCACCACTTCCATCCCTCATGACAAGGAGCGCTTGATCATCTTCGACACAACCCTGCGCGATGGCGAACAATCTCCTGGCGCAACCTTGAGTTTCAAGGAGAAACTGCACATCGCTAGAGGACTCCATGCGATGGGGGTCGACGTTTGCGAAGCTGGTTTTCCAATTGCATCTCCTGGCGACTTTGACGCGGTGTCGGCGATCGCGCAAGAGATCGGGCCGTTGTCGCGTCCGTCGAACCCGGACTTCATGACGATTTGTGGGTTGGCGCGCGCGACCGAAAATGATATCCAACGGAGTTTCGACGCTATCAAGCATGCACCGAACCACCGTATCCACTTGTTCCTTGCCACGTCCGACATCCATCTCAAGTACAAGCTCAAGATCTCGCGGGACGAATGCATTCGGCGCGCAGTCGAGGCGGTGCAGTTCGCCGCATCGTTGAGTCATCAAGTGGAGTTTTCCCCCGAGGATGCTGGGCGAAGCGACCCCGACTTTCTGTGCGACGTGCTGGCGGAAGTGATTGCTGCCGGCGCCACCACACTCAACATCCCCGACACTGTCGGGTACACCGTGCCGGACGAGTATGGCGCCTTGATCGGGTACTTGATCAAGAACACGCGCGGCGCCGAGAAGGCCGTGTTCTCGACCCATTGCCATAACGACTTGGGTTTGGCGACGGCAAACACGTTGGCGGGGGTGCTGCATGGCGCGCGACAGGTCGAAGTGACGATGAACGGGATTGGCGAGCGCGCCGGCAACACGTCGCTGGAAGAGCTGGTCATGACGCTCCAGACGCGGCCGCACTTGTACCCCGTGGCGTCGCACATCGATTCGACACACATCATGAAGTGCAGTCGCATGGTGAGCCATTACACGGGTATTGCGATCCAGCCCAACAAGGCGATTGTGGGCGCGAACGCATTTGCGCACGAGAGCGGCATCCACCAGGATGGCGTGCTCAAGCATCAAGCGACGTACGAGATCATGCTGCCCGAGTCTGTCGGGCTAACCGAGAACCGCATGGTGCTGGGTAAGCACTCGGGGCGGCACGCGTACAGCAAGCGGCTGGCCGAGCTCGGGTACGCCGATTTGACTGCGGCGCAGCTCAACCACTTTGTCGAAAAGTTCAAAGTGCTCGCAGATGAAAAGAAGACCGTGACGGACGCCGACATGGAAGCCATCGTGAACGACGATCTGTTCAAGCCCGAAACTTTCTGGACGCTGGACGCCGTGCATGTGACAGCGGGCAACCTCGTCAAGCCTACCGCCACCGTCACCGTGACCTTCAAGGACGGGTCCGAGGTGTCGGAAGCGGCGATGGGCTCGGGACCCATCGAAGCCATGTTCTCAGCCATCTCGCGCGCCACCGGCTGCGGCGATCTCAAGTTGAACGAGTACACAGTCGAGAGCATCACGGATGGCACTGCCGCGCTTGGAGACGTCACCGTCCGCGTGAGTGAGATTGAAACGAATGAGGCTGCCGATGGACTGAACCCGCAGACCGGCGTAAGTCGCCGACGCCAGTACGTCGGCCATGGAGCTAACACGGACATCCTGGTCGCATCCGCCACTGCGTATGTGAATGCCGTCAATCGGGTGCTCGGCGCGCGGGAACAAGCGGTGAAACGACAAGAGAAAGCCAAGCGGATAGTTGAAATGAAGCCCAAGGCGTACATAGTAGCTAGCGTGTAAATAGATGAGAGCATATATTGTCGATTTGGTACAAATTTGGGGAGGGGGTTGCAATGGAATCAAACGATATACACAGTCGATCTGATTGGTTGAATTGTTTTCATTGGGAAGGTTTTGATTGGCTAATAATTTTGAGCTCATCTGAAGTAGCCAATCAAATCGATTTAAATTCCAACGAGAAACCACGCCACAATACGAAATTTCACCCGAAAGCACAATATAACGTTATTGTTGATTTCATACAAATTTGGGGAGGGGGTGCAATCGAATCGTGCGAACCGATCCTCAATCGATCTGATTGGTTGTATTTCATTGAGAAGGTTTTGATTGGCTAATCATTTTGAGCCCATCTGAGGTAGCCAATCAAATCGATTTAAATTCCAACGAAATTTCACTCGAAAGCACAATACTACAATAGTACTACTATTCATACTGTATTAATAGTATGATTGGATTTGGGACGAATTTCTGGACATCATTCAATCGGTCCCATTGGTCACTCTGAAATTACTTGGTGCTGATTGGCTATAGCTTTCTACCGGAAAGGGGATATTAGCCAATCAGATATCGTGGCATGGTAGTTGAACAACGAACATTCTACGGAATTCGTAGGCCAGAACTTGACTTTTGTATGCAATCGTAGGCGTACACCCCTACGATTTCACCATTTCGAAATCCTCAACCTCAATTTTTTTCCAAGCTATATACGAATTTGTAGCAAACATAAAATTTCGCAATTCATTTGTGAATTGACGAAATCGTAGGGAGCTGGTCCTACGATTTTCATATCCAATGAGATCTCAAGAAAATCACAAATTGCTGGACTCCAATTGACCAATCCTCCTCTATTTTACAGGTCACATGCCAAAGGGGAATGTGAGGCTTCCTAGTGGTACAGTAATGCCATTGATAGCACTAGGTATGTATCGTTAGCAGTACGCAAGTTAGGCTGCGTTGTATTAGTACGTAGTAGGAAGGAGCGATCGTTATTAAAGTAATCTGTTGACAGTCGAGCTGGACGCGTTTGTGAATCAAGACTTTATGGAAATTCTTGTGTGGGTCATAATCACACAAAACCCGTAAGTATATCTCTGTTATGAAGCAAGTATTGAACTATTAACGGGTCAAGTTGTTGACAGTGGTCCATCTACATTTCTCCAATTCAAGTGCAAGCAATTGCATAAATCTACTTCAGGAATATCGTTAATATCACGTGGTTGGATGTTCACCTTTGAGGACCTTGGCGTATGCACTGCTAGTATGACGTTGCATTACTCCATGCAGAGGCACGTTGGAGTCGTCCGACGATAACGGATGCCTCACAAGCGGACAGGGTCGTGGTGACGGCATGGATGCTTAAAGTCAACATTGATGTCGAAAATATTACCGTAACGTTAGTACTACATGACTATGGTATTCCCTCGTCGCATAATTGTACTAATAGTACTCGTATCATCATGCAGCCTGCATTTGATTGTCAATAGTGTTTCGCGATGAACACTGATTTGTGATTGAATTATCCAATCATTGTACAGGTGTGTTTTCATTGGTTAAATATGAAATCGTAGGCAATCTCCCTACGAATTCCATAAATAAGTCAATGAAATTTCACAATAAAAAAAATGCAGCCAAAATACACTGTACTGGTCGATTCAACCGGATATTATTTCCGGAATTCCGGACGTCATTATCCGGACGATGTTCCGAGCTACTTTGAACGCGGCAGTGCCTCCCGTTTTGCGATGTCGACAGCCCGCTTCACGTTCATCGGCCTCTTGTGGGCCGCGCTCGCGTCCTGCATCATGTATATCTACGCATCGTCGTTATCATGACATCATCACATGCTTAATGATCCTGTGTATGTAGGGGTGCCACCATTGAAGGCCGTATCTCGTATCCTGCCAATGTGCCCCCGCCAGTGTCGATCGACGGCGGCTTGCCTTCGCTCCAAGTCGTGCTCGACGGCGGCGTGCGGTCAACGCTGTCGACTCACGACGGTCGTTTTTCCTTCTATGATGTGCCTGCTGGTCGCTACACCGTGGACATCCATTCCCCTGTGTACATCTTCAGCCAGGTAACTGCAAGAATAGGCTTGGACACATGACTGATGCATGGAGTTTTTGCGCAGTTCAAGGTCGACATCAGCACGACCGGCGACATCCGTGTGCTCGAATTCAAGTACCCCGGGACGCCCAAGCTTGCCGTGTCGCACCCGTTGGTCGTGGACGCTTTAGCTCAAGTCCAGTACTTTCAAGTACGTCAAGTCGAAAACACCATTGTAGGTCGAGTTCTGACCCTTGTTCTGCAGCCCCGCGAGAAGTTTAGTGTGATCGACTTGATCAAGAACCCGTCGTTCCTGGCGCTGATCGTGCCGCTCTTCATGGTGTGGGTCTTGCCCAAGTTGACCGAATCGATGCTTGGTACGTAACCTTGTGGTCGTTGTTGCATGTGGCTGACCTTCCTTCTGTAGACCCGGAAGAGTTCAAGCAAGCGCAAGAAGAGATGGGCGCCGCCGCGGACCCGAGCAGCTTGATCAAGGGTTTCTTTGGTGGCGGCGGCGGCGATGCCAAGGACGACGAAGACAGTGACTAATGAGTGTGCAATAAACATAACCGTTCTCATTTTGTGTGTCGTCTTATTTGTCGTCTGGGATACAATATTCGTAGTGGGGACGAATTAATAGCTGAATTATTTGGTCGAGAGGACGATAAATAACAACTATGTCCGGAGAATAACTACTTATTTGACGAGGGAGTAGTAAATAAGCGCACTATCGCCATTGCAACTGCAACGTAGTATTCGTAGATAGGGTGGTGAAGAACACCTCCTTGAATACGTGTTATTTGTCGCCCTTGGTGGATTATCCGGATATTTCCATTCAAGCGGTTGGTGCATTGGGTTTGGCAAGTCATCCTCAGGAGAACATGACGTCGACGCGTGCTCGCCTGGAGCGCTTCTACAGCAAGTACAACCCTGACAAGAAAGGAGAGATCGATGGCGTGATGGAGAAGTATAAGGGTCGGGAAGCGTCTCTGTTTGAGGCGTTGGTGCGCAAGTACGGTCCGGAGCCGGACGCGAACGAGGAGATCACGTTCGTGGACGCGATGACGCTGCGTTTGCTGGCGTTCTATGAAAAGTACAACCCCGACAAGGTGGCGGAGGTCCCGACTGTGCTGGCCAAGTATGCTGGGAAGGAGAAGCAATTGTTTGAAGCGTTGGTGAAGAAGTACGGCCCGGAACCTGGTGACGAATTGGACGACGACGATGACGAGAGCGAGGACGATTCCGAAGTCGGTTCTGAGGACGAGGAAGACGGCGGCGACGTGGAGGGCAAGGGGGGTCCGTTGTCTCGACAGATCGTGTACTGTCCCATCGACAACTTGCCGCCCGAGTACTGCGAGTACGGGCCGAGCTTCCACGAATGCAAGCCGTGGCTGGTCGAGCACGTGCCGACGTTGTTTATCCAAAAGTACAACCGAACCATTTCCGATTTGGTAGACGTGGAAGCGCAGATCGCCGCGGGCGTCGAAGGCATCACGCTCGAAGCCGAGGGGTCCAAGAGTACGTCGCACATTGGTCGTGATGTGTTCTTGTAACGAGGGTGTGTGTGTGTGCTTGTAGGCGTCAAGAAGAAAAAAACCAAGGCAGACGCCGAGGGCAACGCCAAGGCGGGCGGGAACGTGTACGTGGAGCGATTCCAGCGGCAGAAGAAGAAGTTTGTGACTGTCGTGGCCGGCCTCGACGAGTACAAATCCCTCGACCTGAAGGACGTGGCCAAGAAGATGGGCAAGAAGTTTGCATGCAGCGCGTCCTTGAACAAGCTGGACGGCGGCAAGGCGCAGATTCAACTGCAAGGCGATGTGCAGCATGAACTGCCGCATTGGCTGGTGGAAGAGTTTGATATCCCCGAAGCGAATTTGTACCTGTTGGAGAAGGGCAAAAGCGAGCGAGCGTTTTAACCAATCAAAAAACGATTCATCGCTGCACCCGTCACGTGATTGGCTGATGATACATACTACCTACTACGTAGTACTACTAGTAGTACATAGTTACTGCCGAATGTTTCGAATGAAATGAAATGGTCCTACTAAAGTTTAGGTATTGATAGGGTCAAGTCGATTTGACATTACCAAGTACCAAATCGACCAATCAAAATCCAAACCACGAATCCAGTAGCCAATCACATCCATCTCTTCTTCCACATCGAATTAGTGTGTGACTATTACATTATGTTGTGTGACTGAAAGTAGTATGTGGTTAAATTAGTGTATGACTTAAAATAGTGTGACACTGGACGGTTCAAAGTCGATACAACGAAGCAATCGATGGACGTGGCGAAGCAATTCACGAGCGGCGGCTGCTGCTTGGAGGTTGTGTCGGTGGTACGATCCGGTTGAATTTGGCGCAGATCATCGCTTGCATCGAGTGGTGGTGCAGCGCAAAGAAGCCGACGATTTTGTCCAGCAGGTGGTCATCTGTCATCTTCTCCAGCACGTCCAGGCGGTCGCCGCGGCCGCCGCGGAGCTTATGCAGCCATTGCGCCACGGAGAGTGGGGACTGGCCGGAGCTGTCGATCGGCTGCGAAAACCTCACGAGCACACGTACCCCCACTGTATAATCGTCCACGGGTTCGATCACGGTCCTATTAATAGCATCGAGTTCAAACTGAAAAAGAACATACTTCGAACTATATTGTGGATTCGGTACAAATCGTCGAACCGACTCTCACCGCCGAATCGAATCACGAATCGACGCTATTGGCTAGTCCAATTTGAAGTGGATTTGATTGGCTCTTGCAGAAAGAAAAGTATATTCAACCAATCAGAACTCCAGCGTGATTCAATATTGATTAGACAAACCACACAAGTTTTGGAATTGTTTATAGCGAATTCACAATACACGATGGATTAAAGAACACAGAATCGGGAATTACATACATTCCAATACAAGACATTAGAACAATCGCACACACTCTCGAACGAGCAAAGGAAGACTGGTAGTGGGGCGGCGTCTCACCATTCGACAGAATCGCACATGAGCATGTCGGTGGGGTATGGATGGACTTCGTCGGCCAAGATACTTCGCGCGACGATCACAGCGCGGGGAACAACATCTGGGGGTGGATTTAAAGAATGCTTTAAAGAATCGTGGGGTTGGGAATGATGGTCTCCCACAGGATGCAATCGAAACAGGCGATGGAGGCTGTTGTACGTGACATCCTTTGTCCCTTTCAGCGCCACATACGAGATCTCGTCGTCGTTTCGATCCAAGGGCTGTCAAAAAAGCACATATTAAAAGAACAATAAGTGGTGCGTAAAAGAATTCAAAACACGGATAAAAGAACACGGGGCAAATTGAACCAATAAAAGAACGAGCATGAGATCGAGAATGTATGTACGTACCTTGACGCAGTCGTCCGTGCCAATGGCTTGCCGCACAAAGTCGTTGAGTCCTGCCCATGCAACACCCACAACGTCGTCGAGCGTCGCGTGGGGCACCGTGCACGCATGAAGCACATCCACATACACTACGCCGTGCTTGATCTGCGCTTGGATGTACGATGGGTCGGAAGGGGCGGGGACGGCGGCTGGTGCAAGGAGTACCGAAGGCATTGTGTGGAGCGCTAATTGACTGATGTACTCGAAACCAGATCGCCGCATGTCGTCCCCGCGGAACAGATGGGTGTCCTTCCAGGACTCGAGTTGCAGGGCAGGCGCCACCTATGTACAACCGTACATGATATTGGAGGAGAAATGGTGCATGGGGTACCGAGAACGGTTGGGAAGTCTGAACGAGGTGTTGCACATGACCGTGGAAGATCTGCAGTCGACGAAGCACCGAACGCAAGTTTGTATTCGTCACGGTTGCGGCCGCCGTGTCGTCGTAAAGCGCTTCCGCCACTTCGCGCCACGGCAGCAGCATCCGCGCCGTGCGGACATTCAACCGCAGCGCTTTCACTTGGTTCCGCAGGAACGATACTTCCTGTGCATACATCTCCCGCTTCTTCCGCTTCATCTCCTTGTCTTTCTGACGGCGGCGTATCAGCGAGGGAGACAACTCGGGTGCTCCGCCCGTCGTGCGCAGCATGCCTCAGGTTGTATGTGGGTGATGCGGACTGATCAACTCGTGTGGCGCCTTTACTGCGCTTATCGTCCGGTATTTGAGTCAAATACCCGGTGAAGCATCACTAATTTGGGTGACTGGAGTGGGACATCGGTGGTGTTATCCGGATGAGTCATTAACTGGATTTATTGCCACTGAACAATTCACCGTCCAATCAACGGCCATCTACGGAATTGCAATAAAAGGTGAAGATTAATATTGCCAGAAGTTTTCTTGTCGCTGATTGGCCACAGTGTTTTTTTTGCTAAGATTTATGAATACAAAAAGCAAATCCACAAGAACGTTAAATACAAAAAACCTACTCAGTAATCTCACACGTTCACTGTCAAATCATCCGACGAAGCGAACGTGTCGTCGGTGTTTGTATCGGACAAGTTCCCGTCCGACATGGTCTTCTGCATCATCTTTATAACCCTTGGATCTTGGTTCATTTGCACGACCTCTTGGTTGATATTCCAGTGCGGCAGTCGCCAGCCGTTGGTCCAGGCTTGTTGGCGCAGGAACACCGTCAAGGTGACGCTGATGAGGATGCGGCAGCCTTGGAACTGCTGGAGCGGCACCACGGCCTGCATTCCAAGGTAGGACACGGCGCCCACGAGTGCAATGGGCGCATAGGTATCTGCATACGGATGCAAGATACGCACAGGTCGATGGAGCAGCATATCGCGAACCATGCCGCCAAAGGTTGCAGTCATGACACCGCACAGCGCCGAGACTATCATGGGTCGATTGCCCCGGATGCCATTCATAGCCCCAATCACTGCGAACGCTCCGACGCCGATGGCATCGCCCCATTGCATGAGGTCTCCTTCGCCACAATCGGCTGCTTTGAGCGTCAGTCCAAGCCACAGCGGGCAACCAGGACGTAACCGATGCCAGACATATACAGCGACCGTCGCCGACACAGCGCTAATGACCAAGTACTCCCATTCATCGACCCAACTGGGGGATGTGTTGAGCACGAGCGCATCTCGTAATGTTCCACCGCCGACCGCGGTGACGGTGCCGATAAGGATGCACCCGTTCAGGTCGGCGCCGGACGAGGCCCCTGCGAGCGACCCGCTCATGGCAAACACGACTGTGCCAAACCAATCCAAGAACCGGAGGCATCCCGTGGGGGTCCACAGGTTAGGCCATCGAGGGAGGCCTTCGTGGACGAACGAAAGTTGGCCACTGGATTCAAACGAGGCTAGGGCGGTGGAAACAAATGCAAGGGCTAGCCGACACAACCGAGGCAGGTGTGTTGCAAGTCGCAGCAGAAAGTAGAGCATCCGTCAATGATGGGGGCGATGCAATGAAGAGTAGAGTGCCAAACAAACCGTGGGTACGTTGGGTGCTGTTTGGTTGGTGGAGATTGCAACATTGGACCTTACGACGCTTCACATCGAAAGCTGAGAATCGCAATAGAAAAGCCCAGCGCGAGCTACATACTGTACTTCAGTACAGACTTTGAAGCCGTTTTGACGGCACCATGTTCCCTGCTTTGCTTTGGCGACAATCATCCAACGTTACTTGAATAAACGTTGGTATCTGCACTGTAGCAGGATGGTCTGTGCTGCACCCTACCTGCGCCGTCCTTGGGGCGTTGTGATGAGGCAATTCGTGGTTTTACTCGAGTTGGACTGGCTGTTAATTGGAGGGAGTTTCCCTTCCACATACTGACCACCTCCCTCGACGTAGTGGCATACCAAGGTAACCCTGCCACGCTGGCTTGACACGTCATTGTCCCACAAACCGTACTTATCTTTGTGCGCGACAAAATATCAGACACGTTGGGTCATAACCATGCTGCACGGCAACGTTGAATCCAGCAGGTCCACATCAAAGTTTTCATTTAAAATTTCAAGGTGCGTTCAATCTGAATTCACATCACCTTGGTCACGTTCCCAGCAAAGACTATACGAGCCCACGTAATGGACTCTAAGGTTATAACGCTAGTATGGTGGTGACAACAAGTCGTGTTGCCGGAGCAGACACAGCCAAACACGAGGCCAGTTATCATCCCACAGCAACTTTGGCTATCGAATGTCTTATGTGAAGGAATTAAAGACCCTCCTAAGCCAATCAAACCCCGCGTTCTGTCGAATTTCTGCCAATCCAAACTACTGATTTAGCAGCCCACTCAAATCAGGTGTACTACGTTTTGTATAGTATAGTTTGTACAAGCTTTGAACGTCCAAACTTGGGTGAAAAGCACAATATAAGAGAACTCTGTTGGGCCACAGAACGTACATATGTAGATACTGTCTGCACAGCAAGCTTTCATACATGGTCAGAGGTTGACGTTTGAGAGTACTGTACTGCACTGACGCTTATTCAGGCAACCCAAACTCGTACAATAAGACATCTACTGGGTCCTGGGATCGTGCGCAGAGTGCGCCACCACGCCTTCGACATCCCAATGTGGCAGCCGCCACCCGTCCGTCCACGCTTGCTGGCGCAGTCCCACGGCCAGCGCCACACACGAAGCAATGCGAAGTCCCTGGTACTGTGGCGCTACGGCTCGCATGGCCAAGTACGCAGCGGCGCCGGTGAATGCGATCGGGGCGTACGTGTCTGCATACGGGTGCAGGATGCGCACGGGACGGTTGAGCAGGGTGTCGCGCGTCATGCCGCCAAAGGTCGACGTCATCATGCCGCAGAGCGCAGAGACGAGGAGTGGACTTTGTGCACGGATGCCATTCATGGCCCCGATGACCGCGAACGCGCCGACTCCGACGGCGTCGCCCCAGTCCATGAGGGTGCCTTCGCCGCCGTCGGCCGATTTCAACGTCAACCCCGTGCCCTCGATGACTTCGTCGCCCGCAGGGATCTGCCCCCACAAGTAAAAGGCGCCCGCCGCCGCCGCGCCACTAAACACCAAGTACTCCCATTCTTCGATCCAAAACGGTTGCTTGTTGAGGACCAACGCGTCGCGCAGGGTGCCGCCCCCCACTGCGGTGATCGTGCCGATGAGTGTACACCCCAGAAGGTCGCAACCCGCCGTGGCGGCGGTGAGCGAACCGCTCACGGCGAAAACGACGCTGCCAAACCAGTCTAGCGTCCGCAGACACCCTGTCGCCGACGTCAAGCTCGGCCATCGAGGAAGGCCTTCCCGCGGACTCAACGACTCGCGGGTGGACGAGGCCACAGCGGCAGGGGGCGGCAGGGGAGGTCCCGCGGTCGAGAAAGGTTGCATGTGAACACGGCGAGGAGTTGTCAACACTACCTTGGCGCCATGACGGAAGGACTTGGCCGCGGTGGTGGGAGATCTCGTGGCCAGCAACTTGGTGGCAAACATCGGGACGACAACTCACACTTGTCAACTCGCGGCTCAAAAGTCGTGCACCTGATGGGCAATATCCGGATAATCCGGATATTTGCCCGCCACCCTTTTCAACGGCAAACTCAAACTTGACTGTACTACGTACTAGTAGTATTAATAGTAGTACTAGATATACCGTAGACCACTACAACCTTGTCAAACTGGCTGAGCTGTCCATCATGTGAGGAACGCCATGACTTCGCGTCTCCCTTGGGCCTCATATCTCTGCAGGATGCAGTACATGCATCAAATGCATGCTTGTAAGGTTGCGATCTTCTTTGGATTGGGTAATCTACGGATAATGCAGTGAAATTTGAATTTATCCGGACAGCATATTGCGTCAAGTCCAAATGTCGCGGTTCCCGTCGAGGCGAAGCAGCAGCAGCAACGGCAGCGCTGTCCAGAGAAACTACCATCATGATGTAGAAGAGAGGTACATGCCATCAGGAGACATCGTGGTCGACTCGGCCGTGGACATTGCCGATGCCTCTCCAGCAGCAACATCCCACCTTCATTCAGCAAGCACCGAGTTCCTGTACCTTCCATCGGGTGAGATTTTGGCGAAACCAAGCAGCTATCATGCCGGTAGTAGTGTCGTCGCCATGCCACCGCCGATGATAGACATCCCGTCGTCACGATACGCTAGTTCTATGTATCACCACCCGCCGTCCACATCGGCGGCGTCGCCCATGTCGCTGCAGGAACAAGCGTTGTCCCCGTCGTCGAACGTTCCACGTCGTCGTGGCCATCATGGAATAGACACAGAAAATAAGCACGGGACGGCTCATGCGTACCAGCAACGCATCCTGGAGCTGGAAACGTTGCTCCAGAACGAAAAGAAGCGCTCGTTGGACAAAATGCGCCTGCTCTTGGACGAGCAGGACAAATCCCACGACCTCCAGACCCGTTTTTCGTCGTTGCAGACCAAGATCAAGACCCTGGAAGCAACGATCTCGCGCCACGACACCCACACCCGCGACCTCCAAGCGTCCGTCGCGGCGGCAAATGCCCGCCAGGCTTCGCTCGTCCACGAGATCAGCGACAAGACCAAGCATGTGGACAAGCTCACGCAGGACCTGGCGACCGCTCAGAAAACCAACGCGCTGCTTCTGGCCAACACCCAGCCCGCCGCATCTCGACCATCCCCACCACTTCCGACAGTGGCCACATCGTACACCCAGGTACAGTAGGTGTACACCCTCCCACCAGTAACCAGTACGGATCATATGTCACGAGTACAGACCGAGGCGTACATACCATCAGCGTCAAATCAAGTCTTGTCTAATCCCCATAACAACCCAGAGGTACCCAACTCAAATTACTATATCTGTGGTGGGACTACATCTACCAACACATTTGCTTGTTATTTGTAGTCGCTCGAATCATCGTCCATCCCTACAATCACCATGGCGACCCCCGCCGCCATCCCATCGACCGCGTCGCCTGCGACCATACCCCCCCCCCATCATGCGCCTACTCCTTCGACCGACGCTCCATCTTCTTCTACTTCCCCGCCCCCTTCCACTTCTTCGATGGAATCCGTCTTGGACGCCATCCGCGCGTGGAAAGATATGGCCGACGCCTGGTACTGTGATTGTTTCTGTTTTGGCGTTGGTTTATATCTGCTTGTGTATTTGGGGTGTTGTAGGAGTCGAAACCCTCCAGTAACGTCTACTTCGTCCTCATCCCTGGACGCATTGCTCGGCCAGTTCCCCGCCCTCCCCCGCCGCATCCCGTCGGAACTTGGTCCATCGAAAGACGCGGCCGCCGTCGCCATGCTCCAGCGGCGACTGGCGCTGGTCGATAAAGAGTACCGAATCACCCACACCAAGTACATTGAGCTCAAGGAACTCTGCGCCAGGCAATGTGTCCGCGAAGCCGATCTCCAGAATTTCGTCGTACGTTTCAACGAGATACATGCACTTGTCTGGTGATATATATATTTATGTTGTTGGATGATGGATGGTATATATTTTCGTGTGGTTGAAACTATTTATTTATTTGTTTAAATGTCGGATGAAGGTGTATATTGTCGTGTGAATGATACTATTTATGTCGATGTTGGATAGTCTATATACTAATGTCGTGCGGTTAAACCTATGTTTTTTTTATTTCTTGCAATATTGGTTGATTTATTTTCGTTTGGATGAATGAATGCATGGATCCATCCTAGTCTATTTCGAGGATATATATATAAATATATATTTGATGGATTTAATATAAATTTATATATATATATGGAAGGGCGGTGTGCTGTATATATATTGTGCCATGGCAATAGTGACAGAACATGTTTTCTATAAGTAACTTGATATATATATATACATTGTCGTTAGAACGAACATCGACTTCGAGGTCAATGCAGTTTGCGTCTGCCGTCGTCCACAACTGGCCCAAACATAACATCTGCCGCAGCGCCAGGACCTTCTCTTCATGACGCCAAGGAACATGCAGAAACCATCCGCCGCCCCATGGACGGCCATGTCAAGGTCGTGATCCGCAGACGTGACCAGTCGACCGTAGACGATTCGAGAGCCCCCCCCAAGAACCAAACGACCATCGGACGACCCCCCCCCTTGAACGTGGTTGCGTCCAAAGAGTTAATGAGACGACACCAACGTATCCCCACCCCCCGCCACGCCAAACAACCAAAAAAGGCGACTCCAGCCATTGGACGGCCGTGGGTGTAGCAGTCGAGTTCTTAGTACACGAATGACATGAGAGAGAGCTCAAAACACATGTGATGATTGACCCGTGTATGGATGGCCCAAACAGAAGACCGATAGGATTAGGCTGTTGCGGATACACGGCAGAATTCGTGTCGTGAAACGTTATTGTGCTTTCGAGTGAAATTTCATTGTGTTGTGGTCTCTCGTTGGAATTTAAATCGATTTGATTGGCTACTTCAGATGAGCTCAACATTATTAACCAATCAAATCCTTCTCAATGAAAGTCAACCAATCAGATCGATTGTGGATCGGTGTCTAGACGAATTCATGCAAACATTCATACGTAATAACGTTAGTTTTAATAATGTTCATACTTTGACGTCATGTTAATTTGCGCGTTCTTGACGCATTCATGCAAATTAGTAATATATACTAGTAATATATTAATATTATAGTAGTAGTATAATATCCACTTGAGATGTGAGAAGAAGCAGGGGGGGGCAATAGTATGAATTTGCGTCAAATATTTCCCATTTTTTTTTGCGTGATTCGTTAACGGTAAACACAAATGTGGCCCCGGAATTTCATTGGCTTTCCCAGTTTCCGTAGAAAAAAGATGAAATAATGTAGCCAATCAGCGAAAAGTATTTTTAGATAGACCAATGGGAGCGATTCGTGATCGGTTTAGTCTTGCGTGCTACGGGAATTCGTTCGATTCGAAATTGGAGTAGGGTGCTCAATCAAAAAGAGCAGAAGAGAAATGTATGGGCTCGGACGTATTTTGGCCACCCCGTAAGTCTTGACGTTTGTATGGGCCAGTTATCCGTACATTTTATCCGTACGTAGATTGAGTTTAACCTACCATTATCCAAGGTTTAACCTGGCAGATTACTGTTTAACGCTCATCCCAAGTAGGCTTTACACCAACACATATAGGTTAAATAGAAAAACGTAGGGCAAAAGATTTGGCCTGTTCGTCGTTTTTAGCTTTTTTGCACCATATATATATATATATATATATATATACACAGTACTTCCGAGTACTTACAGTAAGTATTTGACAGCTCTCACAAAACTGTAGTACTACTACTACACGTAGTATGAGGATGGACAGCCATAAATACCCCAAATGTGCATTGCGAACCCGCAGTGGTGTATATTGACTTGGAGTTAGCAATACACGAAAATGGCCAAGACAAGATGGCGTCCAGAGCTTAACGGTACGACTTTTGGAAGCGAGCGCGGGCAGAGGGACCGCCGAACTTCTTGGCTTCGCAGCGGCGGGGGTCGGCCACCAACAAGGTACGGTCATACGACAACAAGATGTTCTTGATCTCGTTCTTGGAGGCTTCGTCGACATCTACAACCAACCGTCGCATATGAGTCCCGAGGTCCCGAGGTTAGTTACAATGTTACAGCAAGGGATGCGTACACTTTTGGTGGTACGCGACCAACGACTTGGCAATCGCTTGACGGATGGCATAGATTTGCGCAGTGTGCCCACCGCCCTTGACGCGGATGCGGATGTCCACCTACGTACGAGAGAGAGGGGTGGGGTGATGTCATGTCCATGCACTTCCCAATCCAATCTTCTCTTGTCCACACAACAGCAGCACCCACACCCAAGTTCCGTGCAGAACAAGGGCGCGCTTGTGTGTGTGTTTCCATAACAAGTTACAGCAAAGCACCCAAGCTTCGCCTCCTTCCTTGTGAAAGGAGTTGAAGCGAGGGCACCCCGCACTCCGCAAGATATGGATACACACAGCATGGCACGTCACATCTCGAGAGAGACGGAGGACAGCGCCACGCACACCGAGGAATGAACAGAGGGATCATGGAGCATCAGGTCTCTCAACGTACGTTGGCGAAGCGCTGTTGGCCCAACAAGAGGATGGGTTCGTAGGTCTTGGTGCGCAACACTTCGGGTTCGACCAACTCAATGGGGCAGCCGTTGACCTTGATCAAGCCGCGGCCGTTCTTGCAGTAAGCCACGGCGGTGGCGTTCTTCTTGCGGCCAAACGTTTGGACCGATTGGATCTTTCCTTCCGAGCTCATCTTGTTCCTGTGTGCGGGTGAATGCAAAAGTAACATCGCGGGGCGGCATTTTGCCTGCGGGACTTGATGAAACCTCCCACAATTAATATTGTCCAAGCCCCAAACACCAGCCAATTCCCGTGTCCAATCGATTCACGTTATTCCCTTGTGATTGGTCAAAACATAAACTTAGTTCAGAATTAAAACATAATACGTTTTATCGATTCTAATACGTCGAACCCAGTACCATTCAAACAAGCTGACGGTTATTGCACAGGTCGCTAGTGTCACGCACATGTCCGGACGAGATAGAAGCAGCTACCTGCATGTCAGTTTCTTGTCGCCCACTACCATCCAAGTTTGAATGAGTATACAATAGCTCCCCTTCCAACCAAGTTTCATCCACAGAACGATCGCACTCAACACCTGGAGGTATGGGCACGTGCATACAACTAATTACAAGCTATTTCATAGGTAACGTTATACAATAATGTGCTCCCATTCTTTGCTCAATGCAGGTATGAATTGCACAGACATACACACATGCGCGACGGTTCGCCATCTTGTCGATCATACGTTTAAACGTATTTAACGTTTAAAACGTCCATGTCATGGCCTTTGGTGGTGATTGGACGCGCTGGGTTCTTGGTCGTGTGTGTTGAAGTGTAAAGTGCATTTGAACTACCTGACGGACATCCGCTCCTCGCACCATGCGCCCTTTGACAGACGAAGAGATGAAGACGGTCTTTGAGAAGATCAGTAAATAGTACGATGCCGATAACCTCCATATCCTTCTAACCACGTCCTTGGTAGCATTGGCCGCAACGTCCAGCATTTGGTCGTGCGCCCGGATGAAAAGTTCTGTTTCCGTCTCCACGGCGACATCGTGTACTACGTGAGCGAGAAGCTCATGCGCCAGGCGACCAACATCGGCACAGAACAGCTGCTGTCGCTTGGCACAGCCGTGGGCAAACTCACCAAGTCCAAGAAGTTTCACCTGCGCATTACGTTCCTCGACCACTTGGCCCAATATGCCAAGTACAAAGTGTGGATCAAGCCCAACTCGGAGATGTCATTCCTATATGGCAACAACGTGGTCAAGTCTGGCCTTGGGCGCATCACGGAAGGCACGCCGCAGTACGCCGGCGTCGTCGTGTATTCGATGAACGACGTGCCGCTGGGCTTTGGTGTGGCCGCGCAAGCTACGGAGCTGTGCAAAGACTTGGCTCCCACGGACTACGTCGTGCTGCACCAAGCCGACATTGGCGAATACCTCCGTGTGGAAGATGAAATGTTTTAACTTATATATACCCCTCGCCATCATGTGACATTCCTTCATTGCCGCTTTATTACCCCAACGTCAAGAATGTATGCGCGATTCTTCTCTGTACAAAGGGGGCCGTTTGCGACCACCGTTGTGACTAAACTAGTTGTTGGTCTCAAATGTGAACTCTGCAGAGAATCGTGCAAGGTACTTCGAAGTACTAGGTAGTACTAGTACATTTCTATATAGTAACGAGCTATAGCAAGTTCATTTTATTCCGATAACGTTAACAGCATACAGTACCCATTGAATATTTTTTTAAAAGTTGTTTTGAATTATTCAAATACTCGTAATTCATTCGCTCCGGACGCAGGGGGGAATAAATAATTCAACCGGCCAGGAGGCACAAATAACTCAGTCCATAAGTCCTTGTGAAATGAATGATCTTGTTTTCTCTTGAGCACAAATAAGTAAAAATAGTATTATCAATAGCCTTGGTAGTAATACTATGTACTAGGTAGTAGCCTTGCTGTTGTAGTAACCCACGAAGGGCATGCTGGTGTTGCTGTTGAGGTTGTGGATATAAGAGCATACTAGTATATGAGATGCTCTAATAGTTGCTCCGAGTAAGTAAGTTCACTTGAAGGGATAACTAACGTTATAGTACAGTACTACTAGTAGTAGTATTTAATACTACCACTGAAAGTTATCGTTCTCGGGGCTTCCATTTCGTCGAATATTTTGGTGGTCGTAACCTCGTGCGCCAATCAGAATCGTTCAATCTACAGCCAATGAAAGACAGGTATGTACAAGTTTGTTGTGTCTGATGGCATCAACTCGCAATGCTGCCGACATGCCCGCGTCGGACAAGACGGCACCGCCGCAAAAGTCGCTGTTCAAGCACAGTTTTGCCGGTGTTGCCGCTGGTGGGATCAGCACTGCCATCCTGTACCCGCTGGATCTGGTCAAGACACGCTACCAGATCCACGAAAACTCTCCGCGGGCGTTCCGGTCGTTAGGCCAAGCGTTCGCATCCATCGTCAAATCCGACGCTGGCGGCAGTCGATACAACTTGCGCGCGCTGTACCAGGGTATGAGTCCAGCGTTGTACGGCACCACTCTGTCGTGGGGTCTCTACTTTCTCTTTTACGAGCACGCCAAGTCGTTCTACGCCGAGCAGACGGTACTACCGGCGTGGGCGGGCCATTTTGCGTCTGGCATCCAAGCAGGTTTGTAGCCCCAAAAGACGCGTCTCTCTCTCACGCTACCACGTCATATAGGCGCCATGTGCGTGCCGCTAACGAACCCGATCTGGCTGGTCAAAGTTCGCATGCAAGTCCAAGGCACCCATCCGTCGCAGGTGCCGTACAAGAACGTCGCCAATGCATTGCAGCGCATCGTCGCAGAAGAAGGCGTGGCCGCCTTGTACAAGGGAGTGGTGCCAGCTCTCTTCTTGACCACCCACGGTGCCTTCAAGGTAGTAATACTAGTAGTACCCTCTTTCGTTGTAGGAGTCGGAATATCATATTCTATTCCGCTTGAGTTGACGTCGGGTATAGTTTGTAGCGTACGAATGGCTCAAGACAGAGTACAACGACCACATTGGCACCCCGTTGGTATGTTCCGTGAAATATATAAATGTATATATATACTACGTCGTATATAATATTTATATTTATATTCATATATATTTGAAAGTGCACGAAGAAGAGGGCAAATACTTGATTTCGTTATTGTTACGGGATACACAAAAGTTGTATGTGCCTGGATTATAATAAATAATTATGTATCAGGGAATCCCTCAAACGTTGGTCATGGGGGCCGGCGCCCAAGCGTTTGCGTCCACGGCCACGTACCCGTACCAAGTGATTAAAACTCGGCTTCAACAAGGTAAAATCGGGTTCGTGTATACTAAAGTCAAGTGTATGACGTGGCACGCTAGGAGGACCCTCGGCCGACAAGTACAAAGGCACGTGGGATTGCACCAAGCGGATGGCCCAGTACGTGTGGTTTGGCGAAAATTAAATATATATTATGTATTTTGTGAATAATGACAAGATGTTGAACCAATGTTTTTTGTAGACTCGAAGGCTTGCGTGGGTTTTACAAGGGGCTCACGCCAAACTTGATCAAAGTGCTGCCCACGGGAGCGCTGATTTTTGCCGTGTACGAGTACGTGTACCAACTCTTAGATGGCCCCAAGTAGATCGATAAAATCGAGATTGGGCTACGCTAGTTAACAACATCAACTAAAGTTAAGCGGGTGATTCAGTTGGCTGGTCACGGCATTTGAGCACTACGTGGTATATACCAGGGTTAAATTAGCTCGACTTTTCCAAGTCTTCATATGTAGTACTAGTAAGCAAGTTTGCGAAATGTGAGAAGTATAGCGCTGTGTTACACGGCTACGGAATGGATATTCAGACTTGGTAGCGATTGTGAATACTGTTCCAGTCGCTATATAACATGAGGAAGACGATAGTATCACCAATGATGTAAGGTTGCTATGTACTTCGAAGTACTAGTAGTATGTACATACTTGTATTAATAGTACCTATTGTACTATTGTACTATTGTACTATTAATACTGTAGTACTGTATTAATAGTACAATAGTACAATAGGTACTATTAATACAAGTATGCAACTAACAGTGTACTACGTACTTCAAGTAGTACTGTAAGTACTTAGCAGTACATACTTTACAGTTAACGTTAGTTACCTTGCGTTCAAGATCCTGGCCCTTCCGAGTGCACTTTTGAAGTAAGCTGTGCATCACTATGCATTTCGATACAACATCTGAAACGATTGGCTGTGTTTTTCGCAATTATTTGTGCATACTATTATTTGGTTCATGGGGGCCATTCAATCTTGGACCCCTCCACGATAGTACATTCAATTTGAAAGGGATGAACTAGCCATTCTAGGTACAATCGTTGGAAGGCAATAATACCTATCGCATGCCTGTCCGTATAATAATAATTGAAACCATGTTAACTTAAACACCAAACTACACTCTCACAGCGACGGCTTGTGGGTGTTCCATGTGGGCATGCGCCATCCATGCGTCCACGCTTGTTGCCGCAATACAATCACAAGAAGGACGCAAAACGCAATGCGCAGCGCTTGGTGTTTGGGTAGCAGGCGCTGCAGACTCAGGTACGCGGCGGCGCCCGTGAGGGTAATCACAGCGTACACTTCAGCGTGTGAGTACAAGATGCGCACGGTTCGGTTGAGCACAACATCGCGAGTGAACCCGCCACAGGTGGCAGTGACCATGCCGCAGAGGGCCGAGATGACGACGGGGCAGTCGGACCGGATGCCGTTCATGGCCCCGATGACCGACGCGGCGCCGATTCCCAGGGCGTCCCCCCAGTCCATGAGCACACCAGCGTCGCCATTTGCAGCCTTGAGGGTCGCCCCCAGAACGGTTTGACCGAGCGGGAGCAACCCCCACGTGAGGAACAGCAGCACCGACACAGCGACGGCCAGGACCAGGTACTCCCATTCTTGGACCCAGAATGGCTGCTTGTGCAGCAAGAGGATGTCGCGCCACGTCCCCCCGCCCACGGCCGTGATACACCCCACGATGATGCACCCGACGAGGTCGCAGCCGGACATGGCGGCGGCGAGTGACCCACTGGCGGCAAAGAAGGATGTGCCAATTATGTCGAGGATTCGAAGAACAGCCGTGGCACTGGAGAGGCCAGGCCACCGTGGCAGCCCTTCGTACGGAGTGTGCTGCTTGTTGGGAACGACGTGGGGGGGCTGTTCAGGGTGGAGGGTTTTCAGCTCGGCGGGGCTGAGTTCGCACCAGTGGACGTCAGGGGTCAACGGCCCCGTGGTTTCCACCGACGGGCGAATGTGTGCGAGCATGAACGATTGAAATGAATTGTGGTAAAAACGAATCGTATAGATGAAGTGGGGGGGAGGTCGTTGGTTGTTTCACTTTGTTTTACAGGTGTACACTGTACTAGTAGAATGCAAACGTGACTCGAGTCCAACTGTGTACCACCTGAGATCATCCACCTGGACGCTGGCCAACGTGTCGCATCGTTCGCGTCCATACATACGCCAAGTGCACGCGATGAGTAGCACATAATCTGCATGAGACAGACAAGAATTCGACACATCATTGGACCAAGAATGACCAATGACATTGCACCAATCTTGTTACTCGAGCTGGGTGTTCGCGATGTTACGGAGCAAACCACAAGCCCATTCTTGTCGTGGGGACACCTCGCCCTTGATTCGACAACACCGGACATCAGCTGTTGGCAATTTGTTGTTGCATTCGTCGACGCCACATCCAACCTAGAAGTGTTGATGATGCAATACTTGACTAGCATAATCTGGTACGAAATGTAATACTATAAATGAGATGAGCCATACCGCATCAAACGTGACCAGACATGAATTTCACCGTGTATGGCTGGCGGCTGACTGCAGACTGGCTTATGTGTTCGATCCGGTTCTTTTCAGCATTTCGATTTCGTTGGCCGACAATCAACAGCATAAAGTCAAACAAGGCGGAGGCTCGTTTCCAACACCCCGCCCCCCCACCCCCCCTCGTCACACATCACCAAGTGCTGATAACCCCATCGTAGCATTCCAACCGGACGTTGGTCCCCAGGAATCCCCCCCGCTCGGCACTTTCCCCATACTTTCAAGGGGTGTCCATTTGAGTTTGTTTCCTAGTACTGACTGTACTACGGTAGGAGATGCTACTTGGAATCTCTGCATTAACTTAACTTTTCTACTGGTAGACATGACTGGTGCCACATTCCCTACAATGAATCGTCATCGTTTACTTTCCACACAGGCATGCGCCATCCGTGTGTCCACGCTTGTTGGCGCAGCACAACAACTAACGCCACGCAAAACAAGATGCGCGCCGCTTGCTGCTTGGGCGCCATGCGGTGCAGGCTCAAGTACGTGGCAGCTCCGGTGAACGCAATGATCGCGTACACTTCTGCGTGAGAGTACAAGATGCGCACGGGTTGGTTGAGCACAACATCGCGAGTGAGTCCTCCAAAGGTGGCGGTGATCATGCCACAGAGGGCGGAAATGAACATGGGGCAGTCAGATCGGATGCCGTTCATCGCACCAATCACAGCGCACACGCCAATGCCGACGGCGTCGCCCCATTCCAAAAGAACCCCGGCGTCCCCCGTGGACGTTTTCAATGCGGCCCCCCACAGCGTTTGACCGGGGGGGAGTAGCCTCCACGTGAGAAACATGCACGCCGCGACGGCCCCACTGAGCACCAAATACTCCCATTCTTGCACCCAGAACGGCTGCTTGTGGAGCACAATCACGTCGCGCCAAGTGCCGCCCCCCACGGCCGCGATAGTCCCCACAATGATGCACCCGATCAAGTCACAGCCGGTATTAGCCGCTGCGAGCGAACCACCGACGGCGAACATAGACGTGCCGAATAGGTCCAAACTGCGAAGAAAGGCAGTGGCGGTGGAGACACCGGGCCAGCGAGGCAGGCCTTCGTGCGGAAAAAGAGGAGGACATATGTGATCGTCGTGATGCAACTGCTTTTCTTCAGTGGGGGTGAGCTGGCAGTAGGTTACGTCGGGCGTCATGGGGGCTGCTGCATGATGATGGTGGGATGACACGTCAATTGTGTGTTCCACAGAATGCAGTGGTGTCGACCGAAGGTGTGCCAAGGTCATGGTGAATGAAATAATAAAAATTAAACAAAATGATCATACATGGGTGGTGGGTGCTTGTAACTTTGGATCGCGCCATCTGCTGCGTCGCCCTCAATGCTCGACTCAACCTCTCGTATACGAATGCCAAGTCACGCGAATAATGATGCGTGGCGTGAGACAGCGTTCAAATGATGGTGTGATTGGCATGGGAATGTCCAATCAAACACCCCAACAGCATTGACACCAAGTGGATGTGGAGGCGGTGGCTGGAAACCCCTCGCTCAAATCGGCTGGTCGCAGCTGACCAAGATCGAGCCTTGACCAGTAACGATTGGTGCGATGAACAGCAGGAAAAGCTATCTAACGCAAATGCCATACTATTTAGTATTTTGGGAGTTATAAGCCACCACGAGAGATTTCCAACGCACGGGCTGTATGTTTCAATTCTCGGGAAAATTGGAATTCTGTGCGTTCGACGGCCACTCGAATTTGTTGGATTTACATGGTACTACGTATTAATAGTACTACAGACTGTAACTTGCTTGGTATGCAGGTTTACTTTTAATACTACGTAGTAATACTAGTAGTTCGATGTACTATTTTTAATACTTCGTACGTAGTAATAGTTCGTACTATTAATATTAATATTTATACTCCGTACTATCTTTAGTAGCGTCTTGTTCCACGTAAAGTACGAAATGGACAACAGCCAATCAAAACGCATTCCAAAATTGGGGTACCCATGAGGTTACTGTATTCACTTGTCATAATGAGCGAATTCTAATTCACAGCGTATTTCCGACCACCGGTACCGGTATCGGTAGACATCTTTTTTTTACTTAGTAACGTTAGTACTATTAATATTACTGGAGTATAAAATTCCGAGTAACTTTACTACCGGAAGCTACTGTATTAATACTACGTAGTAGTATTATAGTACTCTGATGTACTGTTAGTACTACTATTAATACTTAGGTAGACAATTTAGCGCTTGGCAGAGACTGAAATCTTATTGGCAGGGGAGAGTTTATCATGGAAAAGTCCTTGTACAGTCAGCTTCAGGGAACCTAACATTAGGATTTCACCTGTGGTTTCATTCGATTTGCATATTAAGTCTTTGATACAACAGTGGGAGTTCATATCATTCGCTAGGTATCCTCCCAATGTTTCCTCTTGGTGAAGTTGCGCGTGGCTGTCGAGCGAGTCCACCGTCGCCATTTTCGACGACACCGCCGACCGCCAGCATGACCGCCGCCTCCTCTGTCCACCACATTGAACCCGACTCGGAACTGGCGCCATCGTCTCCCATCCATTCGACTATTGTGCGTCTTCACCCGTTGGTCATTGCAGGCCCGTCAGGCGTGGGCAAAGGCACCCTCATCAACCGCCTCCTAGCGAAGTACCCGTCGTTGTTTGGGTTCTCGGTGAGCCACACCACCCGCGGCCCTCGACCAGGTAGGACCCACCCAACCAACTAACACCGCCATCTTCAATTAACGTTGCCTTGATTAGGCGAGGAAAACGGTATCGCGTACCACTTCGTGACCAAGGACGTGTTCGACGAAGCGGTCGCCGCCGATGCATTTATCGAGTTTGCGCGGGTGCATGGCAATGGGTATGGTACGAGCAAGAAGTCGGTACAGGTGGTGCAAGATGCCGGCAAGATTTGCGTTCTGGACATCGACATCCAGGGCGTGCAGCAGGTCAAGCTGGCTAAAGATTTGCCCGTGCACTACTTGTTTGTGGCGCCGCCGTCGATGGCGGACCTGGAGGCGCGCCTGCGGGGCCGGGGTACGGAGACCGAAGACAAGATCGGCCTGCGTCTCGCCAACGCGTCGGGGGAGCTGGCGTACGCGGACGAAGGTCACTTCGACAAAATCCTCGTCAACAACGATCTGGACCAAGCGTTCCAAGAGCTCGAGCAAACGCTGGCTGCGTGGTACCCCGACGTCCACTTTAACGACCACGCTGTCAAGAGTAGTGGCAACCCACAAGTGTAGTGGCAGCCAACAAAAGAGTAGTGATATTGTCAATAGAATTAGACTGAGATGGCGTGGTGGTGGGGGCTTGCTTGGTGGGTGGGTTTGTACCAGTTGAATGCAAGCACTTCGGGAGGCTGAATGTGTGGTGTCGTGGCTATATGTGTGTAGTTTGAGTAGTAGTTCTCAACAGGGTGCTTTCATGCAGTACTTCTGCATAAAAGTTCACGGTGAACGATATTCATACTAGAATAAGGGCTCTGTAAGATGTCATGTAGAGAGAGGCTTGTATGATCTATCCATCATCGACACCACACTGACAAAATACGTTTCTTCACAGCGAGTTTGCGTGATTGTGATCACTACTAGTAGTACGTGGCTTGGTGTGTCGTCGGTGTCGCACGACCCAGATTAGGCTGGCCACGGCCATGGCTACGTGATATAGTGTACGCGATGGTGTTGTGTGTTGCCTCGACGCTGTTTCAGGACGTGCTGGTGGCGGCGGCATAGTGCTGGGCAGTGAACGCTTCGACCCTTCTCGTGTGCTTGGCGCTGTACTTGCCGTGGAGTTCAAAGCTGCGTTTGGCCTTGTTGCCCTTCTTTTCTTGGCGGGTCTTGGGCTCGGACGAGTGGTTTGGCATCGTGGATCACAAGAGTGGAGGATTGAAGAATGCTTCCAGTGGAGCTGCAAGGACGGAAGATCGTGTGTGATGAATTTCAAAACGTCGAATGATGGTCTGCATTGGCGAATGTTGGTCCCTGAAATAATGACAAGTGAATGTACTGTGGTGAATTTCGAGGGTAAGATTACTACTTCATCAGCACAAGACTACTTCATTGTTCAATCCACCTCCATCGCCTCAACACGCTTGTGATCTACGATGCCAAACCACTCGTCCGAGCCCAAGACCCGCCAAGAAAAGAAGGGCAACAAGGCCAAACGCAGCTTTGAACTCCACGGCAAGTACAGCGCCAAGCACACGAGAAGGGTCGAAGCGTTCACTGCCCAGCACAATGCCGCCGCCACGAGCCCGTCTTGAAACAGCGTCGAGGCAACACACAACACCAACGTGTACACTATATCACGTAGCCATGCCCGTGGCCAGCCTAATTTGCGTGCTGTGCCTGCTGAGGCAACGAAATGATGAAGTGTTGGAACAATTGTAATCGTCAAAATAGACCAATAGAAATCATTGTTTTCCAATACTGTCTTGTTATTGGTTAAAATACAGCCAATCCATCCCGAGGATTCCAACAATAACTCAACGTTCGATCGACTTCGGCTCGCGGTGATGAAGCGGGCGCTGTATGCCATCGTGGCGCTTCTATTGCTCCCCGTGATCGCAGTATGGTCGGGCGTTAGTTGGATCCTTGGGCAGTCCGGTCGATTCGCCGCCTTGGTCGCCTTGGTTATCGTCTTGACTCTCGCTGGGCTCTGCATTTTCCGCGACAGCATCGCGATCTACGACCTTCCCGCCGCGTTTGCGCTCGTGCTGCTCCTTCTCACGACTTCATTCGTGCCCAAGTCCTTTCTCTTCCACGTGACTCTCGTCGTGGCTTTCCTCTCGTACGCCATCGCACGTCACCAGTACAGCTTTGCTTCGTCGTCCACTGCAACGTTGGGTACGTCCGTCCGCTTCTTTCCCCTCCAGGCCCTGATCACCTTTAGAAGTTGCGTTGACCGCGTGCAGCTGCGCCGGAGTCGTGTGGACGTTTGTGTGTGCCAACTCCCTCTGGATTCCCGCGAATGCCGACGCCCTCCATCACACCGAGACCGCCGTGTACAAGTCGACCCTCAAGTCCGCTCCATTCCACATGACGATCGTCGCGGGACTAGGCACCGTCCACGTGCCTTACGCAGGTCCTTCCAAGGCGCCGCCGTCAAATGTCGTGTTGATCCATGGGTTTGCAGGCGGCAACGCCCTCTGGGCCGCCGTACGTTTGTCCCAACTCCGTCATGGGTACATTCTCATTCTGCGATAGAGCTTGGCCCATTTAGCCCAGCACTTCAACGTCGTACGTATATACTAGTACTTGTTAAACTAGTGGGTCACATATCGTTAAACTACCCTCGTTAGTAGTTAACACATACTAGTAGTTAACACAGCTATACTAGTAGTTAACAGAATATCTTGTCCATAGTATGCCGTCGAATGGCTCGGCGTGGGGCGATCGCACCGCCCTCGCACGTCGTTCAAGACCGTACGTGGTTGTATATTAATATATATATAACATAAATATATATATATAAAACGCTTTTGATCTAATATTGACCTAATATTTCACTAAAACGGGCGTTGCAGTACGAAGAAGCCGACGCGTTTTTCGTCCAAAGCTTGGAATTGTGGCGCAGTGCCATGCAATTCGACTCGATGGTCCTTTGTGGTCACTCCATGGGGGTATTTATCATGAGTTTACCTCGCTTTAGTGACTTCTAAAACGTTAGTGTAGGGAATGTTTGTCACGCATTACGCGCTCTTGTTCCCACAGCGCGTGGAGGTACATACGTATAATGGACATGTGACAGATGTGATATTAATATATATATATATATTTATTTAAAACTATTTTTGCGTAGCAATTGGTGCTGATTTCGCCGTGTGGGTTGCCAGACGTCGAGCACGACCCGCACTGGCTCATCGACTGGCTGTGGAAACTCCAGCTTACGCCCATGGTAGGTTCACGTATACTATATATAAACACGATTGAAAGATATATATATATATACATTATGTATATGTTTTAATCTTGGTATATATATATACATACATACAGTATATGAATCGTGTTTATACTTACCAGGGATAAAGATCTATTCTGATTTGTACAACTAGAGGAAGTATATATAAATATATATATATGTACAAATTGTTTAATCCTAGTACTAGTTAGCACTGTCCAAATATCAAGGGATTGGTTGCGCCATGTTTGTATTGGACGTGTGACTTAGTATATTTTTAGGACTTGGTGCGCAGTGCTGGGCCGCTGGGCCCCCGGCTCATGCGGTTCATCCTCACGGCGCGCCTGTCGAGGCAGCCCGATTCGAACGCGATCAAGCGCGGGGTGCTGGATATGGACCTCATGGTTGCGTACAACTACCACAACTGGGCGGGGTCGCGGTCGGGGGAGGTGGCCATGTACACGCACTTGCTGCCGGTATGGGGCCACGATTGCGTCATCATCACAACATGATTACGTCATCATCTTGGCCTGATTACGTCATCATCTTGGCCTGATTACGTCATCGTCGTCGAGTAGCGCGCGTACGCAAAACGGCCGTTGAAGCACATGCTCGTACCGTCCAAGCTCCAGATGCCGATTTCGTTCATGTACATATATATATATATATAGTTGTGTATATATATATATATCGAATTGTATCGTATATACAGGACTAGTGGGAATTGCAAATGATCCATGGTGGTTGTGACGGGTATTTGTGTGTGTGTGTAGTTATGGCGAAGACGGAAATGACTGGATGAACTCGAGCCACGCTGCCAAGGTATACAAACTATCCCTGCAAGAAAGATATATATATATATATATGGCCTTGAATATTGGAGTATAATTATTATTTTATAGTATTATTTCGATTTGATTTGTTTGTGTAGGTGATACCGGGACTGACCCAGCACACGGTGCTGCATAAAGTGGCTTCTGCTGGGCACCAAGTGTTTATGGACAACCCCGAAGGCTTTAACGACGCGCTTATCTCGTCCATTTACGCTGCCACGTCATCCTCCTTTGCCAACTGATGTACTAGTATACTATTAATAGTGACATACTATTGGGAGGTTACTAGTACATACTAGTATTCCGTCAAGACAAACATACACCTTCACAACGCTTAACAAACAACTCTACCACTAGAGTACTTTACTCTTGTGGTGCCGTAAGCAGCAGCGCATGCATTGCAGCACAGAGTAACGTTTATGACAGTTGGAGTAACTGTTACACGTTAGTTCACTATCTACTTTAGACACGTTCAGTAGTACAGTAATAGTAGTACTAGTACTACTACTACTGTGCAAATAAGGCCATTTGAATTGGATAATAATCTACTACTAACGTTAGTACTACTAGTATACTAGTACTACTAATAATAGTACCCTACGTTGCTCTTCGAAGTACGGTAATAATATTAATATTATTAATAGTACCAGTAAGTGTTATTAATAAAACTATTCATACTTACTACGACTACAGTAGTAGTGCCATTCTGAGTCATGAAGTATTATTGGCTAAAATGTTAAGGATAACGATGTATGACTGGTGGATTCTATCCATTTTTCGATTGGGTGATTCGGACACTGAACCAAAATGTGGCGGCAATTCCAGCGGCGGGCGGCGTCGACGTTCTCGATCCAATCGCATCTGCAGACTGGACTTCTGGGCACCCATGCCGACTTCTCTCACAAGAACGCGCTCTTCCGGCGATCCCACCAACCCAATGTCGACTACCAAGTACGTGCTTTCCACTCCTCCACACCTCATGCCGTGTCGGTAGACCAGTGCCGTGATGAGTCTGGGTCTGCCCAAAGCGTCGGTACTTCCCACGGCAGAGTCCATCGCCCACGAGTTTGGTCTCAAGCATGCTGCGTCGGTCGCATCCGCATCCGCTACCAAGCCAGGTACAGAGGGTGGTGTTGACATGATGTCTCCATGGATGGATATGGATAGGCTTCATCAACATCAAGCTTCAGGATGCGTGGATCGCCGAGCATGCTGTGCATGTGGCCACCCATGGCGTGAAGCCCCGACGCCAGGACCATCCCCAGCACGTGCTGGTGGACTTTGCCTCGCCCAACATGGGCAAAGGTACCAAAATGTCAACTTTGTCGAGTTGTTGTTTGAAGATATTATATGTATTAGCCTACAAACCAACGTCCAGCTACATTTTTTAAATTGCAGCTGAATAATTCATTTCACATGTATATTATATTCGTATTCCATACATATATTTAATTTATGACTAGAGTTGCATGTGGGCCACTTGCGATCCAGCGTATTGGGCGACACGATCAGCAACATGCTTGAATTTGATGGTACAATGTATATATATATATATATCGATAACAGTATATATATAGATATATATATAGATAATACTCGTTCGGGTGCCAAAAACGACGTAGAAATTGCTTGAGAAATATTGCTCATTCTGTCTAGGCCATCTGGTATCTCGGATCAGCCACGTCGGCGATTTAGGCGCCGCCATCGCCACGTTGCTAGTTCAATCATTAGATGAACTAGACAACTCTGCGAATGGACTTCCCCGCTCATTTGACCTGTCGACGTCGGTTGAAACGTTAGGGCAATGGTACCATCCTCCATTACATGTGTGATTGTTTATGTTTCCCACGAAGGCTATATATATATAGTATTGATGTATACTTTAAACATTAGGATATTTTAAAAAATTACCACAGAGTGATAATGTGTTTCGATTTATATATTGAGTTGTTTATTTCTATGTATAATATTTATGTATATATATATATATGCCAGGTACGGGCGTGGCAAACAGCGGTTGGGGAACGGTGACGTCGAGTTTAAAACCACGGTAGGCGAAAGTAATTTTTCATCTATTTTATCAATGTTGCCTGCAGTTTTCATCTATTTTACTATCAAGGATGGCTATTCTCTTCATATATTTTATCATGGCTACCTATTTCATCTATTTCATCTATTTAATCACATTGATAGGTCGACGACACTGTGCTGGGGCTGCAACGACAAGACTCGAAATGGCACACGCCTTGGGATTTGACGTGTGCCATAAGTCGCTCGGCCCATCACGCGCTATACCAACGCCTTGGAGTACAAGTATGGGTTTTATTGCGGTTTTATTGATCGGATTTATAGCTAAACGTGCTGAAATAGGTGACCGAACGTGGCGAGTCGACGTACTTGTCGCTGATTCCCACTGTCTTGAGCAAGCTGGGGACAATTGCGTCCGAATCCCAAGGTAAAAAAACACGCTATATATATATATATATCCTAACACTACGTATCCATGTATTTTTTGCATATATATATATATTTTATATAGGTACTTTAAAAAGTAATATACAATCGATAATCGCGTAGGCGCGTTATGCATCTTTGTGGACGGCCAAGATAAATCGCCCATGCTCGTGCGGAAACAAGATGGCGGTATACAGTCTTATCAATATATATATATATTATTTCACTATACTACGACAGTCAAGAGCTATGAGTCTTGTCAATATATACAATTATTTCACTATACTACGACAGTCAAGAACTATTGGTTTTCATTTATTCATTTATTATTCATTTTAAAGGGTTTTTATACGCCATATATGGCGGTATACAGTCATGTTAATATATAATTATTTCACTATACTACGACAGTAAGAGCTATGGGTTTTCATTTATTCATTTATTATTCATTTTAAAGGGTTTTTATACGCCATATATGGCGGTATACAGTCTTGTCAATATATAAAATTATTTCACTATTCTACGACAGTCAAGAGCTATGGGTTTTCATTTATTCATTTATTATTCATTTTAAAGGGTTTTTGTACGCCACGACCGACTTGACGGCGTTGTATTCGCGGGTATTTGGGTGGGCCAAAGACCCTGTCGCGTACGACCGACTGATTTATGTGACGGATCTCAGCCAAAGTTTGCACTTTCGGCACTTGTTTGAAGCCGCGAAACTGGCAGGGTGGGCTAATTAAGACTTATTTATTACGAAATTAAATGAAAGGACATAGCTGGCTCGATGGGCGACACGTGACGCTGCAGCACGCAGGGTTTGGCCTTGTCATGGGCGAAGACGGCACGAAATTGAGTTCCCGCAAAGGTACGCCGCTCCATTCGGCAACGTACCCCTCGTGCATTGAAACATTCTACATCTATCTCATGGTTGAAGCGTTTATATATATATATATATAAATATTATCGCATTTCAACAACAACCTTGGTGATTTGGACTAGAGATTTGATGGCTGATATATATATATATATATACGTTATATAGGCGGCGCCACGACGTTGAAGAGTCTCTTGGACCACGCAGCATTGGAATCTCAAAAGCGGTCGGCCGTCCCAGATGCTGACCATCAAGCGATTGGCGATGCTGCGGTACTATAAATAATATCTCTGAATTTCATCGAAAAATACAGAATATATATATATATTATATATATATAGAACTGACGCGTATGGTTTCATGCTTGGGTTCGAATGGTGGTGATTATAGGATGATGTGGATATAGTTGTGAAAACAATTTATTATAATATTGTTTGGGATGATGTGATTAGGTGCGGTACTACGACCTAGCCCAACACCGCGAGCGCAACTACAAGTTTTCGTACGCAAATGTGCTGAATTTGAAGGGCAACACGGCACCGTATCTCATGTATGCGACAGCGCGCCTGCAGGTACATGACATTTCAACGTCGTGTTCGTGATAATAAATATAGGGCATTCTGCGCAAAACAGCAGAGGGAGGTCGCCATGGTACTTCGATGGGTTCGTGGGCGACTTTCTTAGCTGAGCATCCTGACGCCAGTGGCCAACTACGCCGTACGAACTATCCCATCCATACATTGATGATATGATCTTGTGATGAATTACATCTATCATCGACGAATTCACCACATATGCCTACGAATATATTTATATATATTCGTAGATATATATTTATATACTTGATGAATAAATATATCATTCTAAGAATATATATATATACTAGTCTATATTTAGAATGATTCGATCTTCGAAGTATTGTCGATTTGATATACAAATTTGGGGAGGGGGTGCAATCGAATCGCGCCGACCAAACCAATCCACAATCGATCTGATTGGTTGAATTTCATTGAGAAGGTTTTGATTGGCTAATAATTTTGAGCCCATCTGAGGTAGCCAATCAAATCGATTTAACTTCCAACGAGAAACCACAACACGAAAAAATTTCACTCGAAAGCACAATATGATGTCTACGAATATATTTACATGTATTCGTAGATATATATACTTACTTATAACGATCAACTAGGTGCATCAACTGACTGGCATCCAAATGAGCGGGCGTTGGCACTTGTGCTTGGGCAATTCCAAGACGCGCTGGTCGAAACCCAAGCCAACTGGTACAAAGTCCAGTGGAATCTTTTATATTATGCGTGCTATATATATATATATATATATTTCTATTTTGTAGGCATCCGCATATTCTGGCCGACTATTTGTTTCGCGTGGTCACATCGTTTCACTCGTTTTACGAGACGTGCCACGTCCAGCAAAACCCGGCGCGCCTGGTGCTGTGCGCCGCCACCGACGCCGTGCTTCGACGCGGGCTCCACCTGCTCGGGATTCCAACTGTTGACCGCATGTAATTAGTAGTACTAGTAGTAGTAGTACTAGTTGCCGACGGTTGTTGGGTGATCATCCATGTCGTACAATAATAAGACGAACGTTATCAGGAGAGTTCAATGCAGAAGATAATATATATATATATAAATAGTAGATGATATTATTGACAACACTATAGTACGAGACAGGTCGTTTGTTTCAATAGCACACTGGGTTTGGTGCATTTACCTCTCTCTATCTGTACTCTCTTGGAGCTACGGTAGTAGTAGTAGTACTACTACTACTAGCCCAGGTACAGTAGTTGGTTGTTGTGGGTATGAATAGTAGAGATACTACAGTATTAATACTATTGATGGGGCCTTTTGGGATGATACCAGGGTCATAAAAACTATTAAATAACGTTACTAGTATTACCAAGCTTAAATTTAGAACAGTATAAGAACAACGACTATTAATAGTACAGTAATAGTAGTACTACTACACACTGGCATCCTACTATTAATAGTACAAAGTACATCAAAGGTAAATTTGCACGTAATAATCATATTATCTTCTGCTGGTACTTCACAACAACTCGTACACAGTGGAGGGGGTCCCCCCGTGTAGTACAGTAGTATTCCTGCTACTTTCTACTTGTAAACAACCCCATTCTATATATATATATATATATGGCCAGAGAGAGATAGATTGATTGTATTACTTCCACACATCATGGTCGATCGAGTCTTGGGTCAGCAGGTCGTCCTCAGTCATGAGCTCCGACATGCCGTACTTGTCCATATATTCATCCTCCGACAGGTGCCCGTACAGCCGATGCTTGTCATTCACCATGTTCTCCCAGTGATCTTCCAAAGCCAGCATCGCCCGCGTCTCAGCCGTCATAAAGTGCACCACAATCGTATTGGCATCGGCAATCATCCAGTCGTCGCAGTCGCGGCCTTCCACGACATACCCAAACTCGTCGTCCATGTTGCGCGCTTTCATCTAATTATTATTATTGTCACTCTTGTGAAATGTCCATCGTGATAGGTACATAGGTAGTAAGTAGGTCCGTAGTCAAGGTACATTTGTTTTTCCACCAGTAGTTTACATGATGATACAAGGCACAAATCGTGCATTCACAGCAATATAACACTAGCCCATATATATATATGTATTTATGCATGTACAGGATATAGATATATACATAGGATTAATGACCACTAGCACATATATATAATATTTATATATATATATATAGAGTTGTATATGTATAGTTGCATATATATATATATATATATATATATACATAGGATTGTTTTCGACATAGTGACACCACACGTAGAAATAGCCCACTGCGTTCGCTGCAGAGTTGGTTGAAACGCACAGTGTCACACATACAACACCCAGATAGCAATAAATACACTATGGAGAACCAACAAGTAGGCACTTTGTATACACCGTAGTTTGACAAGAGTACAACATTGGGATATATATATATATATAGATGCACACTTTTGGTTCTCGTGGCTTACCGAAAGGATGACCAAATCAGCCATCCGGCGCAAATGGTTGCGAGACCGCCCCGTACAAAACACCATATGCGACGCCAGACTTGATTTGCCCGCCAGGTCGATCGTGTACACGTCGATGGCTTGTTCTCGCTCGAGGGCGGGTACAAGCTCTTCAATCGTTAGGTACGTCCTATGCCAGTCGTACGCTGTCACATACCACTACTCCATATCAATATACTTTTGAATGGGGGGGATGATGTCAGCGTGGCGAGAGCCGGCGTCGGGTAGGTTCCACTCGTGCGACAAGGAAGACGCGTCGTTGCTGGCATTGTCGACGTCGTCGGGGTGGCCGTCGGGAAAGTGGAGCGCCGCCGCGCCTGGCTCCAAGTACATGCGCACGAGCTCGTCGTAGCCCTTGGCGGCATCCTCTTCGGTCCAGAACTCACCTGCATCCACCTCGATGTTGCCCACGGTCACACTGGCGCTCCACTTCTTCACCCGCGACTCGTGATACGTCACGCCGGTGTATGTTTCCGACGCCACGCCCTCGTCGTCATCGTCGGCATCATCGTCTGCATCGTTGTTGTCGCTGTCCTCGATCTCATCATCCTCGTCCTCGTCGCCTTCGACGTCAACAGCATGTACGTCCTTGCTGTCGTCAGTCTCGCCCTTCAGCATGCTGCGAGAAGTGTGCAAGGACATTGTGCGAAGATTCAAGTTCGTGGCAACCCGAGGGATGGACTCACCACGGACCAAGCATGCTGTGCGAGAGGTCGTACGCAACAAGCGCTTTGTGGTTGGTGTGGAGGCAGTCCGCACGGCCAGCGCCGCGGCACGCTTGAAGCTAACAGACATCATGGCAGAACTGATTGAAGCGAAATCGCAATGGTTCATTGGTGGGCAAAAGTTGGATATCCGGATACGCAACATCCGGTTTATCTCTCCACCTATGTCAAAATAGTTCGCGCGAAATATACCACAAGATCTTCTTCCACACTACCAAGTCAGTTGCGCGCATGATGCAAGGGCTGCCGTCGCCGCCGCCACCATCAACGCGGACAACGTTGCCACCGTCGTTGAACATCCAGGTCCATGGAAACTCGTTTGTTTTTGATTCATCACCCTATGGGATCACGATTGGCTCTCACGAGACTAGCCACCTCCGCTTCCTACAGGACCCGAAGGTACACACTGCATGTCAAATTGAGCGCAGGTCCAACCAGGTAGATGTCTAGGTCGATCAACATCACGGGACTTTGGAACACACGCTTGCGCATGGCGTTTGGATCTACGTGGACCACAGCACCAGTGGCACTGTCTTGAACCACACACATCGACTGCACCACGACGCAGCCATTGTCCGCGACGGCGATCATTTCCTGGTCGGTCGGACTTCATTTGTCGTGCATTGGCATGCTCCAAGCGTCTCCACCAAGCGAGAGCCTGCCATGCACATGCCATCGACGCCACCGCCGCGCCGCCTCGTTCGGAAAGCATCAGTGCCCATGCTCGTGCCAGCATATACGAACTCACCCATTCCAAAGCACAAGCAGCAGCAGCAGCCACCCCAACCGCACGACACCCCTCCTTCCACCAGGGCGGGAGCATTACCTTTTGATGTGGCGCCGCCGTCGCCATTGCCACAATCGCAATCATCCCTCTCACGTGGCCCACGACCTACTCCTCTTGTACGATGCAATAGGTCACTATTTGGACACTAAACAGTGCCTTACTATCTACTACTTCAACATACTAGACGCCGCCTCCGAAACGCGACAACTTGAGGATTCAAATTTCCAAGAAAATGGCGAATCGCATCATTCACATGGCACTTCCGTTCCCGCCAGAAGTCGTCATGTCACCGGTGCCTCAAGCAGAACTGCGACACCGTCAGCAGCAATTACAGATGCAACTGGATCAAAAGGCCACCGAAGATGCGTGGCTGCATGAGCAGCAACAGGCATTCCGACTGCAATCTGCCGCGCCTTCGTCAGGGCAAGCAGCGAGACGGCAAAGCTTCACATTGGACCTTGTCGATCGACGACCAAATGACATGTACACAATCCAGGACATCTACCGGTAGTAGTACTGTAAATAGTGTGTGATGGGAAAGACCTAATCTAGGCCGCAGAAACTCCACCAGCAACGACACAGGGACGACGACGACGAATGGGATCAAGACGTGGACGTGACCTCTAGCGTCAGCAGCAGCGTACAGACTCAAATCGCGCGGTTCCGCGACTCGGTACATACAGTACATCGACGAGGACGGACGACATGGGATGAACGACGACGACTTGTCCTGTATGTAGATGGAGATATGTTCGTCATGTTCGTCAGATGGAGCAGATGATGGCGACCGTGCCGAGATGCCGACAACGCCGCCGCCGCCTTCGTCGTTGTTTCGATCGCGGGATGTTGCGGCACATCTCCGCCAGTCCTTTGACATACAGCGCTTGAATACTGCAACCCCACCCACACGCCGACCAAACCCTCCACCGGAAGACGACGACAGCCGAGGCGTACGACTCAAGCGCGCGCACCTGGTCAAGACGGCGCCGATGGCGCGGTCGTCCTTCCACATGACTACGGCCCTGCATTCGCCGTACAAGACTGCCAAGCACGCAAGCACGTTCATCGAGTCGGTGGCGAGCCCGACGCACTTTGACTATACCTCGTTGTAAGCAACATGCCACCCCTGTGACGTTCTGCTACGTACCCATTCATCTCTTCTCGCAATATATTGCATGGACGCTTGCCTCCCTCGTCGAATCTGATCGCGGGTGCTCGGGCTCACACACCCCAACCTGGAGAACGCAAAAGTGCAGTTATGTAGAATGCTAAATTGCAATGAAATAGTCCGTAAAGATGTACGACAATGTATTCAATATTTCATCTTCTAAGCTTACATAGTTTAAATACGTTTGCACTATACTCTTTATTCAAATAAAGCTCATCCACCAATGCAGCGTACGCTATATCTGGACAGTTCCCGAGGCATTCCGTTATATACATACTTTTATACATTTAGGATGGGACTTCTTAGCTTCAGATACAGCAATTTGTACTTTCAGAGTGATACATTATAAATGAGGGAACTGCTCCAACTCTCGTTTGATCGTCACAAAACCAGTTTTGGCTCGAGTCCAGCATGCGTGTGCTGTGCTTGTGCTTGACGCTATGTGCGGTCCTCCTCCAGCAGCGGTCGTGTGCTGCCACGACGACTGCGCCTACACCAGCACCATCACCACGTCAGTCCTTTGTGTGGCCGTATCCGTCGTTCCGCAACGACTTCAAGGAAGGCCGTGTACCTGGACCCTGAAACGCAGAACATTCCGCGCGCCGCAAAACACCGCGGCTTGCGTCCTCCGGAACCGCGAGTTCCTGAAGTGTACGATATCTTCCTGGGTCTTCCTTCGTATCGGGATGGCATTCGATGCGGCTTTACGCTCTGGACAGCGTTTGCCCGCGCTACGCATCCGCTTCGACTCCACGTTGGCGTCGTGGACCAAACCGAGGACGGCGACGTCCGATGCATCGACGAGTACTGTCGACTGGCGCGCACCAGTTGGCCAGACGACGGTGACTGCAAGTACAAACACCTGATTCAAATCGACGCGCGCGACTCGAAGCTCTCGATGGGACCGATTGCCGTCCGAGCGCTCATGCAGGGCATGATCCAAGCCGAGGAATTCTGCTTGACCATCGACGCCCACAGCCAATTCATTCCGAACTGGGACGTGACCATGGTCGACGAATGGACGCGCGCTGGCAACGAGCTCGCGGTGCTCTCCGTGTACCCTCCCGGGTACGACAAGATGGGGCCAAACATGTCGATTCCACCGGCGCAATCGTCGCACCTGTGCGCGTTTGGCGGCCACGACACGTTCACGGACATGCCGTGGTTCTCCCGCGTCACCATCGACGACTCGCAGTGGCCTCAATTGAGTCCGCTGTGGGGCGGCGGGTTGAGCTTCAGCAAATGCCATGCCGAGACGAGGGTTCCCATCGACCTGCACCTCGAATGGATCTTCATCGGCGAAGAATATGTGCGCGCGATGCAGCTTTGGACCCACGGGTACGACATGTATTCGCCAAGTCGGTATGGGACCGTGCTGTTTCACAACGAAACCAAAGAAGGCGGCCACAACGGCAGGTAAGATCTTATCGCTATTTTGACCAATTAGACGGTAAACTATTTTGACCAATTTCACGTCGCGACACAGCAAAACTATTTGGACCCAGTTCCAATCACAAAACTATTTTGACCGTTTTTATGTTCGGAGTATTTTGACCAATCATGTTCGTTTCTTCTGTCCAATTTGGACCAATCACGTTGTTGGATTGGTTTTTGGAGCTATGCAGCCAACATCCCCGGTCGGGCCCGACAGGCCAACAAGCGTACGAGCGGCTCAAGATGGTGCTGCAGTTCCACGTGTCCGGACCTGTGAACGGACAAGACATGGACAAGTACTACCCGCGGCCGGTGCGGTCCGTGGACGCGTTCTTGAACTTTTCCGGGATTTCCAAGGTGGACGTCAAGTTGGACCGATGGCAATGCGAGCAGTTGCATTGGATTCCATTTGAAGCACCCGACATTGTCGAGGCTTTCTTGCCGGGGTATACCATGGCTGGTAAACTCACTGGTACTCGTCATGATGACGACGAGCTACACGCGTTGCTGGCCGAGTTGCTGCAAGCGCAAGACCAAGTGGCGACGGAACAGAGCGACTGGCTGCGCCGTATTCACGATGCAGTGAGCAACGCGCCAGCCGACGCGAGTGCTGCGTTGTTAACTACAGTGAAGGACACCATTGCGTCCAGCGACCGTACCAACGCGGCCACAATCGACCGCCTGAACGCAACAAATGCAGCTTTAGCCGACCAAGTGCACGCTCTCTTGGCGCGCGTCGAGGAAGTGGACGCGCGCAATGGCATGCGAGAGATGCAAGCGAACACACTCAAGGAAAACAGTGTGTTGGGCGACTACAAAGAAGTGATGGCGGTGCAAGCGCTGTTCGTCGTCGCCATGCTCGGCTACTGTGTGTGGAATGCCCGCCGCGGCCGGTCGTCGTCGTAGTTGGCATCGTGTTTTGACTATTTAAGCAAGTCTTTATCCTCTTGTGACCTCGCATACGTACGAATATACGACCATGGGCAACGACCTAAACTAGCTACGTCGCCGCTTCATGCATCCGACATAAGTTACCCGTAGGCTACGTAGTTGGGCTTTCATCATCCAGATGAAACCAGCCCTCTAGCATGGACGACGCATGCGCAGTTTGCTCGGAAGTCCGGCAGCTGTCCAACATGGATCGGGATGTACCTAATACCCCACTAAACCGTCCATCTCAGAAACGGCGTCGGGCCTTTAGTCGGCAGATGTGACGACAACGCTGAATGTCATGTCTGTCGAGCTATTGATTGTATGAAGGGCAATCTACCTGGTGGAAACATCCATATCAATCTTCGTATACCATCCGACGACGCTTCCATGGCAGGACCCTTCCCAAGAGCATCGAGCATCGTTCCTAGCTTGGCTCGCTTCCACGAATCACACAAGAATCTCTGAAAAAGCACAATTTGTCAACCTCATCCGAAGCATGACGCGTCGACCAATGATTTCGTTTCATCACGGAACAGATGCATTTGATTGGCTGTTGCCACACGTCATAATCAGCGGAACTGCAACTCAAGTGGCATACTCAAACCAAGTGTACATTGCATCAAATTTGTGTGAGTAGCAACCGTTTCTATGGGTTACGCCTCTACTACTAGTACTCGAAGGTAAAACCCGGTAAAAGGGAGGTTCTTTGCATTCATACCCGGTATTTGATAGATAATACCCGACGTCCCAAAAATAGAATAGTAGCTACTATCATGAATCACCAGCACCAGATTGTGAAATCACCAACGACATCGCCACTGGTTCCTCGAATCAACAAATCGCCGCTTTCTTCCTCGCGCCACATCATTCCCCAATCCGCGGTGCCGAACCCTTGCCGCGGCCGACCACGTCATTGATCATTCCTGCATCATACTCCGCCGACGCGTACATCCCTATGAACGCGCAGATGTCAGGCCAACACTCCGCAGAGCGTCCACGACAGACGTCGCGAAAGTCGTCGGGTAATCTGCAACCGCTGTCGCTCCCTTCGTCGACGTATGCCAAGCAATTCGAGATCGAAGAATGTACTGCCCCCATGGAAACACCCATTCCTCCGCGAGAACGGCGACAAAGCGTCGAGTTGGTCTACAGCGACGTGGATCCGACTACGGACCAGCAACCCCCATCTTCGACCCCCCAGAGTCCAAAGAAAGGAACGTGCGTCGTACAGACTCGATGCAGCGATCGAGTAAAGCTTTGTCTGTGTGAAGTCAAGCGCCATCGATCCCTCACGTCCTGCTGGCTGGTTGCCAACGGCATCGTGTACGACGTGACGAATGTCATCCAACAACACCCTGCAGGAACCAAGTGCATCTTGCGCAAGGCGGGTGGTGTCGACTGCACACAAGACCTGCGCTTTCATTCTAAGGACGCCCAGCGGTGTTGGAAGCAGTGTGCTATTGGGAAGTTCCTTCCATGCGGCGACGACAACGGCGGCGACGCCGCTCAAGGCTCGTGCTCCATCATGTAGCCCTTCCTTCAACTATTTAAGCGATTGCATGCATCTTGTACCATAATAATACACCCCCTTTGCTTCAATATCCCTGTTTTTGTCACGAGAAATTCAAATCTCACAGGAGAATACCCTTTTTAGGAAATCACAAGCGAGTAGTGCGAGGAATGGAGAGCGAAGTGGGGGGGAATGCATGAGAAAGCGCCGACACAACGATGATGGACATGCTGCACTCTATGTCTTAGGACGTAAACTGCTTCATGAACTCGGTGGCGACGACACGTCCACGGGCGTTGAGGTTGATCTTCATCTCGCTGATTTCCTTGTCGATGTCTTCCATGAACTGAATGATAAAGTCCACCAGCTTGTGCTTGTACAGGTTCTCCAGGTGCGTGTGAATGATGAGAAAGCTGATCGAGTAGCCCTAGTCCACACATGTTCGCCAGAAAGCTCTCACGCCAAGGAAAACGGCGACGCACCTCGATGGCTTTGCGGCGCATGATGATAAACTGCTCCGCGCGCTGCATGAGAAAGCGACTGAACTTGTGACACAAGATCGTTTCGATCTCGTCGGCTTGCTTGATGGAAATGGACACCCGCGTCGAGTTGATGCTGGGCTCGATGCAACACTTTTCGTTCTCGTTCCGGCAGATCACCACAGGGTTCAAAAGCAGTTCGCGGCTGAGCCCAACTTCGATTTCTGGCTTGTTGTGTCGTTCGACCACTTGCGAGGGAAAGTTCTGCAGACACAGCGCGGCATCCAACGTCGATCGGATAGCATTCAAGTACGGCGCAAGCGTGTTCGCCTGTCATCGACACCATGCTCCCCTTAATCCAATGCCTAGAGGAAGACCAATACACGTACCATGCTTGTTTGTCGCGTGGGAAACTTTGCGTCGTCCCCAGATCGCAATCGCCTACCTCTTAAAATACATACTTCCCAGTATTCAATATGCCAGGATATTGCGTTGTGATCAGCATGACGTACATTCCCCACAACAAAACAAAACCATTTGATTGGCCTATATATGAATTGTTTTAGCAAATCAAAACAATATAATCGAAAGATGTGACTTCGATTGGCTAAAATACTGACGTCCGATTCGTAAATGCTCCAGGCATATGGAATCAATCGAGGATAAAACCCGACGATTCGAGGGAATATGTAGTGCAGTGGCATAGGTAACGAACGACGTTATGCTTGTGTACACTACATGGTTATGCATTGGTATGGTGGTATTCGAAGTAACAACTACTTCGAGTATTAATAACTGTTATACTGAAGTACATACATAGTACAGTGTACTCGGGAGTATTGTCAAATCTATTCGAAACTAAAGAACTGTCTAAGCCAATCAAATCACGCCCTGCGGAGTTCTGCTAATCCAAACGTTTCACCACCCCTCGGCAAAACCACGTATATACTAATCGTTGTATTGTATAGTTTGTACAAGCTTAAATCAGATCAAGCTGTATTTGGCGAAACGACTCAAAAGTCCAAATATTTGGGTGAAATGGGCAAAACGCGTGCAATTGGCGTATTATAAGGCGTTAGCAGGCGTAGCTTAGGGGTGACTCGGCTCACTTCAAAGGGTGTTGCGAGCCACCAGCGCTTGGAGCTTGGACTGGTCCGCTCCCACGAGTTCGTCCACCTTGGTTCCGTTCTTGTACACTTGGAAGGTGGGCATGGCACGCACCCCGCACTGCGACATGACATCCTAGAAGCATTATGAGCAGCATGCCATGCATCCCTAGATCCATCCTCGCCGGACGTACGTCCAAGTCGTCCACATCCACCTTGACAAACATGGCTTCGGGAAACTTGCCGCTGAGTTCGGCGAAGAAGGGAGCGATCTTCTTGCACGGGCCGCACCACGTGGCCGTAAAGTCAACCACTAGCTACATACACAGCATGCATGAGGTACGATTGTCACAGAAGAGTGGATTGAGATGTGCTACTGGCTTCGAGTCGCTGGATAGTGCCAAATGTTTCTTCCATTCGGCAGTCGAGGTCATGGCAATGACGTTTGACGGACCGGCCTTGCGCTGTCGAAGGTTATTGGACGCTTCCTCCGAGATGGCTGTGCTCGGAGTCGCAGCGCCGTCATTCTTCTTGTCGTCCAATACAGGCTTGCCCGTGATCCACGCCCACGCTTTCGACAAGAACATCAAGAGGAACGGGAGAAGGGAGTAGATGGGGATGCACACGGGTCCAATACAGATCTAGTACAGTCCATTAACGTTAGCGCCCCCACGACATCCCGCGGAACGTACCGTCGTCATGTCACCACAACACGGAAGCATGAATCGAAATACGAACAGCTTCGTATCCGAATGAATCCGGATAAATGTAGTCGTATTGGGTAAAAGTGACTGTCGACAGAGTTTTGGTGAATTTTTTTATTGGACAACAAATCAAAACAAATAATTCGAAAGTGAAGAGCCAATCGTTGATTTGGATTGGAATTTCGTCCACCAATCGACAGACAGCACGGCACCCACTGAACAAATTTCAAGCACATACGAACCCAAAGTTTGAGCTAAATGTTGCATGACGGGCGATTCATACGAACAAAGCTTTGGTATTTGAGCCAATTCACATCGCGTACCACCGTTGCCAGCAAATTTGACCCGCCGTGGCCGTTTCCAGAGAAAACTTATGCGCATGGGTAGAATAATTATCTGATTGGTGAGTGAAAACATCAACCAAGTTGAGTGCTTGCATTGTACTGTGAAGTCGCGTAATCGAGCATAAAACACTTGATCTTGCCACTTTGGCTCCGTTGCAAGTTGTTCCAACGGATTGGGGCACTCACTTTCAATGGATAATATGGTACAAACTTACTACAGTACTTACTGTTAGTACGTGGTTACGACATAAATCATAGTTAATTCTTTACTGATTAAGAATGACCATCATTCTGATAGTAAGTTTTGAATGATGGTCGTGACGGGGTGTTGTTAGATACTACACGTAGTAGATGGCCCACTGTCGATTTTTACTTGTAAAACTGCTCAAATGAAGTGCCACTGGCAGTCCATATAACATAGAAACTGAAGTTACATTACGGGAATGTTTCTGCGAATGAGAAAGCGGTCGATATTAACCAGTATATGTTTGATAGAACCCTATTAAAGTTGTAAAGAGCATAGTACCGTAGAGTTGACGACACTCTTGCACCCGATCGTGTTGTGGGGCTGAAAGTACTTATCAACATTCCTCGTTACAGACCTCCATTCTACTTGTAAGTTATTCGAATTAAAGCCATTTGATTGGCCTAGCACATTTTTTTATCCCATAAACTAGCCAATCATCATAAACATAGCACGAATGAGAGATCCAAGATGTACTACCAAGTGTACGTACGTACTACGTAGTACAAGACAATTCGGGGATTGTTCATCTCCATCTGATCATATTAAAGCGCGTCACATCAAACGTGTACGAGTAACGTTAGTATGAACTCCACTTGCCATTTTCCATTTTCACATCGATTGTGACAACACCCCCACACCGCCGACCCAAAACACTATGACGGACACTTTGCTTTGCTTTTTCAACGGATGCCAAAATGCGGCGCTGTCGTCGGGCAAATGTGAAGCCCACAAAACCCGAGCCAGGTGTATGGTGGCGCCATGCCACAACCAAACGTACGCCCGCAACTTGTGCGTGAAACACGGGGGCAAGCAAAAATGCATCGCCGACAACTGCACCGCCAACGCCAGAAGCCACGGCCTGTGTTGCAAGCATGGCCCCAAGTCCATGAAAACCCTTTGCGAGGTCGACGGGTGCACCAAAGTGGCGCATGCCCGGCGTCGCTGCGTCCGCCACGGAGGGGGCCGCGTATGCAAAGTCGAAAGCTGCGCCGCGTATGCCCGGTCCGCGGGCCTGTGTTGCCGCCACAGCTACGTCCAAACGGAGGCTACCCTCGCCAACAAGGTTTATAACTACCCCGCGGCATGTGATCCCACCGACGAATTGGTGGCCCTGCTCGAAGAAACGTCCATCTTGCACGTGAACAACGTGATTGATGTGTCAAATGACAGCGACTGCAGCAGCACTGCGGATGACGGCAACCCCGTCGCGGTTGAATTTTCCAACGAGGACTGCGACTGGCTCGAGTACATGATTTCCAATATTGTCTGCTAGCCGACGAAACCTATTTATATAAAGATAATATAACTAACGTTAAATCGAACGTACCTATTTATATAGAGATAATATAACTAACGTTAAATTGAACGTACTGGTATGATTCCTTTCAATTGCAAGTTGGAGTTTGTTGATTATCGAGGTACTGTAGTATTAATATACAGTACTACTGTATACGTATATAGTGAGCAGCACTAAGGTACTGCTCTAAGATACTGTAAAGAATACAGTAACGTTAAGGTTCAAACTTTCATCTCCGTAGCATAAGTTACCAGCACATATAGTACAATACTTATGCACAATCGGCCATTGTGCAGGCATTGGTATTTATATATTTAAACCTATTTATACCATCCCAGCGGGTTAACACTGTTAATAGTATACGTATACATGTACTAGTAGTATACGACCAGTACCTAGTACTTTGACATTTGAAAATACTGTACTACTAGTACATAGTAGCAGTCAATACTCTTCATGGTACTATGAATATGATAACGTTACGAGTTTTACAGTACTGCTACAGTTTATGGGGGCGCAACCTCAGTTTCTTACGCAATACCGCGACTTCGAGCTGGAACTCGTCGGCTCCCTCGAGTTCGTTGACATCTTCCAGTGCTTGTACAATTGGAAGGTGGGTCACACCTCGCACCCCGAACTCCGAAACCCCGAAACGTCCTACAGAATCCCTTGCTGTCCCCTTGGATCATATAAAGTCGACAACGTCCACCTTGACAAGCACGATTCGAGCAACTTGCCGCCGAGAAGCGAGAGAGGGTCACCTTTTTGCATGAGCGGCATCACGTCGATGTAAATTCGACCACCAGCAGCCACACAACCGGCAATCACAGCACCGCTGTGGGGGGGATGCAATGTTGATATAGTACAGTACGTAGACCTTGCAGTACTTGTTTATCGCTAGCTATACAGTAGTACTAGTATGTTGTTAGCAAGGACGACGCCCAAAGGCACCCCATTGTACTGTCATATCGTTTTTCACAACAGAAACGTTGTTTCGATTTGTTGTCGACAACACAGGACGACGAGCCCATTTCGAGCAAACTATTCAGCCAATTGCAAATTCAACCAAATTGATTGGTCGCAATAGCCCATGATTTCATATGATGTACCTAAAATGATTGTACTACACGCCCAAGAAGCTTCTGGGATTGTTTTTCCAAGAGTACTACAGTACCACGTCGTACTACTATGGAATGCGATTGTAGTGACCTTGAATTGAGAACGTGATTTCCAGGTCCCATTATCCATTTTCACATCGATACACCACCATGTCCATCAACGTACATTGCCTCTTCAACGGATGCCACAACGTCGCGCTGTCGTCGGGCAAATGCGAAGCCCACAAAACTCGAACCAGGTGTATGGTGGCGTCATGCCACAACCAAACGTACGCCCGCAACTTGTGCGTGAAACACGGGGGCAAGCAAAAATGCATCGCCGACAACTGCACCGCCAACGCCAGAAGCCACGGCCTGTGTTGCAAGCATGGCCCCAAGTCCATGAAAACCCTTTGCGAGGTCGACGGGTGCACCAAAGTGGCGCATGCCCGGCGTCGCTGCGTCCGCCACGGAGGGGGCCGCGTATGCAAAGTCGAAAGCTGCGCCGCGTATGCCCGGTCCGCGGGCCTGTGTTGCCGCCACAGCTACGTCCAAACGGAGGCTACCCTCACCAACACGGTTGAAAAGAAGCCCGAGGTATTTGACGAATGGGTGGTCCTGCTCGAAGAAACGTCCATATTGCACGTGAACGACTTGAATGTTGCCCCAAACGACTGTGAAGGCTACTACTGCAGCACCGACGGCAAGAAGGACGTCGTGGCGGAATTTTCAAGCGACGACTGCGACTGGCTCGAGTTTTTGATTTCGGACCTTGTATGTTAGTTAGCCAGGCTCGTATATACCAGTATTTATAGAATAAGTTAGCTATGTACTACGACTACTATTAATAGTACTGTACTCCAGGACGGAGAACTAGTTGATAACGTTACCCCGTAGTACTTTGGACTAACTTCTGAGCATGTCTCGACTGTTTTACCGATGGAGGAGCTGTTTCTATCCAAAGTAGTGAAATGAGTTTGGAGAATTGGATTGGGAACAGTTGTGAAAGATTGAAGCTGAGGCGTTGGTCACTGGGGCATGCCCCAGCCATAGACAGTAGTCGTCGTCGCTTGGGGGGGCGACTGCAACTGGGACGAGGCCTCGCATTGGCGACGACGTTGGCAGGCGGCGCGGACGGCATCCATGGACGCGGCTGAGTAGTTTGGATATACTGTGGACGAGCGAAAGGGTGCGGCGACCTGACCCTGATTGCTAGTATGAATTATTTTGTCGTTTTGAGAGCTCGAATACGGGTAGTTCGTCGAACAGCAGAAGCTGTGAGGTGGGTGGCTATTGATCAATAAAGTCCTTTATGGTTAGAAGCTGTCAATACTTTGGATTGGTTGGTATGTGCACCTTGGACGTGCCAATCATACTATTTCAAATACAGTACTAGTAGCGCATCATGAAGTGAATTTCCCACGTGAGCAGGACAACGGTAAGCCGTATGTAACCGAATAACCGAATTCATAGCTGTTATTACACAGTATATATGGATTAAATGTTACTTCCGGTACAGTAGTACTACTAATACTTTAGTTCTCGAATCCACAGGTGCAATTGTGGACCGTTCACCAGGTCATTTCCAAGTCATCACGACGCAGCAGTAATACAGTACTACTTTGGTAACGTTACTGTACATTTGTCAAAATGCAGCTGTCCCATTCTACTGTATGCCCATGTTCAACAACTGCCAGAACTTGTCCACTCATATCGGGGAGGTGCTACACCCACAAACATCGAGGCGAGGTGGCGTCGTGCCTGCCCCCCGTGTGACAGTTCATCGTGGCATTAATTGCTCTTGACATCTACTACTATTGTAGCATTGATACTAGTTCTACGTAGTACCGGTAGATGCTATTGGCACTCTACTATTGGAGATTCGGTATGAATTTCCTGACCGTTCAATCGAATCTCCCCAACCAAGATCATTTGTTAAGGGACTTTTTCCGACGATTCCTCGTGTATGAAGCTACTGTACTACTACAGTGTAATACCTGCTCAATGTGGGACGAGGTAACGTCATACTACTAAGTACATGCATAAATAGTGGTACTGCTATGAGTGAACGTTCAATGGTTGCTATGCATTACATATACAACTCTCTCGTCATATCAGTTCTCGTTTTCGACATGACATGGAAGAATGGACACGCACGGTAACGCTAAGATCGAAAACTGTCCTACGAGCAGCCTTTCTATGCAAAGCAACTACTGGGACGGGGTGAACGCATGGACTGTACATGTATTACTAGTATGAACTACCAGTACTTACTAGCATGTGACCAATTTCGACGTCGGGGATAAGGAACGTGAAGTGTCCAATCCTGTAGAGCCCAACATCGTGGCGGATGGCCATCGGCCAATTTAACGCCATATATAGATCAGCACGTCGGAATTTTTGTGTAGTCCCGGCACAATAAATAATAATAGTATGCAGTTAATTTGCACTGTGGGGGCGAGACAGGACGATACATGCCCCAGTCAGCCGTGGCGCTCCTTCGAAATGCACCTTGGGGGTCGGTCCAAGCTTGTGGGAGGTATTATATGGGTTTAAACTTGTACCGTGTCAGTGTATTACAAATCTGCGATCAAATGCTACTATATGACAATCAAAACCTGTCGAAGACGGCTCGGGAGAATTTCCAAATCTCCCAGGCAACTTTTCGTAACGTGATGAATGAATTTCACAAGACAGCAGCAAGGTAGGTAACGAACGTAATGTCATTCTATGGTTATAAACGTTACTGTGAATCAATCGACGCGTGCAGTTTGCCTCTCGCGCGGCGACATTTAACTTTGAAACCCCTAATAATATAATGTCCAATTCAACTCGACATTAGTTCACATGTCAGGATTTAGCTATTCAACACCATTTCAGCCCCTTCAATGTCGTAAAGATGACGTCGGCGCAGCATCTTCAGTGGTTGTTTCGATCTGTGCTGGGCGACAGTGCTGGTGAGTGATCGTACCATCGACTCTAATGCACTGTGGCTGTGTGTGACACGACGCCTCGTACTCCCTTGCCGACCCCCAAGCCCTCTGTGAAACCAACTCCTGCGCCGACGCACCGAAACGAACGCTTACGCCCACGCCAACCCTCACCACCACTCGAACCCTCGACCAGCCAGCCGATGCAGCGGCCTCTCCATGCCGATTTAACACAAGCGCAACGATTCATCCACCAATCGGACGCTGTTTCCGCATAATGGAGATTTTAACCGGATATCAATAATAGCAGAGTGTGCTACTGTTGTCGTACGTAATTCACACGGCTACGAGCTACACACCTGAAGGAAGGTCTACAGAAGTTGTTGGATGGACGAGCAGGGATAATGCTGTAGCATATCCGAGTGAGTTCCGAGGGATTTTGCTCGTGATAAAGGCTTTAGTTCATCCGGATAATGCTACTGGAGATCGATCAAGCAATATGGACTGGACGTATCCGGATCTATGAAGTAAGGTGTCATTTGACCAAATACTGCAAATTGAACGATCCATTTGAACAAATAGATCGATCGCTCTTTCTCCTCCGATCCTTATTTGCCTATCATGTCCGACTAGGTAGAATTTCTCGGTGGCTATATTGATTTTTTAGGTTTCTGTACATTAACGTTAACCTAAAAATGTCAACATAACCACCTGTAGATATTCTAGGCTTCGAACATGAGGGCAGTTTTGTCGCAAGTAGACCCCCCATGACATCATTTAATCCACACGTGGCAGAAAATCCCACGTTTTGTTTGTAGTGGCCAGTAGCCAGTAGCCAGCGCCCTTAACGACATTTAGCACTTCGATAGGCGTTGATCGTCGGGTGAAAATGACCGGTTTGACTTCATAACTGCTTCAACTTGAACGCCACGGCTTTGAGTGCCGTGTTCAGCTTGATCCCGCGGGTCTGATGTGACTTTTGTTCAGTATGCTCGCATTAACGTTATTGACAAGTGCAAACTCAACGTACGATCGGATTGAATCAAGCAATAATGTATTATGTTTTAAAGTACGATATATATAGCGCTAGTTCTAGAAGTAGTAATCGATCTACACGTGGCGAATGGGGTTGCCTTGGGTGGGAGTGGACGCGACGACGTACGTCACAGGTTGTTGGGAGGTCACAACCACTGGGCCATTATTTTGACTGGTGACTGGGTGGCGGCGGAATTGGACGTACATGCCGAGCAGCGCCAGCACGACCGAGGCAACCAAGTAGCCCCACCATTCCACAGGGATATTCACGTGCCAGGCGCCATTCGTGTCCACGTGTTGCTTCAAGTTGGCAGCATTGGGGTAGTTCCCTGCAAAGAACCCGATGCCCCATACCCCCGTCACGGCGCCCGCCCACGATGTGGCGATGATCAACGACGGCCGTTCAATCACCACAGCCACGACTCCACATGCAAGGCCACAGATGACCAAGAGGACGATCAGTACGATTTGAGGTTCTGACGGGTAGATAGCATGGCCAAATGATGTGTGGAGCTGCGTAGCCAGCAACAAGCCAGCAAACGCGCCGACGAGGAAAATGCCGACTTTGTACAGCCACACGACCAACGCTCCAACGATCAAACCGCCGAGAGCAAACGCCACCCAGCACGCCGCCTCCACGTACGACTTTTCGCGAAAGATCTTTTCGCACGCGACAAAACACAAGACGGAGCCAATGGCAAAGCCAGCAACGAACATGGCCGGGCGAATGAGTTTGTAGCCAAAGAAGGCGATGGTGAACCCGGCGGCGATAGCGAGCGCGGCAATGACGTCGGGACCGACGCCGAGGCTCTCGCGGGTGCCGTCCCAGTGGAGGATTTTGTTGATTTGGTTGTCAAATGTGCTGTTGCCGGGAATGGTGATGTTGGCTGCAGACGTAAAAGGCACGAGCATCAGAAGAGTGAGCACGGCATGACGCCATGATGACGATGAAATAGCTGACGACATGATGGTCGAATTGGAAAATGAGAAGGCTGTACGATCAACACCGTCGCGTGAGAAAAAGGTGTGTGGACATGTGGCGTACTGTCCTTCAAGTTAAAAAGGTCCAATTGTGTTTTGTTTTCGGTGTGAATGGTTTTGATTGGCTTTCGCTTTTCTGTTGAATTTCTGGGCTTGCTTCATTGTTTATTTGTCCGGCTGAGGTTCGTCTTTGCTTTTTCGTGTCCTCTTTCTGTTTCTTCGGAATGTCTTGAACAGTGTTTCAAAATTCCTTTGTCTTAAATTGATTTTCAAACTGCTTTTTTTTTGGATCCAACACGTTGTGTTTGTTGTGTTTATAGTATATACGTCTTCGAAGTATTCGGTAACGTTATGTATACGGTGTTTTGTCTTTATTTGGTTTCGCTGTGAATTGGTTATTATTTGTTGATGTTTTTTGTGCGCCGTTTGCTTGGTTCTTGAATGGAGCCCTGAAATTGGCTTTTTACGTTAACGGCACATCCAGAGAATTCACATGGAGTTTGGACCTATTTCAAAGTACTTAACTTGAAGGACAGTACGCCACATGTCCACACACCTTTTTCTCACGCGACGGTGTTGATCGTACAGCCTTCTCATTTTCCAATTCGACCATCATGTCGTCAGCTATTTCATCGTCATCATGGCGTCATGCCGTGCTCACTCTTCTGATGCTCGTGCCTTTTACGTCTGCAGCCAACATCACCATTCCCGGCAACAGCACATTTGACAACCAAATCAACAAAATCCTCCACTGGGACGGCACCCGCGAGAGCCTTGGCGTCGGTCCCGACGTCATTGCCGCGCTCGCTATCGCCGCCGGGTTCACCATCGCCTTCTTTGGCTACAAACTCATTCGCCCGGCCATGTTCGTTGCTGGCTTTGCCATTGGCTCCGTCTTGTGTTTTGTCGCGTGCGAAAAGATCTTTCGCGAAAAGTCGTACGTGGAGGCGGCGTGCTGGGTGGCGTTTGCTCTCGGCGGTTTGATCGTTGGAGCGTTGGTCGTGTGGCTGTACAAAGTCGGCATTTTCCTCGTCGGCGCGTTTGCTGGCTTGTTGCTGGCTACGCAGCTCCACACATCGTTTGGCCATGCTATCTACCCGTCAGAACCTCAAATCGTACTGATCGTCCTCTTGGTCATCTGTGGCCTTGCATGTGGAGTCGTGGCTGTGGTGATTGAACGGCCGTCGTTGATCATCGCCACATCGTGGGCGGGCGCCGTGACGGGGGTATGGGGCATCGGGTTCTTTGCAGGGAACTACCCCAATGCTGCCAACTTGAAGCAACACGTGGACGCGAATGGCGCCTGGCACGTGAATATCCCTGTGGAATGGTGGGGCTACTTGGTTGCCTCGGTCGTGCTGGCGCTGCTCGGCATGTACGTCCAATTCCGCCGCCACCCAGTCACCAGTCAAAATAATGGCCCAGTGGTTGTGACCTCCCAACAACCTGTGACGTACGTCGTCGCGTCCACTCCCACCCAAGGCAACCCCATTCGCCACGTGTAGATCGATTACTATTTCTAGAACTAGCGCTATCCTATCACTCTACTATAACTTACTAGTAACATTATCTTGATATTTTGTTTGTCGATGTGGTAACATTAGAAGCCTGTGATGGTGTGGAAATCAATGTACATACCTCTGGGCACTTGCGTTCAGTGCGTTCGGTGCTTGTATTGAGTGCTCAAGGACCTAAGGTTGGCCCACAGAGCTGTAGCCATATCACATAACTCTCATGTTGAAGTACATTCCTTCACGTTGACATGTACTTGGCCTCGTAGTATCGAAACTACATCTAACGTTACTATAGCTATCGCCTTTAAACCCATGATAGCGTATGCATGGAGAATGCATCATCCAATTACGCGGCACAGGGTCAGCCACGCACAACGGACAATTGAACGGTGTGACCTGTTTTTTGTACCTTTAGCGAACTATAATACCTCGAAGTACTAGGTTTTAATCGTAGTGGTTGACACGGTGTCCTCCATGCAAAACGCACGTTTTAAGTAAAACCTCCACGTAGGCTGGTTGTATACTTCGACAAAGTACGTTTGCGTTAAACGCGCACTTTACCGGACGTAATTCCCTCAGCCAATGCTTTGCGGTTGCTGAAAAATATTGGCAAGTCTCCATTCAGATTTGGTTCAACATGAGCACGTCCGCGGACCACGAAGCGGAAGACGCGCTGATGGAGGCACCGGTGGCGCAGCAAGACAGCCGGTACTTTTCGGAGGAGCTCTTCGAGTCCCTTCCACTGTCCGAGCCGACACAGCGCATCCTGAAGGAGCTGAACTTTGTCAAGATGACCAAGATCCAGGCCAAGTCGATCCGGCCGTTGTTGAGCGGCAGCGATTTGCTCGGCGCGGCCAAGACGGGCAGCGGGAAGACGCTGAGTTTCCTCATCCCAGCCGTGGAACTTCTGTACAAGGTCAAGTTCACGGCGCGCAAGGGCACGGGGTGCATGGTGATCTCGCCGACGCGCGAGTTGGCTCTGCAAATCTACGGCGTGGTCAAGGAGATCACCAAGTACCACACGCAAACCCATGGGATCGTCATGGGCGGTGCCAACCGTCGCGCAGAGGCGGAGAGGTTGGTGAAGGGCGTCAACATTCTCGTGGCCACGCCAGGGCGACTGCTCGACCACCTCCAAAACACCAAGGGATTCATCTACCACAACCTGCAGATCTTTGTGATCGACGAAGCGGACCGCATCCTGTCGATCGGGTTTGAAGAAGAGATGCGCCAGATCATCAAGTGCATTCCCAAGACCCGGCAGACGATGCTCTTTAGCGCCACGCAGACCAAAAAGGTGGAGGATTTGATCAAGGTGTCCATGCAGGGCACGCCCGTGTACGTCGGCGTCGAGGACGATGCCAACACTGAGGCCACCGTGCAAACCCTCGAACAAGGGTACGTGTGTCCATCCATTCAACACGATCACGTCAGAACTCGAACCCCTGTAGCTGACATGTATATATCTTTGTGTAGGTACGTGGTGACGCCCAGCGACAAGCGATTCTTGCTCTTGTTTACGTTTCTCAAGAAGAACCTACACAAGAAGGTGATGGTGTTCTTCTCATCGTGCAACGCAGTCAAGTTCTACGGTGAGCTGCTCAACTACATTGACGTGCCAGTGCTGGACATCCACGGCAAGCAAAAGCAAAACAAGCGCACGACGACGTTCTTTCAGTTCTGCGGCGCCAAGACTGGCATCTTGCTGTGCACTGACGTCGCAGCCCGAGGGCTCGACATCCCCGCCGTGGATTGGATCATCCAGTTTGACCCACCGGATGACCCGAAAGAGTACATCCACCGCGTCGGCCGCACGGCGCGCGGCGCCACCGGCTCGGGCAAGGCGCTGCTCATGCTTCTCCCAGAAGAGCTCGGGTTCCTCAAGTACCTCAAAGCGGCCAAAGTCGGCTTGTCCGAGTATGATTTCCCCACGAAAAAGATCGCGCAAGTCGAAGCGCAGCTCATGAAGCTTGTGGAAAAGACCTACTACCTGCACAAGTCGGCCAAGGAGGCGTACCGTAGCTACCTGCTCGCGTATGCATCCCACGGGCTTAAAAATATCTTTGACGTTGGCACGCTGGATCTGCAGGCCGTGGCCAAGTCGTTCGGGCTAACTGTACCCCCCAAGGTGACCCTTCCAGTGAAAACCGCGGGTAAAGATGGCAAAAAGCGCAAGCGAGAAGATGGAGGAACCAAGTACGGCAAGAGCGGCCACCAGTTTAGTGCCGACAACCCCTACGGCAAGAAAGCCAAGCACGATTCGCGGCAATTTGCACACTAACTAGACCATCATATCCCATGTTATATCTTTATAATGAACACACACGTTTTGCCAAACAGTATATATATAGCATCTTTTGCGAGCTAAAACTGACGGGAGCTAACGGTCGGTGCAGCCGTCGAGGCTAGATAGACTAGCTACTGTGCCTGAGCTATCTACAATAGGTAGAGAGATACTCGAGCCGTGGCTATCTAGCTACAATAGGTAGCTAGTTTTAGCCTACTACGTACAGTAGTAGATCATTGGGTAGCTAGCTACCAGTAGAGATACTCGAGCCGTGGCTATCTAGCTAGCTAGCTACGGCTATAGCCTAGCCTAGCCTCGTCGTACGTTTTGGCTAACTATGTAGTATACCAATACCTCTTTCCGATGTATATTGCTCCAACCTGATTTGGCTTGGCAGGTCGCCTGTGGATGGTGGTGGACGGTTGGAGGAGGAATCAACGAATGTGGACATAGCGTATACTTCATGTTCAAGGAATAAATACAGCCGCGTATGACGAGCGAGGTACACAGGACGACGCCGCGCGCCACGTCGAGCTCGTGCCGCGGCAGACTTAGTGTAAAAACATGGGCGGGGGGATGTTAAACGTCATGGCGCGGGATGGGATGTTGGGGTTTATCCCACCGGCGCCACTATCCTCCGAGGAGGAATCTGTACATGCGTTCAGGTCTGCCATGGGCAGCGGGGCGATCCCCGGTCGTGGCACCACATGACGAGATGTGTCGGGGCTGGGGGCGTTGTGGGCCATGGTCAAGGACACACGCCGCAGATTTCTACAAACGGACGTCAGCTCTTGATGGGAGAAATGGGATGGACTGACGGGGTAGCGGGACTACGCAGATGCGATGGCGTTGATAGCCGTGTTGCGAGCGAGGTCGAGGACCGTGTCACGATTGGCGACCGGACGACGGACGCTGTGCTGGAAGTCGCCACCAGGGCCAATAACGTGCATGTCGAGACTTCACTCGAGGACGAAGGTGACGTTATAGCTACGTCTGGGGGAGCTGCAACGCGCAGTTCGTCCTCCAAGGATCGCATCGCGGCGGGGTTGGCGATGACTCCTTCGCCCTCGTTTCCTGGGTGCAAGATCAGCCGAGGAAAAGTGCGTACTTTCGTGCGTTTCTTCTTCTTTGGCGCTCCTGGGCATTCTACTTCCTTCTTCATACGAGGGGGACTCACATCGCCGACGACGGCGATGGCGCCGCCGGTCCGTCGGGCGGGAGATGTGGCCGCCTTCATCTCACAAGATTCCCCAGTTTTTGGTTCAAATATGACGGTATCCGGACAACTTCCGGCCCCGAATTCGAGTTTTTGAATTTAACGTCCGTGGATTGGCTAAAATGAAACCTTGCAATTCGTATGGCATACAATTTACAAGATGAAACCTGCACTCTACGGAACATTCCGTCGAATTTCGTTACTTTAACGAATGGCCAGCGAGGAGTATCCACCTTTTGTCCATACAGTATTTTATTGAGTGGTTTTGAGCTGCGAAAAAAGTTACACATGACTTCAAGGGAACGTTACTGAAGTGCAACGACACCGTCGGAGAACATTTCCGAATGCTCCTCTCACGATTTGTATACCATACAAACGGCAAGATTGAAACTGGATCTTTTTCGAACCGACACGTTCAAACACGCGATGGACAGTGGCGATGTAAGTCTCCACCTTGCTCCATGAACATCGCACATACATCATACGTGCATCCACGGTTGTAGAGCGAATTCAGCGCCGACGACGTCGTGCCGATCTCCAAGAATGTACGTACGTGCGTCGGTCGGGCCCTCTGACTATGGAGCATCTTTGGATCTGACACATGATCGTGCGGGCAGGCCATTGAGTCGACGTTAAAGGACACGGTGTACAACCGCAAGAAAGTGAACGACTGGACCAACTCCCTCGTTGCCATCGTCCTCAGCGGACTCCAGAACATCAACAAACCGTTCAAATATGCAGGTACCTTCCATCTGCTCAACATAACATGATACCACGCTCATCAAACTCGATCCATGCTGTAGTCACATGCTTGATCATGCAGAAGACAGGCGCTGGTGTGACCACGGCCGCTGCATGCTACTGGGATGCCGTCGTCGATGGTACAGTACGCACCCACCACACCTTCCATCGACTTGATTCCTCAATGCAATGCTGATCGTTCGATTAGGGTATTGCACTGTATTATGGGAAAACAGCACCATCCAATGCGTTGTGACCGTGTACGGCGTTGCGATCTCCCCGTCAGTGAGTAAGCATGGTGAACACTAGTACTAGTACTACTACAAAGTCAGTCCTACTAGTCACTGTGTACACACATGTACTAGTAACCAACCCTGACATTGATTAAAACTGGTTGATCAACGCCAAGCAAGCTTGGGCGACTGGTTTGATCTCGACGGGCGTCGACACGACCAACGTCTCCATCGTGGGCACGAGCAACTTGAACTGCGCTTTGTACGTGGCGAGCTTGACAGCGTCGTCGGTTTCTTGCTGGGTAGTACTACTAGTAGTACTAGTACTTGTGTCACACGACGTCGCCACATATTCCAACAGATTTTGCAGCATGACGACATGACGATGCACGAGTTCCGGGGACACGTCCGGGTCTGCCAGCACCGCTTGGATTGTCACTAGCGGCTCTTGATCCATCACCACTTTGCACACCTGTCACATATTCCTCCATCATCCTCGTCGTCATCGCAGATCCACCGCACAAACAAAACTTTCAATGATTTTGCATAAAAACCCATACTTTTTCATAAAAAGGTGTGAATTATTCGCTATAAACAAGTCGAAAATTCTTCGTGTGGTTTGGCTAATCAATATTGAATATATCATCACGCTGGAGTTGTGATTGGTTGAATATACTTGTCCAAGAGCCAATCAAATAAGCCACTCAAAAATGGATTAGTAGCCAATCGCGTCGATTCATCGTGATTCGTTTCTGGAAATTCGTCTCGAATCCACAATATTCTTGTGTTTATTCTGAACTGGAGAGCGACAATATGTATGTACAGACGAATCGTCGGCAGTAGAATTGAGCCAATCAGATTGCAGGAAACAACCATCATCAACGTTTAATTAGTGTGGAGATTCAATTAGTGTGATACCATCACCACAGGACAACACGTTTTACATACAAAATGTCAGTACAACGAATCATCGATCGATAGAGTTGGCAAAGAATCAGCACAAAAGTAGTCCAAATTTTGGGTAAAAGATACACAATACTACATATACAAGGACCATAAACAACAACTACACCCACACATCCTCCTCCTCATCGCCTATATATATATCTATTACCACTACCAGCAGAACCAAGAATTTTTACGCGACACTGTAAAACGACACTGTATCACAGGTTGTTGTACCTCGCCGTACTGTGTGACAGTGGCCAGCGCCCCCGCAGCGGCGCGAGCCGTTTCAAAGTCCTCGTCGCTTTCTTCAATCGACGAGAACGCGAGCCAGAGGCGCGCCTTATCCGGCTGGCAAAACACCCGGAGGACGTCGTCGTGGGGAAGGAGGTTGGTGAGGCACTCGGTGGCGGCGCGGCGGACGAGGCGGTGGTCCGAGAATTGGAGGTACTGGATCGCGCCGAGGCCTTGGTCGGCCAGGATTCTGGAGAGGGATCAGAGAATCAGACTCAGAAGCAGAGAGAATCAGAGACCTGGCTTTGGTTTCCATGGACACGGACGCCACGTTTGTCAGCGCCATCAACGCTTCAAACTGCAACAGCGCCGCGTCGTGCTTGTTTTGACACAACGTCCGCAGCGGACGGACCGCCGACAACAGTTGCGCCGACGGAATCAGATGCGGGTTGGTCGTAATCAGAATCTTTGCGATCGCTTGCTGGGCTGCGTCGGACTGGTGGGCGTGGGGAAACAGCCCCGCCAATACCCCGCCTTGCACGAGCTTGCCCCGCACGTCGACGCTGTCGGTGGCATGCAAGGCCCTACCGTCGTCGTTCCGAATCAGACTCAGAATCAGATAGAATCAGGTCGTACGTTTGAATCGCCAACTCGAGCACGGCCGGGCTCTTGGTTTTGAGCAGCAACGTCAACGTCTTGACGGCAGTCGGCAGCGCCAACACCGCCGCGAGTCGCGCGTGGACCTGATCGACGCTATCGCCATCGTCGAGCTCGGACTTTTGCTTGAGCGCTTGCTGCAGCTGTTCGTACTGGTCAGGTGTCATTTCCGAGTTGGCCATTTTCTGCTTTTTCAAATGTGACTCGGACGTGAGCAGGTGGTGCAGCGAATATGCGACACCGTACAGCATGTTGGACGGCGTATCAGTCAGCGACACGGTCAGCAGCGGCGCCAACGCGCGGGGGTGCTGGACCTGCAATACACCAAACACAGCAGCAGTATCAGATTCATAGAAGAATCAGACTAAAATTTTGTTTTTTTTAATTTATTCAAAAAAATTTTATTTATTTAAATAAATGTGATAATTATCAAAATTGTAACAATTAGTTATATTTAATAACATGTCCACACAAACGAGCATGGACACAGTGTCACAGATGACGACGATGCCGTCATCGCATCCAATCAATAAAATCTTTGTTGGAGGACAAGTCGAGCAGACGTGGAATCAGAAAACCGAAACACAGGCCGGAACGAGAATCAGAATCAGATATCGAGAATCAGAATCAGATATCGAGTCGTACCAACAGATCTTTCACCGGCGTAAACGTGATAATGTACGACAACGCTTCCACGGATCGTTCAGCTGCCGTGGAACCGACGACAGATGGCCGCGCCGTGGCCTACATATATGCCACCCATCGAGTGAACCGGCCAGATAGATTTATATACTCATTTGATTGACCAATCAAACGCTGCTTACATTGTGCAGCCGACTCAACAAGCCCAAGACCGTGTCCACCATCATGTGACCCGACGGCGTCATCGGATCGAACGCTTTCTCCACAATGTGCAACTTGACCAGCGCCGCCACCGCCGTCGCTTGCAGCTTCAAGTGCTTGTCGTCCATGTCACATTGCATGATTTTACTATATATATACATGTATTATTGCATGATTTTACTACCAACATATATATACATGTCTTATTGGTAATTAATTCGATTTCAAAATTGCCAATCGAATCCACGGAACAAAGTAGCCAATGAAATGTTCGAAAAATAAAACTTTTGACCAATCAAATTGCAGGTGGGTGTATTCGGTGCATTTTTGCCAAGCATATCACAAACAGTTGAACGTTGTATCGGACACGAGTCACAGTGAGTGTAGTTAGTTAAGTAAAATGACATCTCGACAATTTCGTCGAATGTACCAAAAATACCCAGTTTAGCTCAAAAGCACAATATTGTGCTTTCGAGTGAAATTTTGTGTTGTAGTTTCTCGTTGGAATTTAAATCGATTTGATTGGGTACTTCAGATGGGCTCAAAATTATTAGCCAATCAAAACCTTCTCAATGAAATTCAACCAATCAGATCGATTGTGGATTGGTTTGGTCAGCTCGATTCGATTGCACCCCCTCCCCAAATTTGTATCAAATCGACAATATCATTGTAATACATTTTACATACTAGTCAACAACACACACTATATTGTGTAGTGCATAAAAATGAATAACATACCCCAATTCTACACGCAGGTCCAGTGGGATGCACGCGGCGCCGGTTTCCGTGCCTACATATTGTCAAGTCGATATATATCGAAATTGGAGTAGGGTGTGATCAATCGAATAAACAGCAGAATAACGAAATCGGCAGACAATCGATATACGACCAATCAAAAACCAGATCACTATTTAAGTAGCCAATCAAATCCCCACTATTCCACCAATTAGTGTATGACTTCAATTAGTGTGACACAGGACGATTATTTTACATACAAACGTCAGTACAAACTTAATCGATCGATAGATTTTTCTCGAATCAGCACAAAAGTCCAAATTTGGGGTAAAAGGACAATAGTATATATTGCATCCCCCATATATATCGAATCAGAGTATCAGAATCAGACGTGACACATGGCTCAGACACATACCGGCGACGAACGCGACGAGGTCCATGACGAGTTCCTGGTACGCGAGCATGCTCTTGGACGCCAACAAGAGGTCACCCAAGTGTTGAAAGAACGACGGGTGGCTGTGGATGACGGAGCTGCCGAGTTTGGCATTTACAAGGAACACGCTGCAGAGGAGCACGGCGCCGGGGCTGGCGGCCGCCATGGTCGGCGCGCTAAGGATGGGGAGGACGCAGTGGCGCCGTACGATTTGCTCAGCCTGGGCTTCGTGGCCTTCAAATGACGCCAGCACTTGGGAAAACACGAGCGCCACGCGGGACACGGTTCTGTCCTCAAACACGTCGGCGCGGGACAGCAGCAATGGGAAAATGCCCAGTTCGTCCAGGGATGTGCGCAGCTTGGCGTGGAGTTGCTTGAGGTCCGTGAGCAGCGTGTCCAGAGCAGCCACTTGCAGCGGCACGCGGTCGCTTCGCAAGCCATTCAAGACGGCGTCCAGAAGCAGTCGGCGCGGCGCCAACGTCCTGTCGGACGTTTCTGTGGGTTGGGCGGCGAGATACCCCACCAGCGCGCCACACAGACCAATCACACCTACTTCCAACGCAAACACCAAGCTGTCGGCGCCGTCGTCATTCCCATTGACAAGCGCCACTTGGGGCGGCTGGACAAATGTTGTCAAGATCGTCAGGTCGACCGCGGCGAGCACGGCCGCAGCGCTGGAATACCCCCCCGACGACGCCGTGGACATCTTGTGCAGCACTCGGAGCGCCGCGGCGCCGACGGACCGGTCTTCGCATGCATACACGCATTTCCAGAGCACCGACTCGCCGTGTTGGGCCACGACGTCGCGGTAAATGCTAGTGTCCTACACACAGTTTCGTGACATCGAGAAAGGACATATGGATGACACACCGAAGCGTGCTCGAGGAAGCGCAGGGCGTCGAGAGATGGCGTGTCCCGCAGAGATTTGAGCGCTTTGCCGACCCCAGAGGCGTCGGCGCGGGCGCGTTCCTGCAATTGACGCAACAACAACGCGGCAGGTTTGTTGCCCGGGTTGAGTTGTAACACGGCCTTGATGTCGCGAGCAGATGGGGTCAATTGGTCCAACTCCATGTACGCTTGCGCGCGGCGGAAGAGAAGCTTCTCCATCACGGACGCCGCGACGTTCGGCAACGACATGGCTTGGTCGCAAGACGACAACGTGCCCGCAAAATCGCGGAGCTTGAGCTGACACATGGCAATGTTGCTCAGAAGCAAACTCTGCATGTCCACAGGTACGTTGGGGTAAGCTAATGCAGCTTGATAGCTTGCAAGCGCATCGGCCCACTTCCCTTGCGTGAAGAACGCCTTCCCATCCTCTTTCTTCTGCTCCATCACACAAGTTCAAATTCAAAGTACTAGTCACGACGAAGTATCCGGATAACAAATCGTCACAACAATAAGTTGCTCAGCTTGATATTATTATTGTCATAAATATTTTGGAATCGCAGTACTATTATTAATAATACTTCGAAGTAATAACTGCAGCCAAAGTGCCAACATACAGTACAGTAGATCCTGCGACTCGCCCTATAGGCGCATTTTGCGCTTGAATAGAATTCCCCTTACCAAGGAGATTGATCTAGACGCGAATATGATTCACAAGATGTGAATATGAAAATATTATATATTCTGCTGTGACCTTCGAAATATTATGAAAGTCGTATCCGGATAACATCATTGTATTTTTGATTTGAAACAGATCATGGAGGGAACGCCCGTGCAGCGCGAAGGTGCGACGACGTCGTCCAAGCCTAAAGTGCTATGGTCTTCAGCGAAGAAAGCGAAAAGACAGAAGACCGACCACTTCTCAAGTGCCGAGAAGGAGAATGCGAATGCTGCCCAGAGAAACATGACGACGCAGTTGGACGTCCTTAACGAGGACGAGGTCGTCCAGGTCGAAGCCAACCTCCATGGCGACTTTGACTCCATAAAGCTGCCGCGGTGGTTGCGAAAGCGTCGGGAGATGCTTGTACGTGCATTGATTCTTGTCTCCTCTACAAAGTATCTCACACATCCCATAGAAACATACAGCGGAGCTCCATGCCGCTCCTTCGACACCAACCCCTTTCACGCCATCCGCATCGTTCACAGCGCCAGAACTCACACAAGCGGCGATGGCTCCTAGGGAATACCGCATCCTAAGACCCATCGCTCGTCCGCCCCCTCCGAACTTCCCTGAGCGGCAGGTCGGTAGCGTCCTCGTAGACTATCCTCGCCGCGTCTCGTCCGTGTCGCGCGCGCTTTATCAAGCTGACACTCCCACAAAAGACGACTTTTACGTGAACGTTCTAGCCTCTCATCCGTCGCAATCAATCGTCGCCTGCGCGACCTTGCAGGACGTGGTGCTTTACCGTGCCACTGGTGCTCGACGGACCACGCCCACCATCTCCATCGCCGACAAGCTCACTTCCTCGTCATCCTACATATCGTCGCTTGCATGGACATCCCCAACTCAGCTTGCCATCGGCACATCCGACGCGATCGTCCATCTCTACGACGTGTCCCGCGCTGCAACATGCGTGCAATCCATCGAGGGTGCCCATACCGACCGCATCAGTTCCATGGCGTGGTCTGCTTCGCGTTGCGTCCTGAGCACTGGGTCTAGGGATTCGACACTTGCACACCACGACGTCCGCCTTCGGCAGCCCACCCTTCCGACTCGCTCCCACGGACACGACCAAGAAGTGTGTGGACTGGCGTATGCTGGCAACGGCACCACGTTAGCGTCAGGCGGCAACGACAACGTCGTGAACCTATGGGACCTCAAGCAAGGTGCGCCGCCCTTCCATGTATACTCGCATGATTGATTCATTCGAAGAACGCTCAAAAATGGAACATTCGAAATATTTCAACGGTTACATGTGTAGAATGTAGGTCATGTAATTGATTTTTTGATGTAGCGCACCAGCCGATGCACCGCCTCATGGAGCACTGCGCCGCCGTGAAAGCTCTCGCGTGGTGTCCGTGGGAAGCGTCGCTCTTGGCCACGGGCGGCGGCACCGCTGACAAGTCCATCAAGCTGTGGAACTCCCACACCGGGATGCTTCTGCAGTCGAAGACCACGCATGCTCAAGTGTCGGCGTTGGTGTGGTCGAATCCTGCAAGTGGTAACAAGTTCAAGGAATTGCTCAGCGCCCACGGGTTCCAGTCCCCCGCCATGACACTGTGGAGCTACCCGTCCATGCAAAAGATCCGATCGTTCACCACGCGTTCCGGTAGGATGATTCGATGTATGACAGACATTGGAATGTGAATGTGTGACATGGGGTGAGCCTAGGCCGTATCCTAAACCTCGCGTCGAACGCGAGCTCCCATGTCGTGTCGTGGTGCTCGGAAGGAACACTGCGACAATGGGATGTCTTCCTCCCGACGACAAGCGGGCTCGCAGTAGGAGGTCTGCGGCCACGGAGCACGCCGTCAGCTAACGACGAGAATTCACATCCTTAGTATACCGTTATTACTTGTACTTTAAAGCAAGCTGCTTCATCGCATCAGGGCCTTTCAAATCATTATCCTCGAAAAAAAATATATTATTTATTTTTCCCGAGTCGAAAACTGCCGCATAAAGCGATGATTTATTATTTCTCTTTCGTGACAGAATAATCGTGATTGTGCTTTCGAGTGTTGGGGCGTGGTTTTTTTTTCTCGTTGGAAATTTAAATCGATTTGACGATTTGATTGGCTACTGCTCAAAATTATTAGCCAATCAAAACCTTCTCAATGAAATTCAACCAATCAGATTGATTGTGGATCGGTTTGGTTGGCGCGATTCGGTTCCAAATTTGTATCAAATCGACAATATTATTAATATTATTATTTTTTTTGTGTTTTTTTTGCTGGTGGTGGTCTGACTTGTCGGTGTGTACGTCAGTGGTCCTGTTTCACGTTCCGGATGTGCTCTTTTGAGCGAATGGGGTCTAATAGCATCAGGTGTCATACTACCGTATAACTACATACCTTATGGATCTGTACCCCCGAAAATGTCAGTAAAATCTGATCCAAAGGAATGATATTATTGTGGATTTTCCAGACCCCATCGAATCGAATCTCCGCGCCAAAGCGAATCGCGAATCGACACTATTGGCTAATAAGATTTTGAGTGGATTTGATTGGCTCTTACAGAAACGACAAATGTATTCAACCAATCAGAACTCCAGCGTGATTATTCAATATTGATTACTTCACACAAACCACGCGAGTTTTGGAAGTTTATAGCGAATTAATTCACAATACTCCGGAGTCCTGTAGGCCATTTCTACTTCTTCCACTTGTTTGATTGGTTAGAAAGAAGTAATTGGACGACTAATTTGACCAAAATAAAGAAAAAAATGTTCTTTTTTGACACCATACACCAATTTGGGTACAACTCCATAAGGCAAAATCGTGGGTACTTATCCAGAACGTACCGTTATATATATATACGTATATATGCCGGTATGGTAGTATCCGTCATGCGATTCCGTCCTGTGGGCTTTGTACGAATGGTTGATGTGCTACCTACGAGCCACTCGTGCAATGATGTGAAAAACAGGTCGAAACCTGTCGACACTCTACCATCACTGTGTGTATTGGCCCAGGATCAGTTATGAATACAACCAGCTACCATGTGTCAAATGTCAGGTGAAGAACGATTGTGGATTGTTCTCCCCAAACTAACTCCAACTTGTGTGAGCAGTAGTGTTTCTCAGCTACGAACTGCCGAAAGGTCAACATGTTGAGGCGGAAATGTTATAACAACTTTGAGTGAGTAGTACTGGAGTATTCATGATGTTGCTAAAGCTATGAAATATCATGGGGTGGTTGGCGGTTGGTGGGCGAAGAGACCACAGTTAAATAACCTAAATAATCTAACGTTATCTTTCGTTGTCTTGTCAAAAGATACTCTAGTTTTTCAAATACTACCGTAGTATTAATAGGAGCAAGGAAGGTGTACTACTAACGTTACGTACTATTAATAGTACTACTTATAGAACTTACTACTAACGTCCTAGTAATAAATATACAATACTATTTTGAAGTGCACATGAGGGTATGCAGTCCTGGAATCAGGATAGCACGGGTGTATTTTTAATAGGTTTTTAAATTGTGTTTTATATGAAAACACCTGTCAAATCTGAAATCTCGTCCAAATTCTATTCTTTGTCCTTAAGCTTGGGGCAAAGCTCCATCATTATCGCTCATAGTTTTGGCACAAGGATATCTGCATTCGAATCCTCGAAACATGAAAAACTCGTGGCGTTGGTCGATATCACGACGAAATTCTAAGCCAAAGGACCGAAGTGGATGGCGATACATTTACAGTATTAACTGTAAAATACAATTTGCGTGAACTTGAGCTCTTTCTGTTGAGCATATCTCGTTTCAGTTCAAGTTGCCACATGAAAGTGGAATTGTGTTTTTGGAATCCCTGATTCATCCTCTATCACTACAGGTGGAGGAGGTGGTTTGCCTACAAATCAATTTAAAGAGTTTGAACTTGGGCAAATAATACTAGTACTATTAATAGTATTGAAATAGGCGAGTCAAGCAGTCAGCCGGTTCACATACTTTAACTACTACTCCGGAGTACTAGTATAAAATACATAGTATTCAATATCATTGGTATGTAAATGCTGAAAAATTGTTTATAGCGAGGATTACTATATTTTCACGAGTATATTGGACGTACATACAGAAGTACCTAACATCCAGACCCGCACAAAACCGATTGGTTCGAGCGAGCTCGCTCCAAAACTTCACTGTCAGTTTGGTCAATCACATGGAGAAGACAACGTTCAAATACCGAACTCGTATGTTGGCGATATTTAAAATGCATTTAAAACACAAGAAGCGATTGCAAACCCATCAATTTAACGTAAAAGTCAAATTATACCGCCAATGAAATCGCCCCATCTCTGCAGTTTTCTTCAAAGGTTGTACAATTCGCAGAAGTGCATCACAACGACGGAGCTTCATTCCTCAATCCTCTCACACCACATCCCATCATGAGCATCCTGCCTCGCAGCGTACTCGACAGCAGCTTCGACCATCTGCTCTCACTGCGGACCACGGGGAGGTACCTCTTCGCATCGCTCGCGGTGAACATGCTTCTCCAAGCAGGGTTCATCTCGTTTAAGTTGGCAGAGACCGTGCATGCCATCGAAAGGAACGACGTCGCATTTGCGTCGCTCGTCACCAGCTACGTGCTGTGGATCCTCATCTCGACTGCCGGGGGGGTCTTTGGACTCTACTCAGCGCACAAGTACCACACCAAGTCCGCGTCTTACTGCCTTTACGCGTGGGTAGCCCTCGTGGTGTTCCAGATCGTCGAAGCATTCGTTGCAGTGTTCGTGCTGGTGCCTGGAGTGCAGAACACGGTAAACATCAAGCAATCCTTGCTCTTCAACACCGCGTCGCTCCTGGTCATCGAAGTCGTGTTTATCGGGTTCATCTACGCGTACATTGAACTGCTCGACCTTTGCGAAACGGACAAAAATCACCTGTTGGGGTCGCACGGGGAAGAAGGCACGCACTTGGTCGACGAAGCACTCGTGTCGCCTGTAGTTGACAACCACGTGACGGCGTATGGCACAGAATCGACGTCGTTTACGTTTTAGGGTGTCCTGTATTTATCAATGTGTGTACAATAATAAAGGTCGCCTGTTTTACTCGGTTAACTGCTATGTACATACTATGGTAGTACGTCGTGGAGGTGATTTGGACGGGCTGGACGTGGCAATAACCAACATTCTGATCCTCAAGTGTCGGAGCTATGGTACAGAGACATTGAGTTGTGTCGTTGCGTTTTTTTGGATATCCCGAATTACCCATGATGCCACCGTATGGTTGGTCTGAACGACCGTGGACCGGGCCGAGATAACGCTAGTGTCCAACCACGAATGCACGAGGGAAGTGGAAAGTTACGTACTTTTGCAGGTCCGGCGGTACTCTTCGCAGTTTGGCGACCTGCTCAACGAAAGCCAACAAAACGACAACGGGGGGACAACTGCGAATCATGGGGGCGGCCGTGTACCCCAAGTGTCGGCCAAACTCTAATCCCTCGGGCTGCGGCCTCTTTCGCCCTAGCCCTTCCAACTGCGGGGCCCTTTACATTGGGCAACGGGGGTGACTTGTCGTGGGCCAAGTAAGTCTCGGTGGGGACACCCTTGCTGAACATTTTTGCCGCCAATGAAACCTCGACGCTACTCCAAGTCTGCACGGGGGTCGGTCCGGTGTGCTGGGACCACCCTCGTGGGCTTAGGCATGGGGCCGCCAATAAGACCCTGGAGTACGAGAAAGCCATCAAAGACCAAGTGTCGGTGGGGCAGCTTGTCGTCAACATCGGCACGGCAATTTCCGTGAGTTCGGTCAAGTGCTCCAACTTCGCGAGCGCGTGGGCAGTCATACAAGCCACACCGGTGGTCGTCAAAGAGACCCCCGACGGCTACAAGTCGGCAAAATGGGCTACCAAGTCATCGACCAAAGACTACCCTTCCATCTACTCCACCCTGCTACAAAGTTGTAACCTAACCTGAAAGTTATCCTCTCGCGTAACTTCATGAAGTCTATATATTCTTAACCTCACTAGATGATGGAGCCATATCGCAAAGAGAAGGCTCCTTGGAGGCGAGTATGGCCAGTCTTCATCAATCATGGTATTAATAGTTGTGCCTTCTCTTTGGACGACATAAACTCGCCATTGCTCGATGTCTAGCACGTGCAAGGCACCGCGAAACTCGATCGACAGCAGTGCACTGAACGCCGCCGACGCCTTGTCAATGTAGTACACCCCTCGTTGTGTCTTTCGAAAGTGATTCGTGACGGTGGCATGCAGCAAGCCAGACGAAGTTCCCTGCTCCAAGTTGTTCGGACGTCGCCGGCCAAGCAGGATGTAACTCCCGACGCACGAGCTTGCAATCACACACAGCAGCCCCCAAAACAATTCACATCGGCCAAAGTGAATCTCGCCACTGTGTCACACAAGCTGAAAGTCCACGGACGATAGCGCGCATTCGCGGTGCACACGAACGAGGGGCTGTGCGGGGGTGATGAACGTCCACATGACAGACACGACTACCACCAGCGCGCTGCTCAACTTGCCGAACCGCGCAGTGCGTTGCCTTGTTATATCCAAACAAATGTCCAGCACAACATAGACCAGTCACGTCATTTCCCCCGACGAGAGCACTGTTGTGAGCTAGTACGGAAATGGGGACATAAAGTACGACGCCAAGCCCAGATGGGGCCGGACGAGGGGGAGATAGGCCGTGGAGAGGACGCAAAGCGCCGTGACGCCCCGTAGCACGAGCAGCGGGTGCCCTATCCACACTATCCCGACCACGCAGTTGAACAAAAACAATTTTGTGCCTTCAACGTGGCTTTGGTTCGTTGCAATGTACCGGTCGATACTGTACATGCAATGGAAGCCACGCCCAGCAGCACCAAGGACGCCTCTGTGATCGTGACTAGCCCTAACACTAGCATCACTTGGAGGATGCCGAAGGACGTTCCGCTCACCGATTCCGCGGTGCTCCCCACCCCGCACGACCCTTTCCAGTTGAAAAACGATGCCATGTACGGATCCTGGTCGAGACTTCTCGGCGCAGTGTCGCAAAAAAAACATGAAGGTGCAGCGTTTGAACGTGGGACAACGCGCGGGGCAAGGGACTGCCCATGCATTCTTGAGCAGCACCAAGTTGGAGCGTTCGCCTGGTCTTGGAGTATACGAGCTGCCCCTCCGGAACGACTTGGTCTTTAACGGCTTTGGCGCACTTCAGTCTGGCGACCCCAATGCCACAGCCCAGGAGGGCTGCCCCAGCACACCGGACCGACCCACGTGCAACCGGGGTTGCACGTAGGGTACTGCACGCCAGCGTCGAGGTTTCGTCGGCGATACACGACACCAGTTGCTGCATCTACGCGCGCAATTTTGATTCTATCGCAGCAACTTGGGCATTGTCAGCGCGCCCAACGCGGGTGTCCCCAATGCGACTTACTTGGCCCACGACAAGTCGCCCTGGTCACCCTAGTCAAGGACCCCGCAGTTGGGTGGTTGGGTTGACAAAGGCAGTAGAGCGGGGGACTGGGGCCTAGCTGACACGACCGCCCCCCATGATTCGCACTTGCCACCCCCGTTATTGTGTTAACATCGTTGATACATGCCGCTGTCGTTGAGCGGGTAGCCAAACTGCCTCGGGTACCCGTCCCACGGCTGTATTCATTCAAGAGGCAAAACAATGCTTGGTCCTTGAACCTGGGGGGACGGTTGGAGTGGCAGTCCATTCCCCTAGCTGGTCGTGATAACCACCGTAGCAAGGACAATAATGACGATATTTGGTTCTTCTTTCTGCATATGTATGATTCATTGGTACTGTATCATGGGACCATGCTATCGCTCTACAAGCTTGCGGTAGATGCGTTGTTGTTTACATCGCATTTCAATGCAATAGTCGCAAGTTGGTATTTTTACTGAAACGTTGTTGAACCGAACTATAAGGAAACGGCAACTTGATCCATGTTCGAAAGCACATGTTGACCTTCGAATTCCGAACCATAACGCGACATGATGGTATATGATTCAAATTTGATTTCGACAGTTGCCCGAGTACTCGCGTCGTCGGTCCTTCCTCGCAATAGGTACCCCCCCCCTCTCTCATGAAGCTGCCATGCTTCTCCACGTATATCCAGTCGTATGTCCGCCATGGCTCAATGGACTCGCTGCACTCGCACCGCGCCATCGGTCGACTCCTGTTGATCATTTTGGCCGGCAACATGCTTCTGCAGTCGATGATGGTGGGCCTTCAAGTCATCCAGTCCGTGACCACAGAGGACGCACAATCTGAGCTGTCTGTCGGCACGTGGAGCTGGACTGCGTGTGCGCTCCTCGTGTGCCATGAGCTGTGGGTGGTCGTGTCGGCGGTGGGAGGCCTCGCTGGCTTTCACGCGGCGTGGCACTACAGCATCGCGTCGGCCACCGTGTGCTTGCGCGCTTGGGTGGCGCTGGCGTGCGTCCAGACGTTCCAATACCTGACTGTGTACGCCATGTTGGCGTCAATTCAGGACGACAAAGGTCGTCGCTTTGACACTACCCTGGCGTGGGAATCGACGGTGCTAATCGCCATCGAAGTCGTGTTTATCGGGTTCGTGTATGGCTACATTGTGGTGTTGCAAGAATGGCAACGCCAATGCAAACGCCAAGATGGCGAAGGCATTTGCTTGGTACCACTGCATCCTGCCACTGAACAGAGAAACGTCCTCCATACCAACTCGTCAGCGTACTACGGCACCACCGCTGCTGTATGTACGACTTTGTAGTTAACGATAATTAAACCGAATGAATATGATGGAACGGTTGATGGGGGAGTTCTGGACGTGGTCAAGACAATGATGATATTGTCGATTTGATACAAATTTGGGAATCGAATCGCGCCGACCAAACCGATCCACAATCGATCTGATTGGTTGAATTTCATTGAGAAATGGGTTTTGATTGGCGAATAATTTTGAATAATTTTGAGCTCATCTGAAGTAGCCAATCAAATCGATTTAAATTCCAACTAGAGTCCACGCTACAACACGAGAATTTCACTCGAAAGCACAATAGGTCCAGGTCTCTTTCTTACACCATAGTATTCGACAACACTTCAGATTATACGTATAAGTAAGTGATGGGCGTTTCTGCTAGAGTGAACAAGGGGGTTACTCCAATGGCAAATTGTAGCATTGCATTCGTACCTGTATATATAGCTGCTGTGTACAGCACAGTACAACTAGGTCGAGAGCACGAAATCATGTTGGACACCAACCCCAATCACATATGCTGTTGAACTTCACCATACAACGGTAACCACCGTGGAAAATAGAGGGTACTGGTATGATGGAGGACTGGATTCACGGTGATTGCAGAGTTCATGGCGGTGGCACTACGAGTAGAAATACGTTAGAAGTTGGCCATCCTAAGTTGTGATCTTGTACCACTGAGAATATTGCGACGACTCTTTTGCATAGTACCGTTGTTGTTACGTCATGGACATGAGACGACCGAAGTTTTGAGCAACCACAAGTGCAAACAAATGGATTCACTTTCGAACGAAAAGCGCGCAAAACACGAGACGACTTGTCCTCGTTCATCTTGAGCCCCCCCCCCCCCCGAAAATGCCGCTACGTTCCGTTGCACAGAAATGGCTCGATGAAGGAGCGACCGGCCGAGACGCGGTTGAATCTCTGCCACGTGGGCGTGACAACGCAGTTGGCAAACGATGCCATGCCAACAAGGTAGTCGCTTCCATCGATCTCGATCAAGAGGGATCCATAAATTCTCCAAGTGCAGTAGTTAATGTTGTCGTTGTCTGCGCACACTTGGTACTCGTACATGCGGCGATTGAGTAGGGCCTCACACTTGTCGTTGGCAAGGATTTGAACCGTGATGGCCTTGAGGGTGTTCAGGGGTTCGTGTTGGATCAGGGGGAACCACCCACGCAGCCACACCAATGAGCCAGGCACGACGTCGTCCCACAGGATTCGCACTGGCGGGTACTTGGAAGGTCGAGCCAATTCGATCATTGCAAATTCCACCGTGGCGTTGGTACTGTAGTGTTTCTTGAGCACGGGGATCCATTCGCCGTCGTCCAGCCCGCGGTCTATGTACGTAGCCCCCACGACCAGTTTGCTCGCACCTACGGTGTTCGCTGCAACCCCGTTGTCAATATCGGCGCACGCTCGAGTAACGAGGACAAAGGTGGGACCGACGAGAACCCCTTGGCAGATCATAGGATTATTCACAGACCACCGCAGTTGACTCATGTACGGAGACAGTATCGATTCCTGGAAGGGAGCCACATACGCATCCACCACCCCCATCGCGGCGGCCACGGCAGTCCACGACAGTACTTGCATGACACGTCGAGTTCTAAAATGAGATGATTCCATGGGTGGATAACCAGTTTGAAATCAGTGCATTGAATATGTATAGAAGTGACGGGGGCGGTTTGAAGTAAATTTATGGAGTTTAGGGCTCCAAGAATTCTGATTGGTTGATTTGTATCTTCAACAGACAGATAATTGGTCCAAGCATTCTGATTGGCTCAGACAGATAATTGTCCAAGCATTCTGATTGGTTCATTTGTATCTTCAACAGTCAGATAATTGCCACAATTCGAGTATTCTGATTGGCTCGTTAATATCTTTGACGTGCATATATTATAAAAGGTAGGTTTAGCACTGCCGCGTTCACTTTATAATTTGACGTCATGCGTCATGTGATCTCGGCGGCCATAGAGCTACCTCCCCCATCAACCACCCAATGGCCTTGGGATTTGGGACCGAGCACAAGGACTTGACTGGATTGACTGCGAGTACACCCCTGTATTACAACGATGTAGTGTTGGCGTAGCGTCAGTGGTTTCTTGGGCAGGTTTTCCATGTCAAATCGCGGATTTCTCGACGAGTTCGATGACGTTATGACCGCTGTTCAAACGTGAAATAGCTTGTATCAATAGTTGCTTCGCTCTGCCAAGTTAAAGAAATGAAGTGCCACCACCCATGCACGACTATCGAGCCGTTCTACCTTTGAGGTACCTTTGACACCAGTTGAGCTGAACCATGACCCAAAACCCGCGACGCCAAGTTCACCTAGCAGAACTGACTGTAGGAGGCATTTGTGCTTTCTAGAGGCTTTTCCTCAGGTCGACGGCCGCCAGACACAAGACATGGTCCATCATGAGGATGTCGTGGCCAAGCATAGTCAAATCTGATGGGTTGAGAACCACCTTTCGTCTTCACTTCCTCAGTCTCCACTTGGGCGTCGCCCGCTGCCATCAGTACTCATCACCGGTCGGTCGACAGTAATTGGATCAGAAAAAACGTACCGATCCTTTGGCTCGAGGAGATGCTGCCACGTTTTCCCAGGTTCTGTTGGCGACAAGTGAACAGACCCAGCTAATCGGCACGTTCTTGCTGGTCATCACATCCGATCAACTGCCGCTTGCGATAAGTTCTGGGGGTGGCAGCAACCTTGTTGGGCCATGATCTTGGCGTACTCTTGGTAAATTCGAAAATGTAATATTAATACCATAAACTTCAAACTGAGAAGTTCACTTCACGTCTATACGTTCAATGGACAGATCCCAAAACTGATTATCCTCCACCTACCCCTGGCAAAATCTCACTTCCGAACTCGACGCGTCATGCAAGTACTGTTGTAGGCTGCCGTGGCCGCCACGATGGGGGACGTGGATGCGTACTGTGCTACCTTTGAGAACTCGATTTCGTCCCCTTACATGAGTCAACTGCTGTGGACTGGGATGGATGCTTTGATCTGCCAAGGAGTTCTCGTCGCCCCCAACTTCGTCCTCGTTACTCGAGTATGCGCCCAACGACACGAAATACTTCGAGCGAAGACAGTTGAAGCGAGCAAAGTGGTGGTAGGGGCTAATCGGTTCAATGGCGGGGCAGATGACGGCGAGTGGATCCCCGTGCTCAAGAAACACTACAGTGCCAATGCCACCCTGGATTTTGTAATGATCGAATTAGCTCGACCATCCAAGTTCCCGCCATTACGGATCCTATGGGATGACGTCGCACCTGGCAATCTCGTGTGGCTACGCACGTGGATCCCCTACATCAAGCACGAGCCATTGAAAACCCTCAAGGAAACCACAGTGAAAATCCTTTCAAATGCCAAGTGTCAGACCCTACTCAATCGCACCGTGTACGATGACCAAGTGTGCGCCGACAACGACAACATTAACTTCAGCACTTGGGGAATTTTTGGATCCCTCGTGATTGAGATCGATGGAAGCGACTATGTCGTTGGCATGTTAACACTTGTCGATTGCGTACTAGTTCCGACGTGGCAGAGATTCAACCGCCTTTCGGCTGGCCGCTCCTTCATCGAGCCATTTCTGTGCAACGGAACGTAGTGGCTTTGCCGATCCATGTTTCTTTCATTATTAACACATGCCATTCAAAAGGAGTCGAAAAACACACAGTTATGCTTCTCACGGCCAGTCTGCTATCTCCACCAAGGGGTTATTGCTATGCCAGTGGTTGACTATCACTTGCCTCTTCTTGCGAAGCAGCTTAACTCAGGGAATACCATCGCATGCGCAATCCCCAGATAACTGCAGTCCCGTGGCTACGAGCGACAAATGCTCAAAGGATTGTGTTTAACTGTGTAGTTGGTTGCCCCTGAGATACAGTACATCCATCTCTACAGCCCATCGTCACATGTTCGTGTTGTTTCAAGTTGGCAGCATAGGGGCAGTGCCCTTGAAACTGTCTCCAGTTCTTGTTGCCGTCCACAGTGACGTTGGATGAAAACACGAGCTGAACTAAGAGTCGTCTCAGCATGGCCAAAAGCTGCGACGGTGGGGGGGTTCAATGGCCAAGTTAATGGCTGTCTCCATCATGTCCTCTACCTTGTGTTCCTTATGTCCTTGGTGTCGGTGTACTGCACATGCCTCCAACGTCGCCGTGGACAACAACATCAACCCCTTTGATAACCAAATGAACCAAATCTTCCACTTCGACGGCCCCCGAGGCCGCGAATTCGGCCCCAACGTTATTGCCGCTATCGCAATCACCACACCGCTTTCTGTGGATACAAGCTCAGTCGCCCAGTCATGATCGTCGCTGGCGTGGCCGTTGGCTCCGTCTTGGGATTTGTCCAGTCTGAAAAGAGCTTTCACGGAAAATCATGCGTGGAAGCGGCGTGCTGAGTAGGTGGTAGCTCTGGGGGAACTCCTCGTTGGTGCCTTGGTTGTGTAGTGTGGCTCTACAAAGCGGGAATTTTCCTCATCGCGGCCTAGGCTGGCTTCACAGTAAGCACCACACGCCGCTCTGGTACGCCATCTATCCGTGTTGGTCACCTGTGGGATTCACTTGCCGTCGTTGACCCCGCCACCGAGCTGATTAGTCCCAACCACCACTTGGTTCGCTTCGAGTATGCGGAATATCAGCCCATACTTGAGTAACGAGGGGTCGACAAGAACCCTCCTTCGCGGGTCCGACACAATTCTCGGTTGAAAACTCATGTACCAGGACGGAATCGAACTGTAGAAGGTAGCATAACGTTAGGACAGTATGCATTCACCGCGGTCATGATTCTGGGGCTTTTTGCTTATTGGCTCATGAGGAAAACCTATGGTTTCTGATTGGCTCACAGATATCTTCAACAGTCAGATCTTTGGGTTTCGATGCGGCATGAGCAACCTCTGAACTCTATCACCATGAATGCTTCAAGAATGACACGTACACACACATGTACTAGCATTTTGTGCGCCTTTGAACCAGCCACGTATTGGCATGATGGGGTTTTCCAGTTCGACCCAAACGCAGCCCCAGATTCACAGCTCGGTCTGGTTGTGCTACATGTGTACTACGTACAACGTATATCCAACTTCACCGTGGACTCAACAGCACAACATCGACAGCGTAATCAACTAAACCCTCCTTTTAGTTGGTCGCGTGACAGAATATTCCTTCATCGTTTGCCCAGACGCCATTGCTAACGTTATCGCCGCAAGCTTCACGTTCTTTGGCTACAAACGCATTCGACCATCCATGTTCGTCGCTGGATTTATCATTTTGGACTTCATCGTTTGCTGTTTCAGAAGGTTTCCATGGAAGCGGCATGCTGGGTGAAGTTTGCTCTTTGGTGTTTTATGGTGTGGTTGCTAAGGTGGATTTTTCTTCGTTGGGGTACTTGCTCGGTTGTTGCTAGATACAAATCGATTGCGTACAAAGTCCCCCCTTTCGCCCCCCCAAAGTCTCTCTGGTCGTCGTCTTGGCCGGCTGTGGCCCTATGGCCCTTTTTTATTGTTATCACGGCGTGGTCGTAACGTTACGCGTGTGTAAAGAATTGGATGGCTGACCCGGTGGTTGTGCTGGAGTTGGGATGACAATTTGCACGAATGTTCAATTTCGCTTTGGAACGCCACATAAGGGGAACTACTTACTACTCGTGGTCTTGACGCCAGCTCCAGGGGATCCTATTTACCACGCCTAGCTTGACCAGTATTCATCGCGCTTACGTTATGTATTCCGTCGTTATCTGTAGTACAGTTTAGTTAGTGCACACCCTCAGTACGCCTGCTACAGTGCGCGCCACTTGGATAGGACACCCCCGTATTTTGTTAGTATGCTTGGATAACTTGTACGTAAACTGACACGAAATATACCAAACTAACCGCCGTGATTGGCCCGATCGTTTGGCGCTAGTTTTAGGTCAAAATAATCGATATTGAATGAGTTATGCCGCGAAAACCGAATACAGGGTGCAACAACCGGATAGGACACTTCAGGAAAATCGTCACTTTTGGAAGTTTCATTGACCTCTTGCACCTTACCGGTAGTGGACAATCAACTAGTTGACACACACTACGTTACGCTAAGCTACACGCAATGTCCGACGTGCAGTAGGGATGGGCAGAGCTTCTCAACTCACTGAGCATGAGCAAGGCAGCGCGTTAGCGTTCCAGCAAGCTGCATGGTCCGTCAAGAGAACCGCTGCGACTCTCGGACGCTCTCGCAACGTAATTGCATCATTTTTACAGTCGCCTGACAACTATGGCAAGAAATACAAGGGTCGACAGTCAAGTAAAGTCACTGATCGTGCGCGACGACAAATCATCAAACACGCGTCCACCACTGGATGCTCAGCTCGTCAGCTTCAATTGAGAACGTATCAACGGATCCTCCACCGTGCGGAGTTCCTTCAATATACCAAGCGCCAGCACACCCCAAAGCTCCAACAACGCCACCAAAATGACCGCCTAAGCTACGATGGGACCAACTTGACGAACACAACCGTGTGGGAGGATGTGGTTTGGTCGGATGAAAAAAAGTTCAATCTCGACGGCCCCGATGGGTTCCAATACTACTGGCACGACCTGCGACAAGAAATGGATCAGTTTTTTACCCGCCACAGCGGCGGTGGCAGTTGCATGATTTGGGGTGGATTTTCGAGCATGGGAAAGACCGAATTGGCGTTTCTGGAAGGCACGCAGACAGCTGACAAGTACATTGACACACTCTCGGACTACCTCCTTCCATTCGGCCATGAAATGTATGGAGGGCGCTTTGTATTCATGCAAGACAATGCCAGCATCCATCGTGCCACGGTGGTGACCGAGGTTTTGGACGAGCAAGACATCATGGTTTTTGACCACCCAGCTCTGTCGCCAGATCTCAACCCCATTGAGAATGTTTGGGGGGTCCTTGCCCGCGAAGTTTACCTCAATGGTAAGCAATTTGGATCGGTTGACGAGCTCAAAGCTGCCATCAAACGTGAGTGGGCGAAAATTTCACAAGATTACCTGCTGAAGTTGATAAAATCAATGCCAAAGCGGTGCGTACATGTTATCCAAGCCAAAGGAGTCAAAACAAAGTATTGAGGATGACATTTTGTGCTTTAATGAATGATTTTGTAGAAGTTTTCCCTAAGTGTCCTATCCGGTTGTCGCACCCCATATTCGGTTTTCGCGGCATAACTCATTCAATATCGATTATTTTGACCTAAAACTAGCGCCAAACGATCGGGCCAATCACGGCGGATGGTTTGGTATATTTCGTGTCAGTTTACATACAAGTTATCCAAGCACACCATCAAAATACGGGGGTGTCCTATCCAAGTGGCGCGCACTGTAGGGTATGGGATTTTTTAGAAAGTACGTAATACTCCCGAGTACTAGTACTATGTAGTAGTACTATAGTATTAATACTATTAATATTACTATTAATAGTATTCATTCCTACAGTAGTACTAGTACTGTACTGTACTCACAGTTCCAAGGTACAAACAAGTATGCGCATTCGTTGCCTTCAAGTACTACGAGTAAAAACACTTGATACTATTAATACTACAGTACTAGGTACTGTATGATGGTTGGTGTACACTGGTTGGTGTAATGCATGTCGCCAGGACTGGCACAAGTCAACTTGAAGAAGGTGGTGCTGTTAATACTTGATATGTTATGGCTATTGCGTCTACATTGTTCCCTGATTGTGTTGCTCATGCTTGAACATACTGCTCCACTTGACGAAACGTGTAGTCGTCACTTTGCGTACAGTCCCCTGTATCTCATATTTCACGAGGTATATGACGCCCTAGGCTGGATCCAACACCACTAGTGCACACTCTACCAGGCACCCATGTCCTTTGGAGGTCCCCGTGCTCATTCTTTGATCGTGCGGATGGCCTCCACCGCAAGCTGCTTGCTACCTTGCATTTCTACATCTTTTCACACGACTACACATCCGGATAAACAAGATCCACCAGCGCCGTGAGTGGGTAGGGTAAACGAGAATGGTTTAAATACACATCATACAAACAACGAACAAAGATCTTGTATACAACCCCACCATGATTGTATTAGTGACGCGTTATTTAATTAATGCAAATTTTATACGACCATCCGGATACCATCGCCAAATCTTATGTTGGATACTACATAATTTGGCAATCTTCACTTTCCAGTCATTTGTGGATTTGGCAAGGTATCATCATGAAGGGACCAAGTGCGATGCTCCTTGCTGTGGCTGGCGCCGCTACCGTTACATCCGCGCTCGAGACAGAAGACATTCCGATCAAGTTCCGTGACTTTATCGCACACGACAGCACCCAGACGTGCTCGCAAGACATCCACTCGACCCCGTTCAACATGCAAGTGCGCGGGGTCAACCTCGGCGGGTGGCTAGTCCTGGAACCGTGGCTCACGCCGACATTGTTCTACCAATTCCTCGGCACGCAAGAGCGCTTTGGGGACAAGGCCCCGGAGAAGACAGGCATGGACCAGTACACATTTTGCACGGCGCTGGGACCGGAAGAAGCGAACCGTCAATTGCGCATCCACTGGAACCAGTGGGTCACGGAGAAGGACATTGCCGAGCTCGTGAGTTTCGGGATCAACTCGGTGCGCATTCCCGTGGGGGACTGGATGTTCGTCCCGTATGGGCCGTACGTAGGGTGCACGGACGGGTCGATCGAGCACTTGGATCGCGTGTTGGACTTGTGCAAAAAGTACGGCATCAACGCGCTCATCGACATCCACGGCCACATTGGCAGCCAAAACGGGTTTGACAACTCGGGACGCGCACATCAAGTCAAGTGGACGTCGCTCGCCAGCACGCAACCGGTGGGCACGACCACGTTCGAGCACTGGCCGATCCGATATGCTGAATGGGTGGGTACTCCTTGTCCTTGCTCTTCTCCCCCTTAACATGCAGTAGCTCACATGCATCGATCATCTTCTGTGATTGTAGGCTGGAACGTTCGACCCGATCAACCACAACTACTCGTCGATCAACTACACGAACCTGAACCAGTCGCTCGAAGTCGTGTCCCGCATCGTCAAGCGGTACGCGGGCCATCCGTCCGTGCTGGGGCTGCAGCCAGTCAACGAGCCATGGGAGCTCACGCCCATCGACGTGCTCAAGAACTTTTACTGGGACTCGTACAAGCGCATCAAGGACCTGGCGCCGTCGTGGAAGTTTGTCGTGCACGATTCATTCCGATTTGGGCTAAACTATTGGAGCAACTTCATGAAGGGATGCCCCGACATTGCATTGGACACGCACATCTACCAAGCGTGGATGAGTCCCACGACAGCGGAAGACTACGGGTCGAACGCGTGCCAGCAAAAGTACACGCTCTCGAGTATGGAGAATGCGTTGATGCCCGTGATTGTCGGCGAATGGTCGCTGGCCACCGACAACTGCGCCATGTGGCTCAACGGATTCAACGACAACCTTCCAGGGTTCCCCAAAGTCGAATGTACGCTCCAAGCTTGCCCTGTGGAGAGCACATACCTCGGCTACGGCTTCCCCGGTACTCCCCTCGACATCACCAAGCCGATCCAAGGACCTTATGGCACCGGAACATCCGGCCCATCGTTTGGCAAGTGCCCTGTGAACAAACATGACAAGTTCCCTGGCACAAGCCTCGTGGATTTTACCACAAAACTGAACCGGAAAAAACTGAACGGGTACCAGGTTGGCCACGGCTGGTACTTCTGGAACTTCAAGACCGAGCTCGACTTTACGTGGGACTTTTTGCAGCTGGCCCGCGCTGGCGTGTTTCCCAAGAACGTGAGCCACTACGAGCCGGACGAAGTCGACGATGCATGCCTTCGTGAAGACAAGGGCCAGTTTGTGTGCAAAGCCAAGCGCGGAGTCAAGCAGTTTGAGCTTGAAAACGGCCTCAAGTACGCGTGCAACAGCCCTGGCGTCGACTGCACGGCCATCAACGAAACGTACGCGACTCTTGTCGAACGGTGCGATTATGCGTACAACGCGTACTGGCACTTGGAGCGCGAAAAGGGCGCGACTTGCGACTTTGGTGGGTCCGCGCACCTTGTGAGCGTCGAGGGCACGGACGAAGAGAATGCCAACCCGCAACAGGTCACCGCCGCTGTGTGGGGCACTGGCGACGGCACGTCGACGAAGAATGACGTGGCTCGAGACGCCAGCTCGTGGACGATCACGAGCGGGTTCGTCGTCGGCGGCCTCTGCGGCGTGCTCGTGACCCTCGTCGTGCTGAGCATTCAAAAGCGAGTGCGGGCCACCACCACCGCCCACGACGAACAAGGCGAGCGCTTGCCGCTCATGACCAAGGAGTCCTAAGCATAAAAGTAGTGGACATGCCGTCGAGGTGAAATTAATTCGATCATCCACAGGTTTTTCGTACTTTATTGGGGCGTAGTACTCGTTCTAATTAATACTACTATTAATATAATATGTACTACGTTGGTATTAGTATTACTATTATTAGTACTATTATTATACTGTACGTATAATAGGAGGAGTTTTCAGCGATTGTATTTTAATAGTTCGACCAATTCTTTTTCGAATAAACGGACAATAGGGAAATAGGGAAATAGGGACATTTGATATTTGATATTTGGTATATTCATAAATAGGAATGAAACCTGGCGCATAAGGCTTGGTTGGCTGCATGCAGGTCGTTATACTTGGATGGTCGTGATGGAGGTGGACGTGCTGCCGTAGACGATGGGGGAGAGTTTCTTGTCGAGGTGGTTCTGCTTGGACGAGAAGCACGAGCTGTACGCGTCGTCCGAGACGTCGTCTTGTCGCTCGACCTCGGCGCAGGCTTGCAGGATGTGCATGTACAGGTACACGTACACGAGGAAGAAGGCTTCGGTGCTCAGGAGCGACAGCGTGTTCCATTCAAACCCAGCCTGCCAGATCGCGATGGAACAATGGGTGTCGCACAGTACGCCAAACAGCACGGCACCTTCGACGACCTGGAACACGATGAGCAACCACCATCGCCGAAGGCACCAGGATGCTGTGGGAATATCGAGGTACACGGACGAGTAGAGGCCACAGAGTCCACCCAGCGCCGTTACGACGATCCATCCAATGTAGCACGCGACCAGCGCGAACAGAGCGCTGTCACTCCACCTGTCGTGGGATATGGTGCGTTCGACCTTAAGCACGAGGGACGCGACTTGCCACAGCATGACTAGTGCAAGGCTGCCTAGAATGTAGCGACCTGCGCCGCGAAGAACCATGAGGATGTCCCGCTGCTTGCTCAGGTCCCTGCTGCTTCTGCCACTGCTGCTGCCATCACCATCTCCACGAAGCATGCGCATGTTGAAGAATGAATAAGAATGGGCAAGTCGGTTTCCGCATGCAGAACAACCGTGGGTGCAACGTCAAGTCTCAACCGAATGTGAAAATGTGAAACGGCCACGTCTTGGATACAAATTCCAAGTCAAAAACAGGCGGGAACGACCAACTGCTTTAAAATACTACAGTAGTATATATTATAGATGTTTATTTGTATCTTTCCAATGTGCGAAATATGGCTACAAAATTTACATGCATTCATTACACAGTGTCTTTCCCCATCAGAAGCATATTGAAGTTAACGATACCGGTACATCGACGCCAATAACTATAGATCATGACTGTAGCGGCTTGGTAGCCCTGTACTACAGTCAACACTGTAGCTGCGACTGGAGCTAAGTAACAGGTAAGTTACTTATGAGCATGACAGGTCCTGGTTTGTATGGAATATGGAGGGAGGAGACGAAAGAGAAGGTTTCATTCACCACAAACACAAGTCTCGACTTATTGCGCGAAACTCCAGCACACGTTTAATCGGCTACTCTCTGTGACCACTCAAACAATCGACTTCCAATAAGATTCGCAGACTTTCCATCGTCGAAATGGCGTTACGACGTGGAATTTGCAACGGGAAGACGAAAGAAAACCTGTGGCAAAACTACATCAGGTTATAGTTGCTGTACTTCTGGTACTGGAGCACTTTAATGATCAGATGGCGAAGATATATTATTTAAACGCTATCTAGTTGGTTTAAACATGTACGCGTTGCTGGAGTTGGCGGAATTGAACATCAGTCTAAGTCTCCACCATCCGACCTGGTCATGCATTTCTATTGGAGGGGAAATATGTGCGCAGTACCCCCCAAGTACCCCCAAGTACCCTCATACACCCCCTCCATCCGGTACTCCGTAAGGTCGAGTGTAGGTCGATCAATACCACAGTCCCAGGTTTTAGCGATAACTTATTACGAAATCGCCCTGTTACGGGGGGCGTCTTGACGTGGCATCCGGTCACAATTGATGAGCGTGTGAGGTAGGACTTTCCAAACCTCTCGAATCAAACGGTGTTGGCTTGTGAGGGCATGCAAATCACAAGTGAAAAACACACATTTTGCGACTCGAAAGAACCAAGAAAAGTAGTTCTCGTCCATCGATGCCAAATCCTTTGCCTAGTTTTTATTTCCACCTCCATGAAATTATCAATCTGTACGTGGGCAAAGTCGTCAGGGCGCTCCATTGTCAATGATGAGCCAATATCAGTGAGTAGTAGAATTAAGGACTGTTTAACGAGCGAAGGCAGGTGTGCTTTGGCACTCTACTACGCGTGACGTAGTTGTCCTTCACGGGTCGATACCGCCACATACTGGGGCGCACCCGCTGAAGATGATTCTTGGCCGGCGGAGTGGCGACGGAATTGGACCAACTTGCCAAGCACAGCCAGCACCCCCGGGCCAGCCAAGTAGCCCCACCACATCGTTGGCCACATTCTCGTTGGCCACATTCACGTGGCAATCGCCCTTGGCGTCCGCATGTTGCTTCAAGTTGGTAGTATTGGGGTAGTGCCCTGCCCTGCAAAGATTCGATTCCCCACACATAAGTCACGGCTGCCGCCTACGCTGTTGAGATGATCAGAGCGTTGGAGCTTCATGGCAACGGATCCACCGATGAGGCCACAGTTGATGTATAGGACAATCAGAACGACTTGAGATCCGACGGGTTGATGGCATACAGCCAAACGATGTGTGGAGCCGAGTCACGAGCCACAAACCCGCAATCGCACCGATGTTGGTGATCAGCACGAATCAATCGAGATGGTGGTGCCTGCCACACGTGCCAGGTTCGTTTTGGTGACACGCCGAGGCCAGCAACATGGGCCAAGATGTCCGTCAACTGCGGATACGCTTAACCAACGACTTTGTGAATGCGCCATTGGCTGGTGCCCTGACGCAGATGCCACCAAGTGGAATTCATTTTCAATAAGTGAGTGACCTGTCCAATTCGGGGAGCTCGTACGTTGCTTCTAATCGAGCGAAAATGCAGGCGCTGAGACGACACACAGTCTTGCGATTTCGTTTTTGGGACTTAGTCACTAGGCATTTATGGAGTCAGGTGATCAGAGTGTTGGCGACAGTCAAAGTGAACGAAAAGATAGAATTAAGGATGTTAACAAATGCACGCAGGTGTTCTGGCCCACTACGCATGACGGATGGGGTCGCCTTTCGCGGGGGTCGATACCTCCACATACCGGGGAGCAGCCGCCGCCGCTGACTCTTGGCCGGCGGGGCGGCGACGGAACTGAATGAACATGCCAAGCAGCGCCAGCGCCACCGAGCCAGCCAAGTAGCCCCACCACTCGTTAGGCACATTCACGTGCCAGTCGCCCTTGGCATCGGCGTGTTGCTTCAAGTTGGTAGTATTGGGATAGTACCCTGCAAAGAACCCAATGCCCCACACACACATCACCGCACCAGCCCACGCCGTCGCAATGATCAAAGCCGGGCGTTCAAGCTTCACGGCCACGAAACCACAGACGAGGCCGCACACGACCATGAGGACGATCAACACAATCTTCGGGTCCGACGGGTAGATGGCATACCCAAAGGACGTGTGGAGCTGTGTCGCCAGAAGCATACCAGCGTACGCGCCAACAAGGAAAATGCCGAGTTTGTACAGGCAAATCACCAACGCTCCAACGATCAGGCCACCGACAGCAAATGAGATCCAGCAAGCGGTTTCCATGTACTCCTTTTCGCGAAAGATCTTTTCGGCTGCGATGAAGCAGAAGATGGAGCCAATGGCAAAGCCAGCGAGGAACATGGCCGGTCGAATGAGTTTGTGCCCGAAGAAGGTTAAGACGAGACCCGCGGCGATGGCAATGCCGGCAATGACGTCGGGGCCGATGCCGAGGCTTTCGCGGGTGCCATCCCAGTGGAGGATTTTGTTGATTTGGTTGTCAAACGCGGAGTTGCCGTCCACGGTGATGTTGGTGATGCTGCCGGCCGACACCACCGGCAATACCACAAGGAGGTAGAGCATGGCAGAGCGCCAATGAGAGGATGAAGGAGTTGACATGGTCAAGGCAAACTGAATTCGAAAGTGCGTGCTCTGCTGCTCTTGGATGATATCCATGACCTTCAACACGTGAAACGGCCGAGCGATTTGTGAATCCATACCCATAACGTTATAGTTTTTTAAACCCACGGAGATAAAGGTACGGATTCATGAAAAGGCGTCGTTTGATTGGCTGCAAAGGTCGGTTCGTACTGCCTGTCACATTTGAATCAGGTTGGATAAAATTATGCATAATCAATCGTGATTGGTTGATGCTACGTAGTACTTCAAGTACTAGTTAACATTCAAGGTGAATCGATGGGACGGGAATTGTGATTGGTGCGCTAAATAGTGTAGTACATTGTTGACTATACAGTGTGTGCGAGCTTCGACGGGCGATTCAGCGTGCTTGGACCTCAATTGATGGCGACTACCTTGCCAAGCTCATTGCATCCATGCCACGTCGTTGTAGACTAGTTATGGAGGCAAAGGGGTCCAAAACGAAGTATTAGTACGTGTTTTTAGTATACTTAACATCGAACTGAACCTTGTACGCTGTGTTTTGCTTGGTGGTTGGGATCCTGTTGTCCACTCCTCAAAACGGTTTTTGCACAGTTCAAAGTGCAGTTTTGATCAGATCAATGTATTGTGAAGTACCCATCCAACAGCCAATGAAAACGAAGAGAATGCTATATTCCGCATGTCTCTACGTCTTATTGGACAAAATTAATCCCAGATAAACGGGGTGGCTGGATCCTGCTGGCCAGCACTGTACTATTAATAGTTACTAGTATGTACTACGTATGTATTTATTGCAAAGGATATGCGACTTTTGCAGACTTGCCAAAAACGTTTAGTGCATAATTTTACGGGGTGGCTGGTATCCAGACCAGCCTTTAACAGCATCTCAGAATATTTGCACGCGCAATTCCCTCTATTCGTTTAGGTGGCCGTTGGAAAAGACACGCATATTAAGGAAACACGCATGAAACGCTTAAAAAGCACGCGAATAAACATTTTTCCCGGATTGGGTGGGTCGGATCTGGCGGAACTGAACGAACATGCCAACGAGGGCCAGCATGACCGAGCCAGCCAGGTAGCTCCACCACACGTTGGGCACATTCACATGCCAGTCCCCGTCAGCGTCGGCGTGTTGCTTCAAGTTGGCAGCATTGGGGTAGTTCCCTGCAAAGAACCCGATGCCCCACACACACGTGACCGCGCCTGCCCACGCCGTCGCAATGATCAAGAATGTTCGTTCAACCTTTACGGCCACAATGCCACTGCCAACGCCACAGAGCACCAAGAGGATGATCAGCACGATTTGGGGTTCCGTCGGATAGATAGCATACCCAAACGATGTGTGGAGCTGTGTTGCCAGCAGTAAGCCGGCAAAGGCGCCGACGAGGAAAATGCCAGCTTTGTACAGCCACACGGCCAGCGCACCAACGATCAAACCGCCGAGAGCAAACGCCACCCAGCACGCCGCTTCCATGTGCGACGTGTCGTGAAACATCTTCGCGGACACAATGAAGCAGACAATGGAACCAATTGCAAAGCCAGCGACGAACACGGCAGGACGGATGAGGCGGTAGCCAAAGAAGACGGCGGTGAAGCCCACGGCAATTGCAATGCCGGCAATGATGTTGGGACCGACGCTGAGGCTTTTGTGGGTGCCGTCCCAGTGCAGGATTTTGTTGATTCGGTTGCCAAACGTGCTGTTGCCGTCCACAGCGATGTTGCCGATGTCGTCGGCAGACACGACGGACATGAACACCGCTACGTAGAGCATGGCACAACGCCAGGACGTAGGTGGCATGATCAAGTTGAATCCAATTCGAATATGACGATGAACAAGAGCCACTTGTTGAAACTGTCGTCATGTTTGATTGAGAACTAGAAACCGCGGACACACAAGAAGAGTCGCGAGGCATGAATTGATGGAATTGGCTAAAATGATGAGTTTATAGTATTGGAGCCAATCGTATTCGAGTATTTCGTCTTGTTTCTGCGAATTTGGACAGGTTCAGACCGACTACGTTTTTTCAGGTCAGTTCTTCAACTTTGTATGGGGACAACAGCGCTCAAAGTCACGTTTGTATTGGAATTCCAGAACCCAGCTTGAGAATGTTGTGATATTAATCGTTCAGTGTCAGTACATCCAGACGTTCTACGGTCACGTTTACTACACTGTATGCTGGCCTGTCGTGAGGTGGTTTTACCTAGTATGACAACTTGGTTTTAGTATGTTGGCGCGAAGTCGTACCTAAATTACTGCTATCTTGGATTTACTATACTCGCCGCCTGACATGAATATAATATTTCAAGGTGAACATCCAAAGGTTAACACTACTCAAGTGTCCATTGGACTATCTTGGATTTACTATGATGGCCTGCCATGACAAGAATAATCGAAGGTGGAATTCCAAAGGACGGACACTCTGGTCCATTTCTTGAGGTGGACATCCACAATGACATCGTCCCGTGTGACACAACGTGCACTGAGGCCAACATACATTTGAGCATTTACCATGGCTTGGCGGGACGCGTTCGACTGGGAAAACTACTCGCTGCCGCTGGTGCTTCGCGTGGCCCAAACTCTCTTTGCGTTGATTGCACTCCTGACGTCCACGGCACTCACCAGCGCCGCGGCGGGCGTCCTCGCGCTGATTCTTAGCCTCGTGGTGACCCTCTACGGCGCAGTGTACTTTGCAGCCGTGTCCAAGATGAACCTGGTAAAACTTCGGGCGACCACCAAGCTTGCAGCGGAGTGCATCGTCGTGGCCGTGCTGCTGGCAGCCCTCGTGCTGGTCGCATCCAGCCCCGCGGCATTCATCATTAGCACCAGTGCCGCGACTGCGTGCTGCGTGTTCCTCGGGTTTGGTCTTGTCGTGCAAGTCGTGCTCGTGAAAATCACCTACACGGACGAGTACTTGTACGAAAAGGAAGCCGCCGCCGACGTAGTCAGCACCCCCGCTGTCCACGACGACGTATAAGCCGCCGTCGACGCAATATAACTTACTGTTAATACTATTTGGATTCGTGTGTCAGCAACAAATGTTATGAATTCAAAGGTCCGGACCTTTGAATTGACGTACTAGAAATTGAAATAAGATATACGAGATGTCGTGATACTACATATACCTACGTAAAGTAAGTCTTCGATATCGCTGGGAAGTTCTCAACATGGTGTTTCGTACGAACGGTCGTCACTGAAATCTGCAATAACGTTAACGTTAATGGGGTAATTAATACAAGAGAACCCACCCATTCACAACACATCCCCATTCCTGGTCACGAACGAGGCCATCTACATATGCCGTGAGGTACTTCGATGATGTGGCCAACGGAGATCGTCGCAACGATTATACCAATAGTACTGAATGGACGAGTATGTACTATACTAGTAGTAGTCGATAGACTGGCTTCTTCAGTCGGGCTTTACGAGTTCAGGCGTATTTACTTGCTCATAGCTCGACACGGATGCGACGATATCTTTGAGTGTGAAATCAATAAATACACGTGGATGTATCGTGGACTTTTAAATCTTGCTACCGGGGTAACCAGCGTTTTGACCGTTGAATTGCGGTTGCCCGTACTGCGGTTGAGCATATTGGGGTTGGCCATACTGAGGTTGAGCGTATTGGGGCTGGCCATACTGAGGCTGGCCGTACTGTTGTTGTTGGGCGTACTGAGGTTGCCCGTATTGTTGTTGTTGTGCATACACAGGCTGGCCGTACTGAGGCTGCTGCGGGACCATCACCGGTTGCACCGTTTGCACGATCACAGGTTGGCCATACTGCTGTTGGCGGCGGTTGTCGTCGGCGGCAGCGGCGCAGCAGCAGCCACACAAGGTGCCGCAGATGAGGGCGCCGCAGATGTCGTCGAGGTCGCACATGATGAGAAGGAGTCAGTCAAAGGGAGAATCAAAAGTGACACCACGCAACGTGCATAGGCCGGTGAGAATGGAAATTTGGTACATCAACTAGCCAATCAAATGCCGGCATGCTGACTCGAACTTCAAGTTGTTGAGAAAAGTTTCTGGTGAATTCACAGTGGATTGGTCGTTTATTAGTGTCACACGCAGTCATCCCATTATTGATGTGAATTCGACGACGACGAAGGCAAAACATTGCCGCAAGCACGTTGCATACTGTACCGGTACAAGTTGTTTGCCATAAAACGACAAACAACTTGTTTTACTCCAGAGTATAAATGCGAAAGTTCCACCTTCAACCCACCAATCATACAATCGGACGAAGTAACGATAAACACGCACCCAAAGGTTATTCACTGTCACAAGTTAGTTACTCCTTTAAACGTTGTTAAGCCTGAGAATTTCTAAAAAAGTGGATTTACAGTTAATCCTGGCATTGCAAAAATAGGTGAAAAGCACAATGTTATGGAGCAATCCATTCGCTCATTGGCTACACTATTTCATCTTTTTATACTTTGGGCTTTCTGCGGAATCGAAAAGCCAATGAAAATTCGTGGCGAGATTTGTCATCGGTTTTACGAATCGCGCAGAATTGGGAAATATTTGTTGCAAATTCATGATACTCGGAGTAATTCACTTCTCCACCCCAATGAGACTGAAGGCGATTTCAACCCCCCCCCTTTTTGGCAGTGAAATAATGCCAACAAATCGAGTAAAGCAGTACGATTGGCTAATAATAGCTGCAACAAATCGAGGCAAATTCGTGTGAAAATACTTTGCTAAGAGCTACTATTAATAGTAGTACCGGATACTATTATAGTATTAATATGTCGTAACCGCATTTGTCGTTGATCTGCATGATGAATACTAGTACTAACAGTAAGGTATAATAACGTAAATACTTCGAAGTATAACGATACTAACGTTATTAATATGAGTAGTATAATGCAATATAATCTAAATAAAGTATGCATACCAGTACCGGTATGTATTAACCCGCTAGGATTTATTAATACAGTTAAACACTGTAATGAAATGTATACTACTAGTACTAGTACATAGTAAGCTTAGTTGCGGATCACTGGAATATTTCTTTGCATTCGAGGAAAGTCCAACGCTGGTTGAATAGTCTAACCAACAACAAACACTCCTGGCGTAAAATTACATGAAAGTGGAAAATTTCAAATTCGGATCCAACGGCTCAATGTGTTGCGATGACCTCTGCAGTGCCATCTTTTGCGGCGCTTTGTGTGGCTGGTGCTGTGCCGTTGCCGCTGAAGAGGATCGTCGGTTCCGACAGGGGTACTATGCCCAACCTGTGATGGTCCGAACTGTTCAGCCTGTACCGGTACTGGTGCCCCGCCCCCTTCCGACTTACCGATTCTACCCCCAAGGAACGTATGTGCAACAAGGTCAAGGGCAGCCCCAGTATGGAGGCAATGGCCATGTGCCTATGGCCAAGCCAGTACCCGGTGACAAAGTCTAAATGGGAAGCCATGCTGTAAGTCGTATATACAGATGTATATTCATTCTTCGCTGTTGTACGTTTATTTGCCGTTCTAGGCGCAATTAATTTCATGGAAGGGGTGATCAAGTCGAAGCTGGTGCATGAATCTTTGTTTCATCCGGTGTTCCCATACCAGTATGTATCCTTGGCGCATGCACTTTGTGATTGGAATGCAGTGCTATCAGTGCAGTTCAATCCAATGTTCGATTAATAAAGACCACGGCAACAACCAGTTCTTCACATGTACACATTTTGACGTTCCCCTGACCGCACCTTCGTCATGGAATGTGCTAAGGGAATTCGTACCTTGTTCTTGTGGATAATCCCATATAATCATGTGGCTCCCCTATGTCTTCATCCCAGTTCATTAAAGATCAAGATGTGGCTGTATCCATGACACTTGTAGCTAGCTGGGAATACACGACGAATAATGTAACGCTTGTGGTAACAGTACGGCATCAAAATAGTGTTGAAAAGTAACACTTTTAAACACTAACGTTATAGTACATCGTCTCACTGTCAGTAATACGCCAATCAAAATGAAAATGGGATCACTTTGCGGACACCGTTAATCGCTACTTTTGAAAATCCTTACTGCACGTGTTTACTATTTAAATTGATATCCTTTGAACGTCTCTGTCAATTCATGAGCTGAATCTTGCGGTTATTTTGATATTTGTATCACCTCAATACGTGTTGTAGTCAACGAGAAATCGACGAACAAAGTAAGCAAAGAGCGATGCTGATGACTGGTGCCCCACGTTATCAAGCAAATATTTGTCCGAGTCGTTATGGTATGGTAAGGTATCTTGCATTCCACTTATACGTATATCACCAACATTCTCGATTGTGTGTGTCAAAGGTCACATTTCTGAAATTCACTTCACTGTCATCCCCAATGTGTTGCGACGACCTCTGCAGTGCCATGATTTGCGGCACCCTGTGCGGTTGCTGCTGTGCCGCCGCTGCTTACAACAACTGTCGGCACCACCAACAACTGTGATCGTTCAGCCGGTGATGGTCTCGCCTCCGCACCAAGAACATGGCTAACCCCAGTATATTCGAGGGGCAACTCTACACGGCCCAGCCAGTATCTCCTTTTCGTAAATTCTAATTCACTTCATATGTATCCACGACGTCGCCCGCAGATGCATTAAAGTGGGGGGGCTTGCCAAAGTCGACTACGACCTAACCACTGAACACAAATATCGCCCTTAGTGAATGGCTTGACACACGTAGAGTCGCTTGGGTAGCGCTTTTGTTTTGCCTTTTCGTCACCATACTATAGCCTGCATCCTCGTCTGCATACTTGTCACCAGTACTGAACCGTCGCTATGTCGTCCTTCCTACAAATACGCCAAGGGGAGTACGTGATTTTTTGCATGTATGTCGTCGATACATCGGAAGGCGGAACGTTCTCGGAAATAAATATGGTTTTGATTTTCATTCCAAGGCTTGACGACTTGCACATGTTGGTCGGAGGATTTGAAGGCAATTCCTCCAATCTGGCACTATGTAGTACGTCGCTAACCCTAAGCTTATACTTCGTATAGGGTAAAGTGGACCTCACGATGCCGACTTTTTTCTAACTGTTTCACGCTTGCCCTCGCACGCTGGACGACGTGCCGTCGATCGAGTTGTTACAATTATTCGATGGAATTTAATAATATTAATAGCAGTCAGAAAGCCTCAGCTATAATTTATTACCAGACTCCAGCAGTACTTATTAATATTAATAATAATAGTACTATAACTACACCGTTGACCGTAATTACTACTATTAGTACTACGTATTACGCAGTAGTACGGATTGAAAATTAGTGCAGTCCTCACTAATACATGTATGATGGTATTCCAGAAATTTGTGGTTGGTAATTAGTGCTGACCAATTTCGTGCAATATTGGGTGTTTGGGGTGTATGCCACGATGACCAATTGCTCTGGTAGTCATAAACAGCCATGAAGTATGGTGTAATAACCCTTGTACATAATGTGTCTGCTCTATTGACTGTTTAACGTTATATCAATGCCGCTTTTTGATGCGCCTTTTCATGACAAATCCCGCATACAAAAATCAAGATAATAATCCTTACTAATTCTGAAAATT